AGATCAGACCTGAAACCAGAAGGAGGTCAGAAGGTCCACTCAGACATGAACATGGAGGATCCAGAACTCTGGACCGTCTGTGACTCACTGACACTCTCAGAACCACAGTCAGGTGTCCCTTTGGACCTGGTCCTGCTCACCTTTGGCCTCAGAGAGCAGCGCGGCGATGCTGTTCTGGTAGGTCTGCGTCTGTCTCAGCTCCACCAGAGGGAGGAAGAAACTCTCCAGAGTGTTGTTGAGCGACTGCAGCAGAGCGAAGCGTAGACGCAGACTCTCCACGGGGACGTCTGGAAACAACCACGAGACACGAGAGGACATGAGGGGAGAGTTCATAAATGAGGAGACGAGTGAGACCTTCAGGGAGCCGGAGGTGGAGTTCAGACGGTTTACTCACTGAGTAGGACGGACACCCGAGGGTCCGCGGTGTCACTGGAGTCCAGGTAGACCTCGTGTGGGTGGAGTCTGGCGGGCGTGATGGCCAAGTGTCGACACAGTCTGTTGATGTACTGGACCAACGCCACGTCCATTTCTAGACTCCACTTCCTGCAGGCCTTCTGAGCGTGACGAGTGTCGATACAGGTACACCTGAGAGAGAGAGAGAGAGAGAGAGAGAGAGAGAGAGAGAGAGAGAGAGAGAGAGAGAGAGAGAGGGAGGGAGAGAGAGAGAGAGAGAGAGAGAGAGAGAGACAGAGAGAGAGAGAGAGAGAGAGAGAGAGAGAGAGAGAGAGAGAGAGAGAGAGAGAGAGAGAGAGAGAGAGAGAGAGAGAGAGAGAGAGAGAGAGAGAGAGAGAAAGAAGAGAGAGAGAGAGAGAGAGAGAGAGAGAGAGAGAGAGAGAGAGAGAGAGAGAGAGAGAGAGAGAGAGAGAGAGAGAGAGAGAGAGAGAGAGAGAGAGAGAGAGAGAGAGAGAGAGAGAGAGAGAGAGAGAGAGAGAGAGAGAGGGAGAGAGAGAGAGAGAGAGAGAGAGAGAGAGAGAGAGAGAGAGAGAGAGAGAGAGAGAGAGACAGAGAGCGAGAGAGAGAGAGAGAAAGAGAGAGAGAGAAAGAGAGAGGTTTAGGTTCGCTTTCATCTGTGACTCGTTTAAAAGTGATTTATTGTTCAATAAAGAAAAGAAAAGCCGCTGATCCAGGTCCAAAACTTTGTCTTCAGATGAAAAGGTGATAAACTGAAATGAGGTTAAAACAGGAGGAGTTATTTGGTTTATTCATTTGTAACTTAAAGAATTGAAGGTAAATGTGGATCATTGCCGTTTTATTTTGCAGGTAAAGTTCAGTCAGAGTGTCTGTTGTCCAGGACTCCGTGGCTTAGAGAGAGACTGACCAATCAAAACAGAGAAAAGGATAAATGACAGATTCAGATACAGACTGATGAGGGAGTTCTCAAACTCTCCTGACCGTCTGTTTACTGACTGATGATGAAACTGAGACGACTGTTATTCTGAAATATTCTGAATGATTCAAACTGGAAACTACGTCAGAGCAGGAGTGACCATCTGACTGTGACGGTGTTTGGGTGACAGGAGTCCAGAGGCTGGAGGTCTGACCCCCCAAAGTCTCACCTTTCAAAGTGGAGGTCGTAACCACACGCCAGAATCGCCCTCCAGACGCTGCGTATGTCCTGCTTCGCGCGGTCGACGGCGAACTTCTGGAAGCCGTCCAGAGTCAGGAACTTCTCCTCTGGGACTGAAGAAAACAGAGAAGTATGTGAGGACGGCTGTTACCAAACACCTCCTAAATTTACTCCTGGAGGGAGCGGCGGAGCGTCACGGCGGGGTCACTAAAGGTTACTAGAGTTCATCTTAGAGGGGGTCTTCAGAGTTCAGCAGGACCTCAGGGTCTGTTCACCTGATCCACGGAGGTACCGATGAGTGAAAACAAACACCCTCTCTGTCTGAGCAGAACCGACACTGAGACCAGGGTTTGGGTCAGCGTCTCTACGTTCCCTGAGTCAGCGATATTAGAGGGTTCAGTCTGATCCGGGTCCACTCTGTGGCTACAGCAGAAAAAAACAGTGAAATGTCCCTTTAATACCAACCTTCAGTTTTCTTAGCAGGAGACTTCTCCACGTCTTTCTCTTCAGGTCTGGACTTCTCCGGGGATTTGGGCTTCAGGACCGTCTTCTTCTCACTCAGCGCCGTCCTATCAGAGAGAGGCGGACTTTAGAAGGTCTGACAGACAACCATTATCATCATCATCTTCATCATCCTCATCATCATTACCATCATCCTCATCTTTATCATCATCATCATCCTCATCTTTATCATCATCATCATTATCATTATCATCATCTTCATCATCATCATCATCCTCATCATTATCATCATCATCCTCATCATCATAATCATCTTCATCATCCTAATCCTCATCCTTATCATCATTATCATCATCATACTCATCATCATCGTCATCATCTTCATCATCATCATCATTATCATCATCCTCATCTTTATCATCATCATCATTATCATTATCATCATCTTCATCATCATCATCATCGTCCTCATCTTTATCATCATCATCATTATCATTATCATCATCATCATCATCATCCTCATCTTCATCATCATCATCATTATCATTATCATTATCATCATCCTCATCCTCATCTTCATCATCATCATCATCCTCATCTTTATCATCATCATCATCATCATCATCCTCATCTTTATCATCATCATCATCATCATCATCATCATCCTCATTACCATCATCATCGTCATCATCCTCATCCTCCTCATCTTCATCATCATCCTCATCATCATCATCTTCATCATCATCATCCTCATCCTTATCATCATTATCATCATCATACTCATCATCATTATCATCATCATCATCTTCATCATCATCCTCATCATCTTCATCATCATCATCATCATCATTACCATCTTCCTCATTATCATCGTCATCATCATCATCATCCTCTTTATCATTACCATCATCCTCATCCTCATCTTCTCACAGCTCTGAGTTCTCAGAGGTCTCACCTGACGCTGTTGAGCACAGACTTCTCCTTGGTGGGGGGTTTGGTGATGGGTCTCTTGGTGCTGACCACCTTCCCCTGGTGCTGTTCTTTCCCTGCTTTGCTGTATTTGTTCTTGTTGGGTTTGGGGGTGCCGTACTTCCTCAGGATCTGAAACAAACGAGGGATTTAAACGTTTTCATGAAACTGAAAAATCAAAGTTTCTGTTTAAAACTTTTGACCTTCAGTGAAAATGAGATTTTTTTATATCAGAACCATGAGAGAACCTGAGTCAGCTGGTCCTCCAGAACCTTCTTAGGAGGTCTGACGTTGGTGAAGAAGGTGTGCAGCAGGTTCCCGGGGGTCTGAGAGTTGATCTGCTCCTTGCTGAGGTAAATGTCCGACACTTTGACGGGCTTGGCGGGCGTGAGGCTGAGCATCTGCTCTGAGTGGACGCAGCTCTTGAAGATGTCTGTGAGGACGTCTCGAGCTCCAGGTACCAGTTTATCACCTTGAAGACACATGGAGACAGCTGAGGTTAGGTGAGATCTGACGGCGCTGAGAAGAAGCAAAAATATGAAGCACCGACCTTTTATGGTCTTTTCCAGGAAGTAGTCCTCGAGGGCGGAGCTTCCCTGGGTGTCAAACAGACTTTGGTTCACGCTGGACGCTGTGAGGATCTCCTCATTGGTCAACTCCATCAGCTCCTCTTCACCTTCCAGACTGGATAAGCCAATCAGGTCGCTGCTGTTGAAAAGACTGGCCCGGATTTTTTCCACTTTGGCCCTGGAGCGAACCTTCAACCAATCAGAGGAGAGAGCATCATCATTCAACCAATCAGAGGAGAGACAATCATTACCCAACCAATCAGAGAGGACCTGCTCATACTTGACCCACCTCGATGACGGCGTAGCCTTTGATTGGTCGGCTCATGACGGCGTTGCTCTCCAGCGAGGTGACGGTGTTCATGGATCCTCCGTCTGACACTGACGGGGTCTCGGCGCTGTCCACCGGCTCGCCCAGGCTGCCCAGACTCCCCAGACTCCCCGTGCTGCACTGGGACGTGTCCTCCTGGCTGGAGACGGTCTGGGGGTCTTGAGGTCCCAGCTGTGGCGAGGTTACAGCTGAAGCTGCGGCGGCGGCGGGGTTGAGAGGAGGGACAGACAACATCTCCTGGTCGACGGAGAGTTCGCTGGCGGTGCGGGAGACCCCCTGAGAGGAGCTGCAGATGGAGGTCTGGCTGGTGGAGGCTGAGGCGCTCACACTCATGGCTGGCGTCACGCTGCTGGAGCTGTCAGGACTCTCAGGACCGCCGCTGTTCAGGAAGAGACGCTCGGGTTCAGGACCCGTTTTGGCGTCCTGAGGGCTGGTAACCCCGGCTGCAGGTTTTGGCTTCTTGGGGTCCTCCTCCTGCAGAGGGATGAAGACCTCATCCTTGAAGAGACCGCCGTGAGCGTTACACGCCCTGCGGATGGCGTTTCTGACCACGGCCTCCTCCAGGTGCGTGGGGATACCTGAGAGCACCAGCAGGCGGCTGTGGGCGGTGGGGCCCACTAAGGCCTGGCAGGCGTCTGTGACCGCGTCGCTGGTCACGCTAAGGCCCTGTGGGTCTTTGTTGGCGAGGTGTCGGAGGATCATCAGGAGCGTGAGGCAGCGGTGGAACCACAGCATGTCCTCGGGTTTACTCCCCGCCATGTTCAGCAGAGCGCTGTCGCTCTCTGACAGCCGCGCTCCTCCACTTCCTCGTTTCCCTGAAACCGCTGCAGCCACGGCGGCCGCCGCTCTCTCACGCTTCATCTTCACCTTCTTACGTTTGGAGAGCAGACTGGGACTCTGCGGCGTCTGACCCGGGGACGAGGACGAGGACGAGGAGGAGTCACTGAGATTAGGAGCGCTGGTGGAGGACAGAGCCCCCACCGAGGAGCCGCCGACATTCAGAGGGAGCGTCACCTCCGCCACCGCCAGACACACCTCCATCAGAGCGTGGAAATAGGTGGAGAAGCGGCTTTGCTCCGCCCCCAGAGCCAGAGGAATCCCTCCAGAGGAAGACCCCCCTGCTCCGGCCCCTCCTGCCGTCCATCCCTGAGTCTCTCTGTCGTAGAGCTTTCGGAGTTCGGTCTGCAGCGCCATGAGAACGGCGAGGCACGGGTTGAGGAGCAGGGCGATGGAGCTGGAGAGACCGGCGGGGCTTTTCCGCTGCTCCAGGTGGTGGATCTTCCTCAGGAGCTCCGCCAGCAGGTGAAAGATGAGCTCTTTGATGGAGGGGGCCAGGTCAGTGGTCCAGAGGAGACCACCTGAAAGAGGAGAGGAGGAGACACGGTCGGACTTTTTATTATTGGATCGTTCTTCAGTTTGATTTCTGATCATCCTCTAATATCTATAATATATCAATATCATTGAATATAATAATTTAATATTTATATATTAAAAATAAAATTATAAAATATATAATTATATTTATAGTATATAAATATAATTAAATATAATAATATAGTATTTATATATTACAATATTATTATATAATATATAAATATCATTAAATATAACATAGTATTTATATATCATAATTATTATTATATAATATAAAATAATATTTATAATATATAAATATCATTAAATAAAATAATATAGTATTTATATATTACAATATTATTATATAATATAAAATAATATCTATAATATATAAATATCATTAAATATAATAATATAGTATTTATATATTATAAATATTATTTTATAATATATAATAATCTCTATAATATATAAATATCATTAAATATAATAATATAATACTTATATATTATAAATAATATTTATAATATATAAATATAATTAAATATAATATTATAGTATTTATATATTCAAATATTATTATATAATATATAATAATATTTATAACATATAAATATCATTAAATATAATATAGTATTTATATATCATAATTATTATTATATAATATATGATAATATCTATAATATTTAAATATCATTGAATATAATAATATAGTATTTATATATTATAAATATTTTTATATAATATATAATGATCTGATATTTGAAGGAGCGGTGAAACCTCTCCGACCTACCTAACAGCTCCACCACCTGCAGCAGCACCGATGGCGGCACCGTGTCCAGCTCATCCTCCGATCGCTCGCTGCTCTCCACCAACTTCCACGTCAGCAGCTGCTCAGCGAACGCCATCGCCAGAGGGAACTCCAGCGGCAAAGAGTGCAGCACCAGCACAGCACCAGGAGGGGGCGACACCCCTGCGGTCGACACAAAGAACGTTTGATCAGGTTTTATGAATCAGAGGTCAGGCGGCGTGCGAGGCCTCCATGTTGGCGTCTGAACACTCACCCAGTCTGATGTGGACCTTATCGGTGGGAATGATGACGGAGGGGTACTGGTTGGTGGTGGGAGGGGGAGTAAGGCCTGTGTTGGTGGGTGAGGCGTCCAGAGGGTAACACACCGCCTCCATCAGGTTCAGCTGACCGTTTCGACGCACTTTGTGACCCAGACCGTAGACCATGACCCGGGCCCAGGGAGCTTTGTAGAGGCTGGAGCTGATGGAGAGGAGGAAGAGGAGGGTCCAGGAGTGAGACAGGAACATGGAGGAGGAGGAGAAGGAGAAGAAGGAGAAGAAGAAGGAGAAGAAGAAGAAGAAGAAGAAGAAGAAGAAGGCGAAGAAGAAGAAGAAGAAGAAGAAGGAGAAGAAGGAGAAGAAGAAGGAGGAGGAGAAGAAGAAGAAGGAGAAGAAGAAGAAGAAGAAGAAGAAGAAGAAGAAGAAGAAGAAGGAGAAGAAGAAGGAGGAGGAGAAGAAGAAGAAGGAGAAGGAGAAGGAGAAGGAGAAGAAGAAAAAGAAGAAGGAGAAGAAGAAGGAGGAGAAGAAGAAGAAGAAGAAGAATGTGTGTTTGCGGAGAGTCACTCACTCTTTCCTGCAGCCCAGCTGACTCTCTTTACAGGATACAATCACGAAAGCGGCGCCTGGAAAGCTGACGTCCATGCTGACCTTTGACTCCGTCACAGGAAACTCCTCCGATGTAAACTGCTCCGGGGCGTTCTGTGAAAATAATAAGAAGGAGAGATCAGCTGACTGGACAGGTGGGCAGGGAGGTTGCTGAAGTGGGCGGGGCTGACCTGCAGGAAGCAGCAGATCTGCTTGGTCAGCTCCAGCAGACTCTCCTCCCCCTGGTGTAAGGCACGGGTGATGGCCACGGTCAGCCACTCCCTGATGGGCTGGGCGTTCCCCTGATAGAAGAGGTCTGAGGGCGAGCAGCTCTGACCCTGAAGGTTGTGGAGCAAAGACTGGGCCAGAAGGATGGAGCTGGAGCTGATGGTGCCATCTGCAGGAAGAACCAGGACATGACAGTCAGGAGCGCAGTCTGAGGGTCTCACCTCCTCTGAAGCTGTTGAACCATCAGCTGTTGGTTTATTAACTGTTTCAAGGCCCCCCCTTCCTGACTGTTTTCAGGTCTCTCTGGTGTTAAGATGCAGTCAGATCTACGTCACTTCAGTATCCAATCAGAGAGAGACACACACACGGTCTGTAACTACTTCCTGTTTATCTATGTTAGAGAACTGAAGGAGGGGCACGCTTACCTGGGAGGGGCGGAGCCAGCAGCTGGTTGGACAGTAGCTGCAGGTGTTCTAAGGTGATGTCACGGATGGCGGGTATGTGGAAGAGTCGTGTGAAGGTGTGCGGACTCTTGGGGGCGAAGATGTTGAGCAGCGCCATCCTGCAGTACAACCGCGCCAGCGCGCTCTCACAGCGGAGCAGCTCCCTGCAGCAGAGACGGTCAGAGTGAGCGGAGGAGGAGGAGCTACACCTGTCATACCTGTCTTCATCTCACTCAGGTGTGGACGTTACCTGTGGATCTGGATGTTGCTGCTGTCCAGTGAGACTAAACCGTTGGCCGCAGTACGTCGAGATCCAGCCGGGGGGCGCTCTAACATCTCTATAGGATACCAGTACCGGACCAGCACCCCCTCACTGCGCAGGTACGTCTCCACCTGAACCAGCTCGTTCACCTGGGGGGGATTTAACACCTGAGTCAGCAGGAAACACCTGAATCTGCGTGAATCAAACTGAAGCCCGTGTTCTCGGAGGTCATGTGACTGAGGGGGGGGGTTCATGTCCCTGAGACCTCACAGTCCACCAGAGTCCTGGTGTTTTCAGGTACTCACAGAGTCCACGTCCAGGACCACTCCATGGAGACCGAAGGTCTTCAACATCCCCCTGATGGCGAACTTGGGCAGCGCCGTCCCTCCTGTGGAGCTGTTGGTGTTGTTGCTGTCCGGACAGCGGATGACCACGGTCAGACCTGTGAGAGAGAGGACAGGTGCAGAGGAGACAGGTGGATCATACAGGTGAGTCCTGCAGAGTCCTGCAGAGTCCTGCGGTCTACTGCGGTCCCGTACCTTTGCGGACTTTGTCGATGGTGAACTTGTTGGCCTCATCCTTGATGTCCTCGATGGTTGGGAGGTAAAGGTCACGAGGAATGCCGCCGTTCTCTTCGTACAGGAACTCCACCGTCTGTCTGGCGATGTCAACCATACCTGTTCTCCAGGAAACACACAGAGGGTCAGTTTGTCTGGGCGGGGGTCCGACTCAGGACAGGTGGGGCTGATCTTTGAAACTCAGATCCCTGTGAGACTGAAAACTCTTCACACGGGTTATTAACGAGTTTTTGTTTCATTAATGAGACTTAGTTTGATGAAGAACTTCAGCACAAACATCAGACGATCTTAAACACTAAAACCCGGATCATCAGTCAGACTGTGACCCGGGTCTCTGGGTCTGCGGTCTCTGGTTCTTTACCTAACTGCAGAGCTCCTTTGATCTGGTCCAGACCAGATTTCCTCTCAGCCTCGTTACGAAACCGCCGGCGAATAGTCGGGAAGACTTTGGTCTCCCAGGCTTTGACCAGCAGGGCGTAGTGGTCCTCCTGAGGTCAGACACAGATCAGGTTTAGAACCAGGAGGTTCACTCTGACCAACAGGAGGAGGAGAAGTTCACTCACCCTCGGGACGTCATCATCGTCCTCATCGTCGCTCTCGTCATCTGCGATGGGAGGAGGATGCGGGTCAGGTCCAGAGGTGACCAGGTTCTCGTAGCTCAGCTCCACTTTGTAATGGCAGGACAGGTCGCTGTTATACTCTGAACCGAGAGAGAGAGACAAACGTCAGAGAAACAGACGCACGCTGATGTTCAATAAAGGAGGAACGGGCTGAGAGAAGGCGAAGGCGTACGTTGTTGAGGGACAGCCACGGCCGCGATCCGACACGGCGGTCCATGTGAGCCGGAGTCCGAGGTAACACTTGCACCTGCATCGTTGTCGCTGTCTGAGGCCATGGCGAAGGGCAGCGCCTCAAAATTAGCGCTTATCTCCTCCGCCAGGTCCACACACAGGTCAGCGGCGTTTCTGTGCGCTTGACCTTCAGCGTACGCAAACGGGCGGCTCCCAAAGTTGGCACGAATCTTTGAGTTCTACCAGGAGAGAGAAACGGGTCAGTCCCAGAGTTCATCATGTGACTGACATCATGTGACACACCATAGACATCTGTGTATGACTGTAACTGCAGCGAAAACCAAAGTCAACCAGAGAACGCCGCTCCAGCAGCTCAGGGTCGACCCGGTCTGAGGGAACTCACCTTTTTCTGGATGTGCACCAGAGGCCACATCCCTCCAGCGACGTCCTCCAGGATGGGGCTGAGCCGCTGCCCACAGTAGGTGAAGTAGACCCTTCCTTTAGGGGCCTGACCGGGGGGCGGAGGAGTGCCCTCAGAGCGCTCCCAGCCTATCCCCGCCACGTCACCTGATCATCCAAACAGAGCGCCACGTTAGCAGGAAAGCTCGATGCCACCAAGATCATAGTAAAGGTGCAGCTTCAGTTAAAGAGGAAGATCGGTTAGCAGATTTTGTTTTAAAGCAGCCGGTTAAAGAGTTGAATCCATAACAGAGACCGTGCACGGATCTATTTACACGTCCACCAAACCAAAAACAGACAAAGTTTGTGTCTCCTGTCTCACCAGGAAGTAGAGCCACATCCAGCCTGACACTCTTCCACTGCAGCAGACTGGAGCCGTTATAATGCACTGCCCTACCATTACTGAGGGACACAGACGACGGGGACAGACAGGAGACAGACAGGAGACAGACGCACAGAGAGAAACAACATGGAAGGGAAGAGAAGCAGTCAGCACTCAGTCAGAGACAGAGCAGTGAGGAAAGGATGCAGACGGACCTGCAGAAACACCTACTTATGAAACAGACAGGTGCCCACAGGGTTGGTCCACGCTCCGTCTCTCTTCTCTGCCTCTGTAGCAAAACCAAAGGACACGATGGGGCCGCTGTCCTCCTCAGAGTCTCCATAGGAGACGATCTCGATCTCCCAGTAAAAGGACGGGGCCTGCAGGGACACGGAGACGTTTCTAAGAATAGAAGCTCAAACAAACTCAAACAGCAGGATTTAATCCTGGAGCGTCTTTAACCTTTGATGGACCGCTGACCTGAATCGGGACGGGACACGTGGCATAGATGAAAGTTCCTCTGGGCAGCCCTCCTCCAGCGCTGGGATCAGCCAGGAAGGTGACGGAGGTCAGGCGGGACGAGAACATGCAGGCCCGGACCGGAGGGAAGACTCTGGACGGACACCAAGTGATCTCCTTCGGCTGACGAGGAACCCACATCAGAGGGATTAAAGATAAAAAAGAGGAATATGAGAAAGTCTTTGAAGATATTTGACTGAGTCAGACAGAGAGAGAGAGAGAGAGAGAGAGAGAGAGAGGGAGAGAGGGAGAGAGAGAGAGAGCAAGAGCGAGCGAAAACAACTCCTTCATCAGTCTTCACATTCAGACACTCCACTTCTCTTAATTTAACTTCAATCATCCCCAATATTTCTGTTATCACTCTAATCTCTCATTCAGGGGAGTCATAAATATTATCTTTATTTCTTTATTCCACCTTTCTTGGTCCAGGTTGGTCCCACACAGGTCTGAGACCTCTTTTCCAAGTGAGACATGGTCCAGAAAGACCCCTAAAAGGAGTCAGCTCAGAGAACTCGGCCGTCAGACTTTGAAGTTCGGATTTAAACACAAAGATTTCTGTGTCAACTCAGTTCGAACTTTGGAAAGAAGAAAATGTTCAATGTCCTCTAAAAAAGTCCATCCTTCGGTGTTAATAAAGATGAAAACAGATATAGTAGATATAATATGTTCCTTTAAAGACGAGCTGTCACTCTTTAAAATCCACAAATATTTAAGTAGATATAAACTCAGTTTCATAATCATCTCTGATGACAAAAACACGAGTGTAGTCGTGTCCAAGTCTGGAACGAGCTGCTAAATCAAACCCTAAAGTAGATTTAATAAAGGTTAATGAAGAGTTAATAAAGAGATAATAAAGACTTAATAAAAGGTTAATAAAGAGTTAATAAAGAGTTAATAAAGACTAAAAAAGAGTTAATAAAGAGTTAATAAAGACTAATAAAGGTTAATAAAGAGTTAATAAAGGTTAATAAAGACTTAATAAAGGTTAATAAAGAGTTAATAAAGGTTAATAAAGACTTAATAAAGGTTAATAAAGAGTTAATAAAGGTTAATAAAGAGTTAATAAAGGTTAATAAAGAGATAATAAAGGTTAATAAAGAATTAATAAAGAGTTAATAAAGAGTTAATAAAGACTAAAAAAGAGTTAATAAAGAGTTAATAAAGACTTAATAAAGGTTAATAAAGAGTTAATAAAGGTTAATAAAGAGATAATAAAGGTTAATAAAGAATTAATAAAGAGTTAATAAAGAGTTAATAAAGACTAAAAAAGAGTTAATAAAGAGTTAAAGACTTAATAAAGGTTAATAGAGTTAATAAAGGTTAATAAAGACTTAATAAAGGTTAATAAAGAGTTAATAAAGGTTAATAAAGACTTAATAAAGGTTAATAAAGAGTTAATAAAGACTTAATAAAGAGTTAAAAGGTTAATAAAGGTGTGTGTCGCTGTCGGCAGCATAGAAGTGAGAAACTGAGTTTGGGTCACTCTGTCCAGGACAGTCTATGCAAACAGACCCAGAACTGATCCTTGGGGCGCCCCTGATAGATCTGTAGTACCTCTAATAATCTACGGTCTGTTCGAAAACGACGCTGTGGTCAACAACAATAAACAACAACAGGCGGCACAGCTGACCATCGAACACAAATATCACCTCCAGCTCTCAGAGCAGCAGCGGAGGTGAAACGGTTTTCAAAGGATTTCCTCTGCTGCAGAAGGAAAACACAAACTCAACTTCACCTGCAGTTTATTTCTGTTACAGTCTTCATGAAAACTGGAGGACCGTATGTTGGGACACGTTCAGTAAATCAATCCAAAACCACATGTTCACAGAGATGAGCTCTTTGGTTATTTTTGATGGTTTTAACTCTCATATTTTCACATAACTGACCAAAGTCTGAAGAATCTGCAGTTTCAGAGTTCTTACCTGCCGCCTGTCGGTCTGCAGAGGAGGAGGAGGAGGTCGAGCGCAGTCCCTGTACAGCATCCTCACTCTCTCACACTGAGCTTCCACCATGCCGAGGCGTTCTCCTGCACAAGGTGACAGGGCTGTCAGACACACAGCTGAACAAACGAACATGAAGACAAACAGAAGACCTGCAGAGCTCAGAGTGTTGGTTTTTACCTGGGCTGCACTCCTGAGCCACCAGGTTCAACACCTCCACCGCAGCAGGACACTGTTGGATGAACTCCTCACAGAAAGAGCTGTCCTCCAGCAGCTGAGCCATCACCAGGCACGCCCTGAACACCACAAACAAACAGGGTTCTGATTCAGGTCCAAGCCTCTGTTATACTGTTGGACTTTCAGAATAAAAGCACCCGAAGGTTCTGGATGACCTGATTTTAGACACACTAAAACACTGAGCAGAAGAGCTGACGAGTCAAAACTGAAGAAAACTTGTTAAAAAAATAAATAAACGTCTCAGATCGACCCGGGAGTCTCGGTCCACATGTTTCTACCTGGTTCTGATTTCAGCCAGCAGACGCACTGCAGCCATGACCGGGCTGGAACCATCTCCTGTGGCTGGTAGAGACGTGTGGATCGAGAGACTGCCCTCTTGTGGCAGAAGCATGGACTGCACTGCTTGAACCACCTTCTCAGTGATGGAGAGCTTGTAGAGCGGCAGAGCCTGGAGAGAGGAGACCAGAGTCATGAAGCTGCTGTTTCTCACCAACCTTCAGTCTGCGCTGCTCTTCCTCAGGTCAGACGTGTTCCTACCTCAGATCTGGGCGTGCAGAGTCGGGATATCGGCACAGTTAGGATGTCTGAGGCTTTGCAGGTTCTCCTGTACTCACAGGACGGGAACTTGACGGTGGCAATGCCCTCCTGCTCATTGATGGACATGACCACGCCCACACTGCCCAGCACGCCTTTACCCACGACCTGCAGGTGGAGAATCACAGGAAACACTCAATATTTTCAGGCTGTGGTTGATGATTTGTGTTCCCATCGTTGGGTCCTCCTCTACAAACCTGGACCTCTGAGCCGATCTTAATGGTCTCTTTGAAACCTCCGAGAGCACACAGCGCAGCTACAGCTTGTCTGCCGATGGCCTGCAGCTTCGCCAGTTTCCTCCCACTGCTGCTCCCGTTCTCCAGGATACTCTCAGCGTACTTCCCCAGCTGAGGGATGAACATCAGCGCCCGAGAGAGGACCTGCAAGACAAGAGCATGAGGTCGAACACAAACAGGATCATATGGGAGGATAGGCAGAGCATCAGTACCTCTGCTGTTAAACAACCACCACAGTTATCAGTGACCGTGAGTGAAAAATACCTCAGTGACAAAGTCTGACCCGTTACACGTCTTTACCTTCTCTGCGGTGCTGGTCCAGATCTGAGCCGTGTTGGACTCGGGGGCGGTGAGCAGACTGTGCAGTAGAGCGATGACCTCAGCAGCCATACTGTTGGCAACATGGCCGCTGATAAACGGCCTGACCGGGTCTGACCTGTTTGGGAACGTCCAGAAATAGTCATCATCATCATCATCATCCACTTCCTCATCCTCTTCATCATTATCATCCTCAGTCCCAACCTCATCACCATTGTCATCATCTTCATCCTCATCACCATCACCCTCTTCCTCCCTCACCCTCCTCATCATCTCCACCCTCAGGCCCCTGACTGCCCTCTCATGTGTCCTGGTCTCTGGTTTTTGCTCTGATCTGGTTTTCCTCACCTGGCCAGTTCTGCGTTCCTGTCCCTGCAAACGGCCGTCTGAGCGGTTTTCTTCTTGTCCCCGGTGGTGATGCCTCCTGCCGTCTCCTGAGCCACAGTCTCCACAGGTGGACCCACACTCACAATCAGACCAGACTGCGCCCACTTGTTGGCCTTCCTCAGGGCGGCGGACGCCTCCTCTGTGACGACCTCACAGCTCCCGCTCTGAGAAAGGGTTAAATCGAACCGCAGAGTTACAGATGGAGACAGAAGCAGCAGATTCTGTGTTTAATGAGTTTCCTTCCAGCTCCACTCTCACCTTGGTCATGTCTCTGTCCATCTTCACCACCTTCTCCATGTTTGCTCCAGTGCCGAGCCGAAAAGGACGTCCCTCTGAGCTGCTGCATGTTAAAAAAAAACACTCTGTGACAGGAACGGAGACAGATTCAGGAGATGTGGAGGACAACAAAGAGGTCAGAGAAATCTTACCTGAGCAGAGGCTGGAGGACTTCATGAGACGACTGGTCCTCTCTTTTGTGGATGAAGATTGACAGTTTGCCGTCCACGGCCTCCCCCTCCTCCCCGACATCATCAGACTTGAGCGCTCCTTTAGAGCTCGCCCTGGACAGACTGGTGTCCGGCTCAGAGGAGCTGGGAGAGAGCAGAGTCTGGCAGCCTGGAAAACAGGAGAGAGAGAGTTAAAGAGCGGGTAATACTCCTGTTATATATAATATATTAATGTGATAATAATGAGAATGATAATGATAGTGATAATGATAAAAAATAATAATAGTAAAAATAGTAATAATGATAAGTATAAAAAAAATAGTAATTAAAAAAAAATAAAATAAAAATAATAATAATAATAATAATAATAATAATAATAATAATAATAATAATAAGAAAAATAATAATAATTATTAATTAGTAATAATGAGGCTATGAAGCTAATATTAATAGTAATGATAATGATAATGATAATAATAGTAAAATAAATAATAATAATAATAATAAAATAAAATAAAATAAATAATAATAATAAAATAAAATAAATAATAATAATAAAATAAAATAAATAATAATAATAATAATAATAATAATAAAATAAAATAAATAATAATAATAAAATAAAATAAATAAATAATAATAATAATAATATCGATCCATCTGCAGCCCAACAGCTGACCTCTCAGTCAGACTTTTTCAGACCTCTATGGGGACCCTGTCCTCGCTGAGGGGAACTCACCTGGAACCACATAATCTGCCAGCTTTGCGAGCAGCAAGGCAGCGATCCGTGAGGCGGGGTCGTTAGCGTCTTGCTGCTCAGCGTCCAGCGTGTTAATGGAGTAGCTCCAGGACGGCAGGGCCACGTTTCCACAGTCCTCCACACTCATGAGAGGCAGAGCGGCTCGGCACAGCTGCAGGATGATGAGGACCAGCTTTGGAGACGGTCTCTGGTCCAGCAGCAGAGACAGGAGCTTAGAGACACAGGCCGGCTGGCTCAGGATGGCCTTCCCTATGTGGCTCCTGAAAACAAAAGGCTCATTAAACACCTGATCAGACACACTCATGGAGTTAACCTGTAGGTGTTCATGAAGGAGAGGAGCTGTTACCTGGAAAGGTCGTTGAGCAGACTGAGAACGTCCTGTAAGGCGTCATTTCCAGCCGCCTGGTTCCCACAGCACTCTGTGGCTCTGGCCAGGTGATTGGTCAGCAGGCTGGACACCTGCCGGGCCAGACCGGAGTGGACCGCATCTGTAGACCCACCTTCAGAGAGAACAGTAGGGATTACTTTAATACCAGACAACATCTGAACACGTGAAGAAGAAGTAAGACCAACAATAATCACTGACCTTCGACCTTCTCCCACTCGATGCAGCGGTTCGCCAGCACCTGGAAAGCAGCCCAGGCCATGGTGGCCACTTTCTGCTTCTTGGTCTGCTTCTCGTTGGAGCTGCTCTCCCTCTGACCGCTGAGACTGCAGAGACTGTCCATGAGCTGGACCAGACCGCTGCGGACCAGGCACTGCTCCTCGCTCCTGTTAGGAGAACCACGTTCAGAGAGGGTCAGACGTCTGAGGGGTTTCTGACACAGAGAGACGACTAAAGGGGACATCTCTAACCTGGTGTACGGGATCGTGCAGAGCAGTCCGATACTGTTGGCACAGGCGATGGGGTAACGAGAGCAGAGAGACACCACGGAGGTCATGGTCTCTCCAAAGGCCTCCTGCACCTGCTCCACCATCCCTCCACAGGTCAGCTCCTCGATCCTGCACACAGACACAGACTCATGACCGTTTCTACGATGGAGGAGTTTTGTTAAAGAGTGAGACTGAAGAAGAAGAAGTTTGAGGAGGAGACGTCTGCAGTGAAAATCAGTTCAGTGTCAGATTCATGAAGATACCATCATCGTACCTTGGACCGCCTTGTAGCACCATCGTGACAGGACCCACCAGGTGAGTGACTCCGCCCACTCTGACAGCAGCAGTGAGTAACTCCCTCATATGGACCAGCGCCTGTTTCCGAGTGCTGCCGCGCCTCCATCGTGTCTGCGCCGCAGACAGGAAGCTGCTGCTCGACACCTGCAGAGATGAGCAGCCAATGAGAAGAGGTCAGACAGGAACCCTAACCCTAAGAGTCATGGGGGGGTAAAGAAGGTCACGGCGGCGGTGGGGGAGACTCACAGCCTGGTCGGGTGTGGTTCCGATGAAGGCGAAGAGCTGTCCCAGCAGGACGCTGTAGGTGGGTTTGTCTCGGCTGTCCTCGATGGCCAGAGACTGCAGCAGAGTGAAGGAGCTGCTGCGGTGACTGGTCGGGTGGTGTCGCCTCCTACAGGAGGAAACGATCATATTCAGCTTCCTGTTCACCCAAGAGTATGAGATCTCTCTAAAACAGGGAAAGACTCGTACCTCTGCGGGGCGTGAGTAAACTCCAGATCCTGGTTGGCGATCATCTCCAAGTCCGAGGGAGCAGACATGCTGCGGAGAAACACCGGCTGCTTCACCATGGGGATCACCGTCTTCGCGTCCGACACAGACTTCGAGGCTGGACAAGAAAAAAAGGACGGATGAGCACATTTTCACAGACGCTAGTTTCATTTAGAATCCAGAAAAACTGAACCAAACATCAGAGTCTCCTGCTGAGCTGGTGAGAGGACGGAGAGAGAGAGAGAGAGAGAGAGAGAGAGAGAGAGAGAGAGAGAGAGAGAGATCAGAGACAGACGAGAGAGAGAGAGAGAGAGAGAGAGAGAGAGAGAGAGAGAGAGAGAGAGAGAGAGAGAGAGAGAGAGAGAGAGAGAGAGAGAGTTAGTGATCAGAGACAGACCTGAGAGAGAGAGAGAGAGAGAGAGAGAGAGAGAGAGAGAGAGAGAGAGAGAGAGAGAGAGAGAGAGAGAGAGAGAGAGAGAGAGAGAGAGAGTTAGTGATCAGAGACAGAAGAGAGAGAGAGAGAGGGAGAGAGAGAGAGAGGACAGCAACTGAGTGAAAAACTAAAGTCTGAGAAGACGATGGAGGACAAAGGTCAACATTTATGTTCTTACAGAAGATCTGCTCACATGGTTTCATATTTAACTCTTCACTTTAATGTAGAATAAGGAGATAAAAATGTTCTTTTTAAACGTGACGTTCAGAGGAAATGATGATTATTATATTAGCATGCTAACAGCTGAACGTTTGAAAGTCTTCATTAAAAGGTTTAGTCGGATTTTTGATCGTAAAGTTGAGCATCATGACCAACAACCGATCAGGGGGACAGAGACACTAAACACACGGTCTGGTACCTGGACCCGGCGTCCCTGCAGGCGTGGTGGTTAAGCTCCTGCAGTGCGGCGCGATGGTCACGTGCAGCAGCAGCTCCGTGCGGTTCATCAGACTCTTAACCAGCGCTTTGGTTTTAGCCAGAGAGGTGACGCTCCTGAGGTGCATGGTGTTGACCTCCTGGAAGAACTTCTCCCTGCAGGTTCAAACACAGACTGTTAACACATGAGGTGACCCCTGATGACCCCTGATCTGTTCCCGCCTGAACTATCATCACTCGCCTCAACGCGAGAACGACGTTTTCCAGATCGGTGAAGTCGAGTGGGACCTCCTTCAGGGAGCAGAGCAGCTCCAGCTCCTTGATTTTGTTCTGAAATAATAAAAGAAAAACGGTCTAAGGAAACAGACGTTTAACGTTGTGGGTAAAAACTGAGGTGTGTTGGAGTGTGTGTACCTCAAAGAAGTGGTAATCATGAAAAAAAGGAGTGTTGTTCTCCAGCTTCCCCTGATGCGCCTCCTCCACCTCGTTCTGCCACTTCTGCTCCAGTTCTGCCACGCTCTGAAGACGAGAGAGAGAGACACCGTCAGACAACAAAGACTGCCACCTCCTCTTTACAGGGAAACACACACGTCTCCTGATGGATCGACACCTCCTCTCAGTCGCTCACTCCTGGTTCTGATGAGACACTAAGATCTCCATGATGACAGAGGCGTCTCTGAGAGGTTTCAGCAGAACCGAGGAGACCTGGAGGGAGCAGAACCTCAGGGGCTGTGTCATCCTTTTTACTACTAGAAGATATTTATAAATGTTTAGTTCAATCATCCATGACAGCAGATCCACGTCTACGTCTACGAAATGTCAGCAGAGCAAACGTACACCTCAAAGGATCACAGATTTAAAGTGATTTTTGACTCAAAAGAACTTCTTAGAATACCTGAAGAAACTACAAACATGCTCGGGTTCGATAAAGTCTCACTGAAAATAAAAAAAACTCCACCTGCAGCTGTCGCTCCATCGCGTTGATCTTCTTAAACGTCTCGGCCATGATCTTACAGACCAGGTCGTACTCCTCTGCGTGGTCCTCGCGGTATTGGTAGTTAACCAGAGACTGGAGGGCGTCTACCAGGCTGAGATGTTTGATCACGCAGGACACTATCACCTCCTCCATGACGTCGGGCCTGATGACCTCCCTGACAGACGGAAACAGACGGAAACAGAGAAGTTTGAGAAGTTTTCCTCTGACCAGAGAACGTAACCCTTCAGGACTCATTTTCAGTGACACTAAATAAAGTCCGGACTGACTTGATGCTCGGGCGGAACTGAGGTCGAGCTCTTCCAGAAACCTCTCGGAGCCTTCCCATGATGCCAGGCGGGAGGCGTATTCGAGGCAGGTCAAAGTAGGTCCCTGGCATGAGGCCCGGAGGCGGGATGAGCACGTCGGTAGGGTAAGTAAACTCTCGGTCCTCCTCGATGGTGAGGGGCAGAGGCGAGGGGCTGGGCGTGAGGGCCGGAGAGATGGCGCCGTTCGCTTCTACCTGCCACTGACACCTGGAGAGGAAACATCAGCAGGTCAACCAGACTGAACAAGACGAACTCATCACGTCTTTGACTAAAGGAGACATGTCTGCAGCGTCACCTCTGCAGCAGTTTGGAGCAGAGCAGGTCATGGCAGGCCTCCTCCTCTCGGGTCACCTCCGGACCGTTGTACAGAATCCGAAGCATCGAGCAGGCGAGCACCGAAAGACCCAGAGCCAGGTCCGCCAAGAAGGGGAGGCCTCCAGAGACGTCCTCTGATGACTCCTGAAACAGAAGACCACCTCCAGAGTGAGCTCCTCTGTCCCACAGCTGACCTAAACAACCTCACATCCTCACATGTTGGTCCTCACCTGAGCTCTGACCGTGCAGGAGAACCCCCACATGGCTTTGTCAGGAGTGTTGTGTTCACGCCCACTCCTCATCTCAAAGGAGAACGTCACAGTGTCGCCTTCAACCTACGACACACGGACACAGCAGACGCTCAGAGGCGTGCATCTAAAACAGAGAGGTTCATGACCTCTACATGTAGCAGAGGAACAGACTGGACCCAGTCCCTGCAGGAGGAGATCTGATCTGTGTCAGATCATCCTCAGATTTTATTTATTTATCTATTTATTCATTTATTTAGACAGGACAGTACCAGTTCATGGACAAGGAGAAGAAGACATGATACAAGAAATATGTATGTCTATTCTAATTGTAAACCAGCCGGAGTTAGCTAAGGCTAATTTCCATCCGTTGTCCTCAAACAGAAAAAAAAGCAACAAAAAAAAAAAAAAAACAGGAGGAAAAAAACAAACAAACAACAAAAAACAACAAAAATAAATAAATAAATAAAAATAAATTTAAAAATATTAATAAATAAATAAAAATAAATTTAAAAATAAAAATAAATAAATAAATAAAAAACATAAAAAAAAAAAAAACAGGAGGAAAAAAAACAAACAAACAAAACAAACAACAAAAATAAATAAATAAATAAATAAAAATAAATTAAAAAATATAAATAAATTAATAAAAAAAATTAAAAAATATAAATAAATAAATAAATAAAAAACATTATAAAAAAAACAAAAAAAAAAAAAAAAAAAAAGACAACAATACAGTAGCGGACGACAAACACGACAAATATAATCCTCAGACTCTGTCTCTGACCTTCCTGAGGAGGTCGCTCGGCCCTCATATCAAACTTCGGTTTTCAGACGTTTTCAGGACTTTATCGGTGAGCTGACTCCTGGGTCAGCTCTCAGAGACCCTCATTCTGGACTCTGTAAACCTGAATTTTCTTCGAGGCCCTAAATCCCAGACACAGAGAGTGTGAGCGCTTCCTTTGAGTCCAGGTTCTCTTACCTTGACCAGGTCTTTGGGCCATCCGGTCCCTAAGACGGAGCGACTGCCGTAGCCCAGAGTGTTCCCTCCGTACTCCGTCACTTTACGGCTGTTGGTGTTGGGACCAGCGTAGATGACCAGCTGAAACACCAGAGGACACGGTCAGATACTAGAACAGTTTCCTTTAATAAATATCAAATAAAGATCATTTATTCTCATTTTAGTGAGGAGTTGACTCCGCCCATCCGGTACCTTGTCATAGTCGTACTGGGAGGAGCATCGGGAGTCAAAGCGGAGGTACAGGCAGCGAGCTCCGGGGATGTGGACCGTCTCCTTGAACTTGTAGTTGTCCCTCACAGGGTGCACCGTCTCCACAGTTTTCCCAGCAGCCCATGGGGCAGGGATCTTCAGTCCTGTCAGGAAGCCGGGCTCCTCCCTCTCATCCAGAATCCTAAGATCAGACAGGAAGAGACTTTAGTTAGGGTCAGATCTTCACCTCAGAGGTCAGCTCCATCTTCATCCTCCTGCTGGTGGACCTCCGTTTGACCTACTTGTCATCAGCAGCAGCACAGGCTTTGGCCCCCGGCCCCAGAGAGCCCCCCAAGAGTGGAGGCTCATCAGTGAAGAGAGGAGACTGAGTCTTCAGTAACAGGGCGGTCTGAGGGGAAAGGTCAAAGGTCAGTCCGTCAACGAGGACCCTGTTTTCTTTTTAATGTAAGAGGACTAAAGAGCGTCCTACCTGACTGGTGTAAAGGACCAGCTGGACCAGCTGAGGCATGAGGGCGTCAGCCAGGGTGAGGGTCTGCAGGTTCGGGTGCATCAGAGACGTGAGCAACACGGGCAGCAGGTGACCGAGCATGGTGGCCTTAGTGACCTGCTCCAGACCCTTCAACCTGAAGAAGAAGAAGAAGAAATGAGGAAGTCATGGAAAAACCACAGAAAGAGGACGGGCGCACAGCGGGGTCTGAACGAAGACCCGGGACCGTCAACCTGATCCAAAAGGACCCCCGCCCCCCCTGCTGATGGTTCTGTCCTTCATTCATAAAGGAGGAGGTCTCAGGTTTACCTGGTTTCTCTGTCGGAGATGTCACTGTTAATCAGAGCTGTGGTCACCTGCTGCAGGGTCTCCAGGACTTCGTCACATCCCACCAGAATCTTGGTAGCTAAGGACAGGATACTGCTCTGCAGCTCCTGAGGACACACACAGTGAGGCCCACACTTACGTAACCACTGCCTCAACTTTTTCAACCATCAAATCTGCAAAGATCGAAACGTCTCTCTGTTCACGCCTGAAGATAAACAAACACAGGCTCGTATTTTCACAGACGAGATCTCATTTTCATGACACTTCAGAAGATCAGGTCTCCATTACAACAGTCCTGTTAACCCACTCTGAAGCTCCGAGCTCAGATGAGCTCCACAGACGTGTTCAGACTCACAGGTGCGCTCACAGGTAGGGGTATTTAAAGGGGATGTTTACCTGTACCTTCATTGTTTCCCCTTGAAGGGAGCTGTCGCTGTCATCGTTATCATCCGGACGGATTAGGATGGTGTTACTGAGGAGGTGGTTCTGGACAGCCATGAGGTAGCGCAGACTAGGTGAGACCACCTACAGAGAAGGGAAAAGAACCACATGGTGTAAGTGACCCGAGGTCTGAGTCGGCACAGATGGTCTGAAGCTCTGCTCAGCTGAGAGTCATACTGGCACAGTAGAGAGCAGCTTCTGGAAGTCATCTCGAGCCACAGTCTGACATTTGGTGATGAGGAGGCAGGATTCCCGGACCACCGTCTTGAGGATACAGTGAAGGAGCTCATCGCTCAGTCTGGAAGAGACAGATTTCTTTACTTTAGGAGAGTTTACTCTGCCAGGGAGCGAATATAAGTCCACGTCTCAGGTTTATTCTGGGACTTTTGATGCTTTTATGGAGAGAGGAGGACCGACAGGGAGTCACAGCTCCTCTTCTTGGGGAGTCATGGAGGTCTCATTGTCGTGGATTTATTTTAGAAAGCTGCTCTTCAGCCTTCAGGGTTTGACATTAACAGCCGCCGACCCACTTTTATAACAGGAAACACCAAAAATGACAAATTCTCCAACAACAACAACAAACGTGTTGAGAAGCTGCTGACTGTAAAACCGCTGAGGACAGAGGTCAGAGGTCAGGGTTAGGGTCAGGGTCAGGGTTAGGGTCAGGGTTAGGGTCAGGGTCAGGTTATCATCTCTGCAGACAGGAGAGGGAGTCACCTGTAGTGGTCGTCCTCCTCGCTCCCAAATCTGTTTTTCTGCAGCTGGTCTGACAGGTTGGTGAGGATGACGTCCCGGAGTTGAGACAGACCACTGTTCCTTTCACCTGAACATCACAGAAACACACCGTGTCAGAAACATTCAAATCAGACCAGGAAGAAGAAGGATGGACATCAGGATGAGAGGTTTTCATCAGACCTTCAGTGAGGACCAGCTTCAGCAGTTTGTTGAGTTCAGCCTCGCCCTGATATAAAGTATTCAGTCCTGAGCTGCAGAGACAGAAACACACACTGATGTAAACCTGCTGTTATCGATCAGACTGTCCTCTCTAGTGGATTTATGTCTCACCTGATGGCCAGGCACACCTCCCTCTGGATCTCTGCTCCTATCTGATCCACCGGAGCCATGAGGAGCTGCCACAGGAGCAGGCCTGCACGCCGCACACTCTCCCTGTTCTGCTCGGACTGAGGATTAAAAAACCTAAAAACCACCTGGAGGACAGACGCAGACATAGATATAATCACACTAGAAACTGTCCGGGTCATGATGTGCAGGTGTGTCTGCAGCTAAATCTGACCTGGAACACCACCAGGATGCAGCGGATGATGCAGGTATCTCCGTTCACCATGGCCTTCTCCATGATATCGCAGATGCTGCTGAAGTGGCGAGCCTCGATGGGGTGTTGTTTACCCAGTAGCGCCCCCAGAGGCAGGCTGTTGCTGCTGGCTGCCAGCAGGTTGAGCTGGTGGATGCACATGGCACCGACATGGTGGAGCAGCTGGTTGATGACCTCGCCTGTGGCCACAGTTTCCTCTGAGAAGAGAAACGGTTTGAGAGGTTTCAGTCTCAGTTTCTGTGAGAACGGGGTCAGGTGGGTTCTGAGTCTGCGGTCCGGTCTACCTTTGGGTTCTTTGATGAGGTGGCTGACGCCCAGCCGATGGCACACATGATGAAAGGCTTGATTCCCAGGATTGCACCACTGGTCGATGTAATCACTGGAGCAGGTCCAGATCAGGTTGTTCAGCGCGTCATAACAAGCTCCTGCAAAAACAAAGATCATTAAATTGATTATTGATTATTGATAACTAACTGTGACAGCTTTCATGACACCGTGAGGCCGTCTTTGGTGAAGAAGAGTTGAACTCACCGAGTCCGGCCACCTGGGCCCCCCGACCCAGAGAGCTGCCGGGGGCGTCGATGAGGTCTGCGCGGCTGCTGAACTGACCGTCAGCCAAGTTAAAAACCAGACTGGAGGCTAAAACTGACCACAGACAAGATTTAGTGACTCTGAACCTTAGAACTGAGCCCGGTTCTATCAGGGACTAGTGTGGACTCACTTTTCAGAGAGGACAGGCTGCTTGTTCCTCCGAACAGAGAGCGTGTGGCAGAGCTCCCAGAAACACCAGGAGGGGAGACCAGCATCACCAGATAGGTCCCGCAGACGTACATGGGGGTCCTCCTCAGGGTCTTCAGAGGGAGCCCACAGCTTGTGTTGACAGCTATGATGAAAACATGAATGTCTTATGAACGTGTGAAGCACATGATCTGATTTTAACGGCGTTGAGAAGGTTTTCTGAGAGGTTACCGGACTGCTCCTCTTTGACGGTGTTGGTGATGGCCGAGCCCGTCAGAGCGGCCAGCGTGGCGGAGTGCGAGGCCCGGAAACGTGACATTCGACTCAGGAGGAGTTCATTCAAGCACTTTGAGGACTCGCCTTCCTTACGAGTCAGAATCACTCTCTCCTGCAGGATGTCTGCGACACATAACCCCGTCTGAGTCTGCAGGAGAGAAAACACGGAAGATGAAACACAACGGAGACGGAGCGGATTCACGTGAGAATACTGAGCACGGCAGAGCAGGTGGGACTCACAGACAGGTGAAAGACATCCATGAAGACAGAGTGTCCTTTCTGCGTCTTCTCATTGAGACTAGCAGGAGACCAGACCCAGTACAGGTAGGTCCCATCTGAGCAGAGATGGAGCGTGGTCATGCTGCTGCCCACCGGGAAGTGATGAGCTGGCATGGGCACAATCTGGCACACCTGTGAGGAGAGTTTCACACTTCATCAGCTCTGGATCAGGCTCCACTTCTCTGACCTGCTCTGGTGTTTTTTTAAGAGCTGGTTTAGAACGGAGGCGATGAACCTAAAACAGATCTGATATCGACTGTAAACATTCAAGTATCTCCCACCCCGCCTCTTTATCTCTCTCTTACATCCTGAATAAAGACGAGCGCTGCCTCATGAGAAGCATTTCAATGTTGCGTAATAAGATTTAAATAAACTGAAAACTGGGTCTTTATCTGAGGGTTGTGTTGAAAATGTGCTGAATGACTCAACAGTAAACCCAGAATAGAGGATCAGAGGTCTACAGTACCTGGAGGGTGAAGGGGTCAATGACCTGGCACAGCTGATGAGGCTTGGCATCAAAAGAGGAAGGACGGTGGAGGAGGCGACCGCTGCTGTACACCACCCAGCCCGGCTCCAGCTCCTCATTTCGACAGTACACGAAACCTCTGCGAACAAACACAAACCGGCGTTTGGATCTTTTTATCTTTAAGTTTAAAGTTATTAAACTCACATTTTTATTCATAAACCAGCCGAAGTCTCTGTGTGAGTTTTTCTCTCTAACATACGATCAGTCTAAACTCTGGGTCAGCTGTGTTCTGATCCAGCAGGGAAACATCGGACATTACTGTGTTTGTCGGCTTCATTATAGAGTCACTTACACCTCTACTCCCTTTAAGGTGAAAGCCGTCCACGTGAAGAGAGTGTCAGTAAATGAAACCGACTTTTAAAAGGTTTTTAGAGTCTAAATCTTACAGTCAGGGAGGCAGACTATAAATCAGGACTAAAGAAGACTGAATACTGACGGGACACGGAGCTCCCAGACCAGGATGAGAAGCTGCATGTTCATACAGATCTACTGGAACAGACAAACACGTCTCTATTACTTCGTAGCGAGCTCCTTTGGTGATGACATATATCTGATTTGAGTGGGCGTGGCTTAACCCCTTTGGCTTTGTTTGATTTCCCCTCAGATCGCTGGTTTGACAAAAACCTGAGCAGAGGTGGTCGTTTCTGAACGTGTAAAAACTCTGAAACAAACTGTTGAAGGAAGGAAGGAAGGAAGCTGCTCTCAGACATGTGGGACGTTTGCAGCACTGGCATGGGAGTGTGTGTGTGTTTGTGTGTGTGTGTGTGTGTGTGTGTGTGTGTGTGCTGCAGATATGAGTTCAAAGCGATCCGGGAAATGACGAGCATCACCATCATCATCATCATCTTTGCTGCTGCTCTGGGTCCTGATCAGAGATATTTTTAGGTCTCCCCCTCTCTTCTTCTGTCTGCCTCTGTTGCTATTCTCTGAGCGCTGCAGATAAAGACGGAGCAGGCGGGTGGGAAGGAGTGTCACGTTACCTCAGTGTCCCGTGTAAACCAGAGCCCAGCTTGCTGAGTCCTCTCCCAGAGGAGTTGGTGGTGTACAGATAGAGCCCGTCTGTGGCGAGACAGCGGCCCAGGTCAGAGTCTGCAGGACGGGGACAAAAAGTTCAGTTGGAGCGACAGGAAGATGCAGATTTATGGAGAGAAGAGCAGGAGGAGGAGGAGGAGGAGGAGGTCTCAACAGGAGAGGAAGAGCTGTGATTGGCTGCTGATGTCTGGACCCTGACTGATCTCAGACCAGCATCCATGTTCTCCTGATCCGTCACTCTAAAGGTCATGGATGGTGAACCTCTCAGTCAGAGCTCAGACCTTCATCTGTTCATCCACAGTTAAAGTCGTCCACAGGAGCCTCACACTCTTCCCTCCCACACTCCTCCTCCTCCTCCTCCTCCTCCTCCTCCTCTCTCCATTTTTAAGTGTTTTCACAAACTTTAAGACAAAAGACAGTCTGAATTATCTAAAGGTAAATAAGTTTATCTAAAACGATGTCCTCTCTGCAAACACATGTACAGATAAAATAAGACATCCTCTGGAGCACATACTGAGAGTCAGTGATATTAGTAGGTTTATGAACACAGATTAGATTAGATTAGATTAGATTAGATTAGAGCTCACCTTTATTCTCTGCTCCTCCAGCAGAATTATCAGGTGTGGGCAGCATGTCCTCAAAACCCCAGGACACACTGTGTTTGCCCCCCAGGAGGCACGACGGAGATCCTGGACCTCCTTCCAGGAGCAGAAGTCTGAAACCAGAGAGGAACAGAGGCCGCCTCATCAGACACATTCACACATTCACACATTCACACATTCACACATTCACACACATGCATGTGCTTCGTGTCAGTGTGCGGTGTGTCCCCCTCCCTCCCTACAATAATTAAAAGTGCAGCACGCTCGATTCGCACTTCATCCACACTTTGAGTAAGACCACAGCTGAGCAGTGTCAGTCGAGTAAAGTACCCACAATGCATCACAGTGGTGACGTTTATCCCATCCATGTTATCATGAAGACTGCAGTGAGACTGCTGCTTCAGAGTGATAAAGAGGTTTTCATAGAATTCAACAACATGATGGTGGAACGGTGATTATTTATGAGCTCCATGAGTGAGTCTGCAGTGAGCAGGACAGCAGCTCAATCAGCTGTTTTTGGGGTTTTAAAGAGAACATTAGAGTCAGAGCAGATCACTTTATATGAACGAGCACACTAATGTTTCTGTAGAGACGGAGCAGCAGCACAGAGTCTGCACATTCAGAGACATTCATAGACTGGCCTCACCTGTAAAGGACGTCTGAGACGGGGAGCTGACCCAGATCGGTCTGTTTCTGCAGCAGGTGAACTGTGTGGATGAAGGTCTTGAGAGATCCCCTGGAGAAGAGTTTGGCAGATTAATCAGGAGGCCTCAGCAGGAAACAGGACTTAGTTCGAGCTCATTGTTAAGCAGCTCTGCAGCTGTAAGTGGAATAATTCCTCTGCTTGAATTATGGAGGGGACCTGATGTAATCTGCTGGGAATCAAACTGTTGAAACTGAATGAAAGACGATTTTCACTCAGAATTCAGCACAGAGATTATTTAACACAGCCTCTCTCTGCAGGGCGGAACGGGAAACCTACTTCAGCTTGTTCTGTGTTCATTGACTGAACTATTAATGGGAAATATACAAGTGAGTCAATATTCAGGGCAAACGTCTGTGCAGGAAAGTTTGTAAGAGCAGCTTCAGAAACTAAGAGAAGGGCAGAAAACAACCAGACAATAATTGTGTCGTATATAGTGTACATACTTGTATATTGTAAAACTGTATATATATTGCATATTTTGATTATCTCTTTATTTTTACTTATTTTATTTTTAATTTCCCCCTGAGGATTATTAAAGTATTTCTGATTCTAATTCTGATCACAGCTGTTATTCTGACTTATATGAGCATCACTCTCATAGCCGACCTCCTGCTGTAGAAAAAGGCTTTTCTGATGACGTGTCGACGTGTTTCACATCACAGAAAAAACATGGATTCATCTTGTGTTGATGTCTTATTCCAAACACGGATGTCAACATCCAATCAACAGCTGATTTCATGAATATATCTGCGGTCTTTCAGCTCGCCAACCTCTCACACGGTGATTTTAATAACCCTCCTCACTCAGAGTTGAGTGGGAGTAAAGCTCACAGCTCTTTAATTAGCTCCCACTGTTGGTGAAAAGGCACCAGGGCTGGATGGTTCCCCACAACAAAGAGCTCTCAGCCTCCCTCCCTCCCTCCCTCCACAGAGGCCCAACAAAGAGTGGAGAGTTCTGGTTTTGACAAGTCAAGATCAGTTGTCACCAGCAGAAGCTAAAGTTCAGGCGCAAACGCAAAGACAGAAAAAAAAACAACAGGGTTTGTTCTGCTGCAGGCTGTGAGCTAGAATCTCCCTGCAGCATTTTTACAGCGAGCTGATGATGGTTAGGAAAGGAAAAGTGACCCCCCCCCCCATGATGTATACAGCTCACGGTGTGTGTGTGTGTGTGGGGGGGGCCTTTCACTGCTGCACCTTAGAGGATTGAACTAACTTTAGAATCCCGGTCGGAGCTGCAGCAGAACCGTCAGGTTTTTCTGGGACCAGTTTCACTTTCAAACAGTGTTTGAAGATCCTGCCAACAGAACAGTTCTGCTCTAAACCCAAACACTGCACTGACACCGACAGAGAGTCTATGTATGTACACTATAGAGGGATAATACTGAGGTCTATAACCCAGGCTGCTGTGTCTAATGTGGGGAGGAGGAGGAAGATCTGCTGGTGTGTGTTTTAAACATGATGTTAACATGGACACTCATCACTGATCAGAGGAGGATTATTTCAGCTTTAGTGAAGTCATCAATATGTTCATCAGAAACTGTCTTCACCAGGTTAGTGTCTGACTTTTAAAGGGTTAGGGTTAGATTAGCAGACTCTCTGAAATGACTGATCATAAACAAAGTCATTAAACACAAGGACCAATCAGAGGAGACCAGAGGAGGGGAGGACATCAAGAAAGGACTGCGGGGCCTCACCTGGCACAGGCGAGCGCCACCAGAGCGGCAGCGGCGTTTTCTCTCTGTCTGTGCGTGTGGAGGATCTGCATCGGAGCTTTACCCGACTGTTGTCCTGCCTCCTGGGCACCATCTTCCAGCCACGAGCAGAGCAGCCCCTCCAGACCGTTGAGGCAGTCGGCGGGCTCTTTGCTGAGGCTGAGTGGCTGGCAGTCCCGGAGGCAGGCTAGCAGAACCTCTGCTGTGACTCCGCAGAGCGCCGGGTCACTGCGAGTCTGCGACTGCAAGAGGGGGAAGACCAGCAGCAGACCGACACGGGAAGTAAACGGCGCCTGCTCGGGCTGCTGGAGCAGACCTTGTCTTTTAAGCAAGGCCAAGGTCTCCTCGTCAGCCCCGCCAGTCCCCTCTCGCTCCTGCTGCTCCTCCAGGGCCAGCTGCCGCTGCGCTCCCCACAGGCCTCGCAGTGCGTTGAGACGGTACTCCAGCAGGCGGGCATAAGCGTTGCTTTGATTCCCACAGACGGCACGTAGACGCTCTGCAAGCTCCACTGGGTTTTTGGTCTCAAACGTAAGAATCTGGCAGATATGCAGGAGAGAAGAGAGAGACATGAACAGAAGCACCACTGTGACAATCAGCCAGCAACTTTCAGAGAACAATACATTTTAGAAACGGGAGACAGCATGTGTTTCCTTCCTGGTCTGGCTGCTCACAAATCAAATTTTCCACATCAGAGAGTTATTCCCTCAGAAATATTATTCAATTACTGAGGAAGCTGGAGAATCCAGATTTCACTGTCATGGGTTTGAATCTGAGTCTTTTTATACCTGAGAATGAACTCTGTTTTTTTTTAACCTAAACTCATGATTGGTCGGCCCAGATCTTCCTGGTATAAGTCATCCTCAGTATGAATCACCTCCCCAGAAGAAGTCCTTGTTCAGCTCCTTACACTCTGCAGCAGTGGTGGTCAGAGATGGAAGACACATTGGGATAGCCTATTACAAGTAAAACAATGTGCTTCATGTGCACTTAGGCAGCATTTCAGATATTGATTAGACTCTGAGGCCCACGAATCATGGACCAGGAAAAAAATCCATTACAGCATTTAGCAGGAACAATTTGTATTGACTGAATTTCAGAAATGCTCCTAATGTTACAGTCAAACTCCTTGGCTGGATGCTGGGCCTTCTCCACCTTCTTATCCACAAAACAACACTGCTGCAAGGGGATAAAAATAGTCAGCATCACAACACCTACGGAAACAGCACTGAATGACACAGTCAGTCCTAAAGCTGGACTCAGAGAGGAGCAGGAGTGTGGAGAGACCACGATTCAGACTTCAGGGTCTAAACTCATCTGTGTCTGCTGAAAAACCTGAATACGAGTGTGAGTTCTGTACAAGAGCGTCCATATGCACCACCATACTCCCCACAGCTTTGATTATACAGACCATAACACTCTCAGGGATGTCACCGTCTCATCAGGTAAAGTCTGAGTTTTTGTGATTTGATCCTGGGTGTTTTTACTCTTTAGAAAGTACAGCTTCAGAATTCAGTTTAGATAAATCACACTGAACTCAAATGTTTTTTTAAATCATGAATCGAAGTCGGACTGAAGCCTGTGTCCTCCCTACGCTCGGTTACTTTGACTTCCAGCTGTTAATGAAATAAGTCTATTTACTCATTTTAATTGTTTAAATATAATTATCAAAATAAAAACAGTCCATTTAATTTGGGGATTATGTGCTCTGAGATGATGGAAAGACTACAGCACCCTCTCTGTGTCTTGTCTCGAACGTTGTTGTTGTAGGGTCATATTATTCACGACAAAAAGACGACTAACTTTAAAATGAAACAGCCCTTAATCCCTACATGACCCAGCAGTGATACACTCACAAACAGTGTGTGTATTTTGTCTTCACCTGCATGTCACCACCTGGTTCAGAACAGCATAAACATAAAACTATTGGTTAACAGGCTGTGCTTATACATATAAAAGAGAGGCTTATAATTGAGTTTCATGAATTAAACAGGAGTCTGTCATCTGTCAGAGCAGCTACATGAACATATGGTTTGATAGCAGGAAAAATAAATGGTGTGTGGCTGATGACTGAATAGTAAAGGAGCTACAAGCAGCTGTTACGTGTCAAACAGGACTTATAGAGATCATTATGTAATGCCTTTCCTCTGCTGCTGTAAAAACCAAATATGATACGGTGTCGTGTTTATGGAGATCTTGGTCAGTAGGTAAAGTCAAAAGAGGTTTTTCTGCTGTAACCCAGGCAGCTTTAAATACTCACAGTTTAGTGCGCCATGCTGCACACTGGGAAAATATAATCAAGCAGGCGGTGTCTGTTCATGAACACAACAGCCTCACACCCGTCTCAGCACACTCCCTGTGTCAGAACAGTTCTTACGGGCCGGTCCACTCAGGCTTCACTTCTGACAGACTTTTAAACAATCCAGGGTGGAGCAATCTTAAACATTCATTATATTTGGATTAGAAAGACATCTGCAGGCCTAAACCAGGAAAGATCCCGCAGATATGGAAAGTTTGAAGTGTAGCAGCTTATTCTCGATGGTAAACTAAAATCTCAGCCTGTGGGGGGGTCCTTGGCTAAGAAAGGTGGAGAATCGGTGTAGACATTTGTACAGGTTATGTTAAAGTCCGTGAGTTTAGCTGTTCAGGAAATTGATTAAATCTAACCAGATGGCTTTATTATTATTCACCATGTAGCTACCTTATCAATGGTGTGGCTAAACCTCACTGTTGGTAATCTACAGCAGCTCACGACCATCTGACATGAGTGTTAAAGGAAATGTTCTCCACTGAGTGATGGATACAACCTGCTCTGGCTTTGTTACACAGAACAGAGAGGATGCTACACCGACATGTAGAAGTTTCCATCTGCATCACTGTAAGGCCTCCACAATCAGACGTGTACAGACCCGGTTTGAGACTCTGACTTCAAAATAAAAGCCTATATACCATATAAAACGTGAATACATTATTTCACAGCAAATTCTCAACACCTCCATTTTATCATCTGATCCTAGTATGGATAATTAAAGGTGGGGTAGACAGGAATCCGTTAGAGAAGCATTTTTTGTGGTGTATTTATAAAAAAAGGTTTTAATATCAGTCAATAGTTATTAGTTATTGATGATATTAGGGGATTTAACGATATCGCTGTATTCTCTTATGTCCGTGCAGCCGACATTTTTTCGAGCTTCCCGCTCTTTCTGACTCCTCCTCGACCTGATTGGTTGTGAGGCGGAGGCTGCTCCTTAGTGCCGATTGGCTGTTAGGCGGACGCTGCCCCTGCGTGTTCTAAGGCACGCCCTACGTCCTCCAATAACGTTCACGAGCCCATACGAAGTTAGCGTGCTACAATTTCGGACAGAAGAAACCAACCAGAAAGTTCGGAAAATTGTCTGAATCCTCCTTTGGCCACGACTGCCGACACAAGCAAGAAAACAAAGTAAATACCGGAGACTCTGGAGGAATAACGGGCGCTTAAAACGGAGGTAGACCGGACAAGAGCTAAAAAGCCGGGTCAACATAAACGACGGGGGACGCTTGGGGATCTTGGTGACCCTGTAACCTTTCTGCTGGACAGGTAAACCGCTTTAACAAAGTAAGACAAGTGTCTGTAACAGAAGTGTTTCTTGTCAGACGTGTTGTAACGCCGCTAAACTGTCGCCTCGTCCGGGAGGCGGTTTTTTTTTTCGTAGGATCGCAGGGGAAAGTCCCGCCCTGTTTCGCCTATGATTGGCTAAAAGCGCTGGGCTCCGATTGGCTATTCCTTGAGGCTATCAGGACATCCAGAAACGGGATAATGGTGCGTTCGTTGTACAGAGCCTACAGAAATATCGCGAGAGGCAGGGGAGTGGAGGAGCTGAGAACTGTTTTGGTCACATATATTCTGAATAGTAGGTTTATTTTGAAAGGACAGAGCGGAAGTGCAGTGGTCACGCTGTCTCCATGACAGTGGGTCAGTAACTTGCGGTTCCGTTATGAGAGATGGAGAGAGAGCCCGAAAACACGGTTTAATGTGAAAAACACAAACAGATGAGAGTGTGACACGGAAATAAAGCTCTGACTGGGTCTGTGTGTGTTTGTGTGTGATGGTTCCGACCCACCTCCTGCTCGGTGTCCCCCTGCTCCGACACTCCGATCTCACTGGGCAGTTCGGCCAAATCTGTGACCCGAATGAGTCCATCGTGGAGGAAAATGGTCTCCTCCTTCACCGACAGCCACTGGGACGAATCTCCGGCCCCGGAGCCCATCTCTCTCTCTCTCTCCTCCGGCTCCAACAGCCGAACCGAACATTAAAGATTCAGGGACAGACACAGAAACGCCCTAGCTAGCTAACCAGCGAGCTACAATAACATCTCTGCCGGAACCGCCGCTCCTGTCGGTGCTTCTGGGCCGGGTAGACGGTGCTGTGAGGGTGAAGGCAGCCCCGCGGTGAACGGAACCGAACAGCGGTGGACCCTCTTTAACAGTTCCTGGGTGCTAACGGAAGCTGCTAGCTGTTGTCTGGCTCGGTTCGCTGGGAGCGGAGCTAACTCACCGGACGGGACCGTTTGAACGGTACCGAGCAGAGTGGGCGTGACACCCGCGTTAAATCCGTTATTGCGCCGCAGCGTTTACATGACAGTCTGTTCGGAACAAAGGCTCGGTCGGTGGTTTCCCCTCCTGGTTCTGCTAACGGCCCCGCCGCCGCCGGTGAAGAACCAGAGGCTGAAGATAATGACAGGCTCAGCTGTCAGCGCGACGCCATCTTTCTAAGGCCAACGAGCTGCTCCCAGCATGCACCGCGGCCCAGGATAAAAGCTGTCAAGAATTCATGAGTTCATCTGAGAACCAACAACAACCACACCTGTCCTCCAAGTGCACACTCTCTCCATATACACTATATAATTCTAATAATAATATTAATAATAATGATAATAATAATAATAACAACAATAATAATAATAATAATAATAACAAAAACCACACCTGTCCTCCAAGTGCACACTCTCTCCATATACACTATATAATTCTAATAATAATGATGATGAAAATGATAATAATAACAATAATAATAATAACAACAAAAACAACACCTGTCCTCCAAGTGCACACACTCATACACTACCAGAGACTCTCTCTATATATATATATAACAGTAATAATAATAATGATTATAATAATTACAATTATAATTATATTAATTATAATGATACATTTTATTTATAAGTGCCTTTCTGGACACTCAAGGACACTTTACAGTGTAAAAACAGGATAGAAGCAATAGAGAAAACAAAAGAAAATAGGGGGAAAAAGTATATACATACATATATATATATATGTGTGTGTATATGTATATATATGTGTGTGTATATATATGTATATGTGTGTGTATATGTGTATATATATATGTGTGTGTATATATATATATATATATATGTGTGTATATATATATATTAAATATATATGTGTGTGTGTGTATATATATATATGTGTATATATATGTATATATACATATGTATATGTATGTATAAATAAAAAAACATGTCAAGGTCAATTATAACGAGTGAGCTAATCAAAAAATTTAAATTAAAAATATGTACTTTATAAAGTTGTGTATATATAGAGGCTCTATATTTATCTAGATCGCTCATCTTATTTTGATTTCATGTCTTTATCACAACTAACCATTTCACAAATATGATCCATTACGACAGAGTATTATTTTCATTTAAAAAAATCCAAGATTTCAAGATTTAAGTCATTAACTTACGATAATAATGTCATTATTTATGAGAATATAGTGGTAGTAAAGTAATCACTAATGAGAATATAGTCGTAGTAAAGTAATCACTTACGAGAGTAAAGTCGTAATAAAGTCCTTATATTCTAACCTGTTGTTTAAGATGACAGTTGTTGAAATTAGAGTCATGGAGCATTTCATGAAAATGTACTTCAATATCTGTTTCTCACACAAGGAGATACTTCATCTTTTGGCACATCAGCACCACATTATCATAAGTATGGTAGTAGTAGAAGTTGGTTACGACTTTATTCTCGTAAGTAATGATTTTAGCACGACTTAATTCTCGTTAGTAATGACTTCTCGTGAATTAATGACTTTAATCTCAAAGTCTTTTTTTTTCTTGATGTGGCCCTAATACTCCGTCGTTATATCTATCTATATCTCGTATGATTTCATGTCTTATTATCATGACTAACTATTTCAAAAATATGATATACTGTCCACTGAGAGGACTTTCTCATAATAATTACGACTTTTCTTTTTCATAGTAATTCCCTATTATTTCATAATTTTGTCCTTGTTATTTTGTTATTATGACTTGAACCCCAGAACTATGATTCACTGTTTCAAAACTGACAGTCTGTGTTTTTGGGGTGATATAATAAATTTTTCACACCCAAAATCACATTTGAAATGTACATGAATTTTTTTTATGTTAACTTTGAAATTTAGAGTTAATTTTGTAATATTTTTACTGTTAAATTTAATATGAATACTAATACATTTACAATCATTGGCTTTTAAAACGTTAAAAAACATGAATATTTTGGAGCCTTTCCATGTAATAAAATGTGAAGAGGTCAACATTTAAAAAACATTAAAACATTTTTACAGATCAGATCATTTTTATAGGAGTCATAAATGGGTGCACAGGAACAGAGCCCTCGTTTCCAGAAACTCAGTCTTGCTGCGGTTTTATTATTGTGATCTCATGTTCGTGCAGTCGAGTAAAACTGAGTCTTGAACTTGTTTGAAAAGCAGATATAACATTTCATTTCTCATAAGGAGAATATACGTCTGTCGACAGTAGAAAAGGCTGATGCAACACATTGTAATAGCGGAGTTGATGAAATGAGAGAGCAGGAGAGGTGCGAGTTGAAGATTTTTAGATCATGAATGTTTTATTCATGCAGTGAATCAGACGGGATAGATTGTTTATACCCTTTAACAGAAAATGATTGGTGTAGATCACATCGGGGTTTTGCCACAGATACTTTGACTGTGATTTATAATTCTTCCTGTGGTTGTTAAAAAGAACGAGAGCCAACAGTCCTCTGTTGTTTGAGATAACTACTGCAAAGATTGAGGTGAGTTTAAACGGCAAAGAGGAGTGCATGGAGTTATTTCTCTGACTTAATGAATCTACACTGCAGATAATAGAGAGGAAAATCCTGTGGAGATGTGATCAGAAATCAATCAATCAATATAAGCAGAGGCAGAAAATAAACCGTTTTATTCCAATTTTAAGGCACAGTCAGACAGAGGATGGGATTTCTTCATAAATATATGAAAAGTTGATCCATGGCATACTTACAAATATAGTACAATAGTCTTGAGTTTTAATCCTTGAACATTTCAACAGACTGCCAATTCACCCCGTCAGACAGAAACAGAAAATGCTGCATGAAACGTAAAGCTTATTAAACTCATTGTTGCTGCACACAGCAGCTTAGTCTATAATCGTGTGAGTTGGGCCATGATATCAGCTTCTCTCTGCAGCCTCAGGCATCGCTTCCACAGGCGAACAGGAATCCCTCTTTTCCTGTCACTGACTGAATTTCGCACCCCAGCAGTGTCTCTCCCTTCTATCTTCTTAAGTGCTTGAAGTAGGTCAGAGGCTTTAGTGAAGCCTCCAGAACAGCTAGAGAAGAAACATATAAAGAGTATTAGACACAGAACCCAACCTTAAAATCTGTACGGCGGCAGCAAAACGAGCTAACACAGGAGACGGGAGACTGGCACTGAGGTGAACATAAATCAGGAGACAGGAGCTGGAAACCTTTTCTGGTTGTGACACTTCTCCTTCTTCTTCTTCTCTGGCAGTCTGAAGCAGTCCGGAGAGACAAAGTCCTTCAGCAGTGAGAGGAGGACACCGGGCTGAGAGAAGGTCTGAATGTGAAGAGCCAGGCTGTAAAAAGGATAAAAACACTCAAACTCACATTCAGATAAAAAGCAGGAAACAACAGGATGGAGTGACACGGTATACGGTGTGATGGATGTATTCATGGGTGACTCATATGGACACAGACAAAGGAGGAAAGAGCCGCCTGAGGGGGGGCCGGCCTTCCTCTTTATTACAGCATGCTGCAGAGAGAAACCACAGCAGCCATACACTACTATAGATACAGTCAGAGTGATGCACACCGTCACAGAGGTCACAGCCTATATTTAACTGTTAAAATAACCTCTGTACTATACATAAGACCAGATGACTCAGCTCCAATTTAAGGAGAAGTACACCTTCTTTTTGTACAAGCATTATTATTATTATCTTAAAGATGAGTAGTACTCTGGAGGGGCTAATACTCATGCTAATACTCTCAGACCAACAATAACACATTAAGTACTAAACCTGTAGATATCGGTGTTACGAATGAAAAAGTGACCCTGTAAATTAGGAACTTGTTTTTCGAGCCACACCCTCCGGTCTGTGGAAATGAAGCTGATGCTGAAGTGCTTGTAGACTGCAGTTCTCAGAGTGTCCACTAGAGGCTGGCTGCAGAAGCACAGTCAGGAACCTGACTGTGGGGTGTTTTTGGACCTGTCCTCAGAGAGTCCTGGTATTCAGGAAAGTTCTGCAGCATGTCCAACATCTGAGCAGTGGTTGTGTTTTTGGTCAGTCTTATGAGGAACTTCCTGTTCGTGGACAAAGTCACACACCTGATCTCTGCTGATATTTGTCGTTAATACGTGTTTGAGGGATTTTATGATTAGAAGTATTTTCTTTTCTTTCACAATCAAGTCTCTCACTTTGAGTATTGTCTGTGGCCTTTTTCTAGCACCTGTCCCCTCACAGCAGTCGCAGACACTAAACAGGAGATGTCAGTCTAACTGTCAGTCTTTCTGTCGGTCTTTCTGTCGGTCTTTCTGTGGACGATCTTTTTTGCTTTTGTAGGTCATGAAGAAACATCACTGATGTTAGCGGTCTGTTTCATTTCTAGATAAAACCTTCTTACAGGAACGTTGAGCAATGAGCAGAAATTTTACTTTTAACAAACGCTCCTGAAGTGAATCCTTTCAGTCTCCTGATCGTTGTAGAGACTCCAGACTCTGCTGGACTCTGCTGGACTCTGCTGGACTCTGCTGAAACAGCCCTTTAATTACTTCCAATGGTTTTAGCACAGTAAGAGCCTTATTCCTCTAACAAAGAGTAAACACCTTCCTGTACTTTATTTCCATCTTCTGCAGGACTACGCTGTGTGCCCACGGTTGCCGTGGTTACGTCATCTGCAGGTTGAACCTTGAGGTCGCTCAGGAATGTGAAACACCCTCATAATGGATAATCGGGGTAAAAGCTCTTAGTTTGTTTCATAAGCTGCATGAGGGAGGCGTGCGTGTCCTTGGCGCCTGTTGCCTGTAAATCTGTTTCCGGGGTGATAATCATGTTTAGATGAACTGTTGGTGTTTCGCCAAAACACACAAGATAAGACAAAGTCTACAGTTGGAGAGAGCGTGAACTTTAAAGTTCTGCTGAATGTTTCAGGATGGTTTATTTAGTCGTGGATTTGGAAACCTCAGCTCTGTAGAGTCTAACGAATGACGGTGAAAAACGATGAAACGGGTTTTATCAGAACATCCAGGTCCATGACACTGGTTCTCTGCTTTCACAGGTCAGGGAGGGAATAAAAAGTGAAAAAGAAGTGATTCCTCTTTTCTGATTTCATCATATTTGTCGTTTCATAATTTGAACCTCTTAGTAATTTGACTTTTTTTCTCATTAAACAAATATTTTGGACTTTGTATCTCATCATTCAGATTTTTGAGCTCATCATTTTGACTTTTAATAAGAAGGATCTTTTCCACTAAAGTTTCCTCCTTGGCACTGTGATTTTCAGGATATGTAATCATACTAGTATTTAAATAAATTCTCACATTTTTACCCTAATTTCTAACGAATACTAATCCGTTTGCACAGACGGCAGAGAGACGTGAGAAGGTGATGTTACAGCAGTTACCGGCTGGTGCAGTCACAGTGGTAGGCCGTCTTCGTCTCCGTGTTCTGCAGATCAAACTTGTTCTCCTGAGGAGCGATTTTATACCTGCAGTCATCCAGGTGTTTGAGGCTGGCACACAGGAGGTAAGGGTCTGTAAGAGCAGAAATAATCACAGGATATCTCACAGTGTGCCCACATCTCTTTACATAACGATGCTTCTCAGACGCCTGCTGACGCTCAAGAAAAGCTTGTTAGTCTAACTCCACATCCGGGAGGTTCCAGCCTTAAATTAGCAGCTGGTGACACCTGTCAGAGTCATACAGAGATACATGAAGACTTCCTGTCAAAGTGACCTTCATCACCATAGTTTAAATCAGGAGTCTGTTATTGTGGACAGATTCAGGACTGTCTCAGTAACTCCATGATCACTCACCTGTCAGGTTTGTCATCACAGGTGTGTTCAGGGCCGTGGTTTGGTTCATGGACTCTTGGTTTGTCTTCTTTTGTATCCAATGAGACGTCTTCATCTTCAGTGTCTCGCTCTCGTTTGTTTTGGAGGATGGTCCTCTGCTCAGGGGTCTCCTCGAGGTGTCTTCTTTGGCTCCCTCTGTCGTCTTTGTGAGCCGCTGATTCTCAGGTAATCTGGGCGTGGTTTCTGAGGGTGCAGCAGTCGTAGTTTGAGATGCTGTTTGGTGTTTGGCACATTTTTTACACCTTGGCTGAAAAGCGTCTCCTCTCAGAGGCGTCCTGAGTCCACAGCAGAGACCCGGTTTCTGGCTTTTTGTCCTACTTGTGTTGGTTTTGGTGGCGGCTGTCGGTGCATGTGTGTGAAAAGCTGGATTCTGTGTAGAGGACGGGGTTCTCTGTGTTGTCTGTAAGAAAGGGTTTGTGGTCACTCTGTCTGTGTTGGCCGACAGCCTCTGTCTGCTGCTCTTCTTTTTTCCCGCTCTTTTTTGATTTGACACGGCGGTGCTGTTCTTGGACGGATGTGTTTTCCTCTCAGGAGACGTCGTGTTCACCTTTGTGGTCACAGGAGCGACTGTAGACCCTCGCTGGCGTCCTCGGCATCCTTTGCCCTTCCTCTTGTGCTGGAACGTGTCTCCTCTGGGCGGGTCGCTGCATCTCTGATCACTCTTTGGTGACTTTGTGCTGATCGCTTTTGGGCTTTTGGTCGCCTGATTCTTCTCGGTCCTCGTGACCTTCTCTCTGTTGGTGTTGTCTGCGTGTTTGTTTGCAGGATCAGAGCTGTTGTAAGGGAGGGGACTTTTGAAGACGGCGTATGGAGCCACATTTGCAGATTTGCACCTATAGAGGGTAAACATGCATGTTAAAACCAAGCAGTGGAAAAAGGGGCGTGTTTTCCTCTTCAACTGTACATCCTGTACTTACAGCTTTACACCACATTCCTCACAGGTATATTAAACTTACACAAGGCGGATTTTTGTAAGCAGTTACAATCACAGCTTCAAACTGACACTCAGAACTCTTGGATTAAAGTCACTGATGTTCAGCATGTCAGTGACTTTCTACCGCTGTGTAAAAACCTTCACCAGCGTTCGTTTGTGGGCGTGATCACCTGTTAGTAACCTGCTCAAGCTGAGCTGCTGCTGCATGATGCTGTGTGTGTGTGTGTGTGTGTGTATGTGTGTGCGGTTTGGCAGAGAGTCAGGCATGTTATTACAAGCAGCAGAAGCATATCTGCTGATCTACCAGCTGAACTGTACCTGCACTCTCCACTGCATTAATGTCTTCTTTATGGTTTGCCGTTGTGTCATATCATACAGTATAAGCTGCATGCACCAGTGTGTGTGTGCATGTGCATGCGTGCATGTATGTGTGTGTGCTGCTTACAGTCCCCACCAGTACATCTTAGTGCAGCGCTTCTGCGGTTTGAGCTCGAAGCAGGGAACTTGAATCACGTTGAAGAAGCTGTAGCCCACCATGCTGGAGATGGTGTCGTTCACTTTGAGCAGACACTGACGAAACCTGCGAGGGGCGGGACACACACCGAGGTCACGACAGTGCAGACAAATTAACATACATGTCCTTGAACGCTACCTAGTTTTGTCTACGACTTATGCAAAGTCCAAAAAGTTTGAAATGGAGGATCCTGGTTTAGCTGGAGGGTGAAATAAGTCAGGCACGTTCTTGTTAAACGTGCACCTGTCAGCTCTCCATGTGAATCAAACAGAGAGACACTTAGCAGCTTTACAATAATAGAAGAAGGAATTCAATGCCCTGCAAACACTAAAACGAGGAGCAACATGTTCACTCTTGAGGTTTATCTGGGGGGCTGATGGCAGTGATATATTTATCACCCCTGGATGAACAGTGATATCACACGGCCCTGAGCTCCTCAGCTCAAATCCCTTTACTGGCACAGTGACAGGACGCCATGGTACCGCCATAGGAGAGAGGAGGAGACTGTCATCAGAGCGATGGAGGTTTAAACTGACAGTTTAATTCATGACTTGAACCTCTCTGCACGTTTTCCTCTCACATGACCGTCACAGGTCAGGAGAAGGTCTCTGTGTTTCCCTTTAAGTGTGTAAACTCGTCCCCGGCTCAGCCTGCTGCAGCTCACCTTTGGTCACAGTCACAGTGGGAGACGGTGTAGAATTTGGAGTTAAAGACACCGTAGTTCATCGTGAAAGCCGGGATGTTGTGCTTACAGTGGTCATGTTCGCGGCAGCATCTGTCTGCACTCTCAAACATCCCTGAGAGAGAGAGAGAGAGAAGTTCAATCAGAGGACACAAGTCTGCAAACACGGATAACCTCCATGAACTGAAACTGAAACGCCCCCGCAGAACCAGGTTTGAAAATGAAGGTCTCTGATCTAAAGGACCTACAGAGGAAATAAACCTTTTTCTTTAGGCTCATAGATTTGGTATTTTTGCAACAGCACTCTCTCTTAAACTGCACATTATCCTCATCACTGATGGATTTTAAAGTGAGGGAGCAACTCACCTTAAATGACTGAAAATCAAACTGATCAGTTTACTACAGCTCAGCTAATGTGTGTGTTTTTAATCCTTATTAAAACCTCGTCACTTCAGTTTTATGAGCATGCATTATTCATGCGTTCATAAGAGGTGTGGGCCCTCTGAAAGAATCTAATATTCAGACCTGAGGGGGCTTACAGAGGCCCACTAAGGTCAACTCCACAAGCATCATATGACCATGAGATAACTGATACGCTGCTCTTTCTCTGAGCCGGGGTTAAGTATCTGTAACTTTTGCGCTGTGTGTAACAGGGCCATGCTGGTGGCCCCCTGGTGACTGGCTGCAGTATAGGTCATAAACCCCGCCTCCTTATGGAGCTGTGGACAAACTTTATAAATGAATGACACAGAATATAAATGTTTCTTCCCCCTGGTTGTGATGTTGACATGTAGTTACTGTCAGACTGGTTTGTGCTCAAGTCCTCTTTTTTCTGTACAGCTCCATTTTTTAAAGTTATTAGGGGGTTCATGTTAGCTATGATTGACACCTGGTACAGCCTATGGGAGGACAGAGATTGAGTAGATCACCGGGGGATACGCGGTTTGAGCCGAGCATCATCACAGCAACTCTCCTGCCGAATGCGCACAACGCTACTGCGCAATGTTGGTTTCAGGAAGTGGAGAAAAAACGCAGAATTACTCAGAACTTTTCAGCTTCAAATCCTCATACAGGAGGGAGGCGGAGCCAAGTTGTCCATAGTAGATACGGTCTATGCCCTAGATTATTCCTCGGAGTCCTGTTGGATATCAACCATAGGCTATATAAAGATGGATAAGTTGGCTCCGCCTCCTGTCATTGTATGAATTTGAAGCCGAATCGCTCTCTGTATTTCCGGGATTTTCTCAATTTCCTAAAACAGGCATTTGCACAGTAGTGTTCGGCGGTAGTGTCGCTGTGATGACACTCGGCTCAAACAGCGTATCCCCCGGTGATCTACTCAATCTCTGTCCTCCCATAGGCTGTATCAGGTGTCAATCAAAGAAAACATGAACCCCCTAATAACTTTTAAAAATGGAGCTGTACAGAAAAAAGAGGACTTGAGCACAAACCAGTCTGACAGTAACTACATGTCAACATCACAACCAGGGGGGAGAAACATTTATATTCTGTGTCATTCATTTATAAAGTTTGTCCACAGCTCCATAAGGAGGCGGGGTTTATGAACTATACTGCAGCCCGTCACCAGAGGGCGCTGTTCTCAGAGTGAGGAGACAGACGGAGTCTATTCTAGATACAGTCTATAGAGAAGTCTCTATAGAGTATATCTGTCACGTTTTGGTTTGGAAAATATGAAATTTTCCAGGGGTGTTAATTCATCGTGGATACTTTGTGCGTTAGTGACAGAGTTCAGTTTGGAGAAGCAGAAAAATGACTTTTCTTATATACATGTTATCAAACGGAAGATTTACGGGAGAGAACTAAGGAAAGGACGACGGGAGAGAGGAGTAAAATACGGTAGTTTATCTTTGACAGCTTTGCTGCAGAGGTTAGATCTCCATCCTCACCTAACTCATCGAATCCAGCCGCTGCACTTCCGGTGCCACACCACAGCGTCCCTGGAAATGTCATCCCGCGTCTCTTCCGACTTCTTACCGCTGTCCCATCTCCTCTCGCGCGCTTGGAGAACTTGGCACCGGAGGATGATCCGCGTGCGCACGGAGACTCCGGGGCCAACAGCGCGCTGATGTCGAACCTGCGGCTGAGCTCTTCCTCCCGCGTGCCGCTCCTGTCGCAGAGAGAGCGGTAGTTTCCTGTAACCAGAGGACTTTGATTGACGTCGCAGGTGAGCAGCTGTGCGTCCTCAGACCACAGGCTCAGGTACAGAGAGCGCGCGCCGGCCGAGTCTTCTCGCAGGAACGAAACGCGCGTCCGACCGTCACCTGCAGGACTGGATCTGACACATGAGAGACCTGATCCCATCACATCCTGCACCTTTGAGAAGATAAGTGAGGAGAAGAAGAGAAGAAGCTGCTGAGGACACCTGCTGCCGCGCATTTCAATGTGAAAAAGTGCAAATCTATCCAGTGGAAGACCAGATGGAGCGGGAGGTCCGGGTCTGAATGGACGCTTTATTCCACATTAGGAGGTGCAGCATGGATGGAGTTCTGCACCAGCCGGCATCTGTCTGCGCTCCAAGAAGGCGTGTGTACCTCCAGGTGAAACTCTTCTCCTATTGGTCCGTTTGGAGGCTCGTGAGATGTCTGACACGCCTCCGTGTGTGTGGATGTGTGGGTGTGTTCAAAGCTTCAGTTTGTGATTAATCTCTCAGGTATTAAGGAACCAACGGATTTTTGATGCGGTCAAGATAATTGATGAGAAGCTTTTATGCAACAGATCAATTCAAACCTGTGAGAAAGAAAAACTGTTTGAACCTCCACCCAGAATCTGAAAGAGCTGTCCTAACCTGTGAGAGACTCCAACAGGTGCTCTGTGTGTGTGTGTGTGTGTGTGTGTGTGTGTGTACAGGTGTGGTCTGATAAAAACCCACAGGTTCGGTTAACAGTCTCTCCTTCAGTCCTGTATTTCTGTCTTATTAAAAACTCACTTTTACAAACTTGCTTTAATGTGATTCCGTCTTTTAACTTTTATCTTTTACCGTCATCTCTCATCTCTTTTATCTTATTTCAGTTTTACTGTCGTTTTAGCTTTTGTTATACTAATACTCATTTCTGTTGCTCTATTTTATCATTACTATTATAATCAGTATTACCTATTATTGTTATATCATTGTTAATATTGTCTTTTATATCTACTATCCTGTTTTCCGCTTTCGACCCCCTTTTAATTGAATGTTCTTTTTTCTTAACTATTTTATGTTTTTATTTTGTTCCTCATGGTCTCATTTTATGTTACATGGTTCTTGTATTGTCTTATGAAAATGACCTTCAATTCTGTTTTAACTGAGCTTTTTCTTTTTATCTTTTTCCATTTACTTTATGACTAAATGTCAAAGCACTTTGTAAACGTCTGTTTTAAAAAGTGCTATAAAAATGAAATTATTATTATTATCATTATTATTATTATTGTTATTATTCCCAATGTCTCCTCCTCTTCACACACTTTGAATACTGCTGCTAAAAAACACACAGGAGCCTTCTAAGCTTTCATTATATTTTATTGATCTGTGTAAACTCTTTGCAAAATCTTTACATGCAAAGTTATCTGCAAACATACATATTTTCCAGTGCATGCACTATCTATGTACAAATACAGAGATAAAGCCAGAAACATTCCACTGAATCAAGTCGAGGACAGCTGTGAGTGAGCCCAGAGAGAAGCCTGTTAGAAAAACTAGAGCTTATTATAATAACTCATGTATTTGTCCGATGATCACTGCAGCAGCGCAACCTAGGACAGTGTGTGTGTGCGTGCATGTGTGTGTGTGTGATGCTACGGTGGGTGTTGAAGTGTTTGAGCTGTGCAGAGAAAACAGGACACTTAAATATGTTTGTACAGAAAGTCTCATAGAAAGAGTGAGAGTCTTCTCAACTTCTGCTACCGAGTCTTTTATGGATGTGCTCAGGTGACGAGTTCAGTGAATTCAGATTAACACCATAGTCACCATAGTCATGCAGAGTTTGGCCTCTTGTATATTCACAGGAATGTTATGGGCAGTGTAAACATTAATGAAGTACAATAGCAGTAATTTCTTATAAAGTATATTTATCTTGAACCACAAGACATCTCATGCATAGGATTTATTTTTCTCTTTATTCTTACACTGGAATCACTTGCAAACGGCTGTATAAATTGAGGTCATTCCACTTTGTAAGATGTGCTTTCCTTCATTTGCTGTGATTAATAAACTAACACCCACTAAAGCCTCGTATGATTGGGGCGTGGCACAGGAGAGAGAGAGAGAGAGAGAGCCCTGCTTTGTGCAATATGTTGTGTCGGGTTGAAAGCGGGTCACGGCTGCCCCAGGCACACCAGAGTCACGAGCACAGTGCATGCATGTAAAGCTGCACATACTTATGACATAACTCCCACCACCACCTTCCTCTCCTCAGACGGAGGCCTGGCCGTGTGCCTTCTGTGTAAACACTGCAGTAGAAAACCTCTGAGTCCGAGTCAGAGTGAACCACGAGCTGCAGAAGAGCCCAGGGAGACGGAGGAGACCTGCCGAATCTCACCAAAACCAAGAAATAAAGTTCACTCCTCACAGGAAACAGACTTGAACCAAATCAAACTCACAGCTTCACTGAGCGTACAGAAAACTCCTCGCGTTTTACCGACGGTGCTAAAATTTCATCACAAACTAAAGCAACTGATGAAGGACTCAGCGAGCTTCATGGTCCACTTACTGATGATCCATCTGTGTACCAGATGTCTATCCTAACCTGAGCAATGTTATCAGTATGTAAACATTTCTTCATGGGGTAATATACAAAGTGCTGAGGGGGGTGGGCACAGGTGAGTGTCTGCAGGTGCAGCTGCATGTTTCCTTACATCTGTGGTTCTGCATGCTCCTACAGCATGAAGACAATCCAAAGAAAAACCCTGACAGCCTCAACGATGTAAAGCATGAGCTCAATCCAATTTTTCATGACTTTAGATGTCGGGTTCGACCTCATTTGCTGTAACATATTGCTATTTTTGTTCTGTGCCAGTGCAATTATAATTCAACTTTATTTTTCTAAAACAAGGACTCTGTCAGGTCCACCACCCGCAGACTCAGAGGTCTGTGAGGAGCTTCTCACTGACAGATCTTTGTAGATTTCTGTTTCTTTATCAGAGAGGCAGGTTAAGAGTCAGCACAGGCAGAGAAAGGGTTAATAGGAGGACAGGAAAGAGGAGTACACTACAGCAAGAGGAGGAGGAGAGGTGTGTGTGATGGTCAGAGATGAAACAGGAAAGGTCTCAGGACATGAATGCAAACAAAGAGGGGAGGTTTTAGCTCATGCTGTGTACAGGGTTAATCACTGGCTGTGTGGTTCTCGTTGTAGAGGGTGTGCCAGCGCTCGATCCTCTTGTCCTTGTTCTTCAGACACTCGTACCAGTGCTTCAGGCGCTCCCCTTTGGCAGTGATTCCCAGCTGGCAGCCACCTGTCAGGGGGGCAGAGGTGTTGGCGGTTAGACGGTGTCATTGACAGAACACAAAGATGCTCATCGGGATATTTACCGATGTAGTCATTGGACTTCCCGATATCGTAATCCCACACCGAGATGTCTAAAGTCTTCTTGGCCAGTTCACTGTGTTTGATGTCGTAGCTGAACTCCTGCAAGTCAAACCAGACTGGGAGTCAAACGGTTTCAGGGCGGATCAAATATGAAGGAGGAGCTCTGTGTACATCGACTTTAAACCCCAGAGTTAAGAAAAGCTCTAATACTGGCTCTAAGTGTCCTGGAGATATTGTTTAAAACTGAGGATGCAGCATCTATGATTTCTAGTTCTTTGTTGAAAGGACAACTGGACTGAGTTGAGACGTTACGCCTTGAGCAAAACATCTTAAGTCCAAAAGAGTGTTAGATTTTGATTCATCAGACCTCAAGACAGTTTACAGACAAGTGATATTAAGACCATGCGGTGACTCCAACTACAGAGTCCTGATGCTCCTAAACCTGGAGATCTTGTTCAGCATAACAGAGCCTTCTTGGATGTGAAAGATGCCCATAACATGGACTCTTATGATCCCCATACCATCAGGGATGCTGGATCTGGACTGAGAGCTGAGAACAAGTCTGGTGAACCCTCTACTCTTTAGAGAGGAGGATTCAGAGTCTGGGATTTAAACAAATATTAAATTGATTTATAAGATTTGCAAACTTGGACTTCTGTTTTGATCAACATGAGGACAGCATCCCGACTCTTTACTGATTTAATGTTTGTGTGTAAAAACTGGTTTGACTCTGAGGTCTGCAGCTCAGCCTGTTGGATCAAAACCAGGAGTTGAAGCATCAGTGTGTTGGCATCCCTGAACTAATAATGATCTTTGGCTGTACCTTAAATATTTGGAGTCATTATTTTAATGATCTTAATTGAACAGACCTCGTTGAACTCCGGGTTTAGAGTTCTCTTCTTGATTTGTGTTTTGCACTTGCCCTTCTTCCCCATGTCAGGTTTCAGACATCTGTGAGGTATAAACACACAAAATTAGACTCATACCACCGCCCCAGACCTGATCCACAATCTAGACCTGTTTTGTCAGCCTGTTCTACCCACATTTTGACGTATGGGTCGGAGTAGCCGTTAGCGTCCATGGCAGCCAGGTGGACGCAGCGCACCACACCGACGACGAGCCGGTTTGTCTGGGTGCTGTACATGAGGGACATCAGGATCCGACCGCGCTCCTCCACCTCTCCGCCCTCCTTCCCCGGCTGCAGTGAGACAGAGTGGAGGGAGGAGGAGGAGGAGGAAGGGTTCAGAGGGTTTTCAGGAGGAGATCAGAGTGAACTCCTGAAAGAATCTGTCATGTTTGGACATGCAGGAGAATAAAAGCCTACCTCATCCTCGTAGAGAGCGATGCCTCTGGCTCCTCCGGCTGTTGCCGTCCTCTTCGTCTGCAAGGTGCAACGAGATTACAGCATGTCAATAGGAGATGTAGACGGGGAGAACAAGGCTGTAATAGAGTGGGACTCACCGGGACAACTCTCTCCAGACACACATTGAAGTTCTTCTTCTGGTTCAGCTTCAGTTTCTTTAAAGCCACTCGAGTTTCCCCGATAAACTCATTATGCCCAAACTTGTCCTCATCACAGACGGAGAGCCTGCAGAAATCAAAAAAGTCTTAATCACAGAGACCTGAGACACTTTTCAAAGAGTGAACTGAGTGTGTGTGGAGTCCAAAAAACACAGAGACAGGGGTTTGGACCGAACAGTCTGAGGAGCAGCACCTGAGGGTTTTACGCTGCATGTCGTCCTCCGTCAGGCCGTGGTAGGTGAGCGTCTCATTCCACGCCGGGTTACGGGTGTTTCTCAGGGTTTTTGTGCGCAGCTTGTTGGACTGTTTGATGCAGGGTAGGTCAGGACAGATTATAGAAACATCTCAAGGCAAGTCACAGCTATATAACATCCCACACCTCTGTGGTGGTTTGAGTACCTACATGTCGCTGCTCCCATCCAAAAGAGATTTTATAACTCTGGCATACCCTCATTCTCCCGAAAACACCCCTGAATTTCACCACACTGCCACAAGGTGTCAGCCTTGAGCTGGAAAAACGGCCCCCCCAATCTAAAATCACCACCTTCCTCTCTGGCTTGGCTAGATATTAATGTCATCAATCTTTCAAAAGAAGTAAAAGCTTAAAGGAGGAAAGGTGAACCTCTTACCTTACTAGCCCCGGGCAGCAGATGAAGCTTAACGTAAGGATCTGCAAGTCCATTTGAGTCCATGGGCTTCAGTCCCTGAGGAGGACCAGAGTACAGCAATTAAGGTGAAGGGCCATTCAGGAGCAATTTAACTTTAAGCACTTGATCGTAATCGTCTCTTTGTGATGGGAGGAGGAGAAGAGAGGAGGAGGAGGAGGAGGAGGAGGAGAATGGTACCTTTGCTTTGAGGATGCTACAGATGAGGCTGTTGCTCTCTTGTTCGTAGAGCAGACCGAACTCCAGAGATCCCAGAGTGGCTGAAAGAGACCCAGAGCAGCAGTTAGAGGAGACTACAGAGAGACCACCAGTCTGCTCTTCAATAATTAAGACTTTAAATATGGTGAGGGGTGTCTTCTAGGAATCCAACAACACTGGGAGTGAAAAAAGAGGGGGTGAGGTTACTAGGGGTCCAAAAAGATGTAAAGATGGGCCAACCACAGGGCGGCAAATCATCCCAACTTTCCTTTAGAGAGCTGGATCGAACTCGTGAATCATGGAGGATCTGATCTGAAGGTAATCAGACAAACACTGAAGTCTCTGAGGAAGAAAATCATGTTCTGGGTGAGGAAGAGAAAAACCTGCCCACACACTTTTTGTTTGGAGGAGTTTCTGTGCCGAGCGTCGCTCTGTGGAGACGAAATGATTGGATGTCAGTTTGTTAATTTTCCTTAACTGTGAACTTTTCTGGGCGGAGAGTCAAAACAGACTTGGACTCTATAAAGCTCCTCGAACAAGACCAACAGAGTCTGCAGCCATGCTAGACCAGGACTGATGCTAAACATTAGCATGCTAACATACTCATTTTTAAAAGGTGAAGTCCTCTGTATGAATCTAACCTAACTAACACAAACAGGACATATTTCAGTGTTTTACAGTGAATCTGTGCTCGCTCCCTGATTTCACTGCTCTATATCAAATCTCTGCAGGGAGCGGCGCAGTGGCGGTTTCTTCCATTTTTAGTCGCTCACAGGGGGATTTGGTCAAAGATGAGGAGAATCTATCATCTCCGTTTGTCTGACTGTGTCGTAAATTATTTGCACAGCTCCATATTCCCAGACCTGCTAAAGTAAATTAACTGCTAACTCCCCAGACAGGTGACAGAAATGCTGTTTGACGCCGCAGGTGCAGATCAGGAATGGCGTGGTTCACATCGTTAAAAGAGGAAATGGGACGTTTGAAAAAAAGAGTCAAGGTGGTGCTGCTGAGGTATCCTTATTGGTTAGGTGACCCCCCATCAATAAATGTCACCTGAACGGCACTCGCTGTTTGTGAGGAGGACTGTTGGGCACTCTGTGGATCGTGTGTATAAAAGGCTTTTAATTTGAAGGGCAGGCATAGCCCCTTCCTCCTGCTGCTACAGGAAGTGATAGCAGTATGGCGCGAAGACGTGAAATACGTACAGCCGTCCACCATGTTGATGGACTGTTCTTCCCTTATTTCTGTTAAAGTTTGTGCACTTTAGGGAGTTTTGTGTCGACACTCCGAGTATTAATGAGTGAAGAAAGTGAGTATTGTTCATATCGCGGTGCTTTTATTGCCTCGTTTGTCTGTTAAAATAAGTTGTCAGCAGTAATGTGTGGATTTCTCACTGCTGTGTCTTATCTTACCTTGTTTGATGGTTGTAATGTGATTTCTGCAGATTTAACTTGCTAATACAAAGCATGTCTGTGAATGTTGTTGTTTTTAATCCTCTCTGTGAGCTGACGTACGCCGTCTGTGAGCGCTTGTGTCTTTTCTCCCTCCCTTGGTCAGCAGAGGGCGGTGTGCATATGTAGCTAATAGTTTATCATACATGGATGCATTCTGAGTATTTTTGGATGGATTTTGGTGAATACACAGAAGATAGTTCTGTATGGAGTTTCGTTTACTGTTCATGTGAAGACATACAGGAAGTTAATAAGTTATCAAGAGAAATAATATTGTTTATAATATTAATATTGTTATTTCAGAACTGAATGCATATACACGTGAGTGTCAGATTAAACCTCCACAATATAAGAAGAGATGCTACTCTTCCTCCTTCCTGTGTCCTGACCGACACCTCATCTTGTCAGCTGTCATCAACCTGAAAGAATCAGCCGTAGCCCCCCTGACCTCTCTTACTATGTGACTTATAACCAGCAGACTAAAATCAGGCATCAACACGGCCTTTCTTGGACGCAGTGAGGTCAAAAACCACAAACTGTGTACGCTGAAGGACGATATGATCTCAGAGAGAAATCCCTCCTTCAGACTGAGGTGGATCAAAGCGGACCCCTTACACCTCACTCTGTGAGAGCAGTGAGCAGATGGCGTACTCACTGGCTTCATCAGAGTCATAGTCGTTTATTTCCTCCTCCTCCTCAGCTGGGGGAGGCTGCTGGCGTGCCGGAGGAGCGCTGTAGGCCGCCGCGGGCTGCCTCCTGTCATCTCTCACTGCAGGGGGCGCTCTCTGCTCTGGAGGCCCTGCACCAGGGGAGGAGTAGGCCCCTCCGTCTCCTGCAGCTGAACCTACAACCACATGAAGTCATCACAGGAGATGTAATATTAATGAAAACCTCCAGACTCTGATGCAGAGGATGTTGTTGAGCGCTCTCACCCTGCTGCGCCATGCTTGCCGCTGCAGCCGGCTGCGGTCTGGAACTCTGCACGGGGACCATCTTCTTCATCACCACAGGGCCCTGTCCTGCCTCTTCAGGGCCGGCCCCGCCCGTGGCCATACGTGCAACTGATGGTTTAGGGGCCACAGGTGGGTAACCAGCGCGGCCCTGTGGCTCAGCTGCTAAAAAACGGGATGAAAATCAGAACAGAGTCAACAGAGAGAGAGAGAGAGAGAGACGCAGAGTATCCATGAGGGAGGAGGAGGAGTGAATAATCACAGCTCTGCAGGCTCTGCTGCAGTAAGACTCCTGAGTCTCTCTTCATACTTTTGATGTTGCAGCTTTCTCCTACTAAAGCAATGACCTACATAGGCTTCAACCAGCTGTGGCACCAACTACTGTAAACACCGAGTGACTACAGCGCCCGCTCCAGCTGACACATCTGACTGTGGAGGAAACACGCCGCTCAGGTAATCACACTCAGTCTTTTCTGGAATCAAATACTACCCATCCTGCTCCAGCTCCACCTGGAGGCTCAACCCGAGTCACAGCATGAACCAGAATAATTCAGATCTTCATCCGCCCTTCACTGCAGCGGTGGGCGGAGCTGCTAGATTTAAGGAACAGATAAAAGGTTTGGAGAAGAGCAGCAAAAGATGGGGATAGGACAGGACCTGAGAGCAGAGGAGACAAGGAAGTGGGGATAGGACAGGACCTGAGAGCAGAGGAGACAAGGAGGTGGGGATAGGAGATGACCTGAGACCAGAGAAGACAAGGAGATGGGGATAGGAGATGACCTAAAAGCAGAGGCTGAAGGAGGCAAGGAGCTGGGGACAGGAGACGACTTGGGAGCAGAGGCGACAAGGAGGTGGGGATAGGAGATGACCTGAGAGTAGAGGAGACAAGGAGGTGGGGATAGGAGACGACCTGAGACCAGATGTTAAAGTAGACAAGGAGGTGGGGATAGGAGATGACCTAAAAGCAGAGGCTGAAGGAGGCAAGGAGCTAGGGACAGGAGATGACTTGGGAGCAGAGGCGACAAGGAGGTGGGGATAGGAGATGACCTGAGACCTGAGGTTAAAGATGACAAGGAGGTGGGGAAAGGAGACAACCTGAGAGCAGAGGCTGAAGGAGACACGGAGGTGAGGATAGGAGGCAACCTGAGACTAGAGGCTAAAGGAGACATGGAGGTGGGGATAGGAAACAACCTAAGAGCAGAGGAGACAAGGAGATGGGGACTGCAAAAGAGGTCCTGAGTGATCTGACCTTTATCCACGTGAAATCTAATATTTAGTGATATTTTAAACTTCACAGAATGAGGTTTCTCTACCCAAGACTACTTTCACACACACAGACAGGAGAGGAGAGCTATCACCTTGCCCACAGGGGGGCGCCAAAACCAGCACAAACCAAAAGTCCCTCACAGGAACTTTAAGAAAATCTCTCATGTATGTTTCTGTGAGGGAGGTGGATTTTTGTTGGTGTTGGTTCAGGAGTGAGAATTAAAATCTGTGATTCCTGTAATACCACTGTCAACAGTAGGGGGGCACCAGACAGTTCACCTCCTTTTTTCATTCATGTGTTTTTTCTGACCTGGTTCTGACCTGGACCTGGTTTTTAATTCCCTGGATAGTGCCTAAAACTAGAGGACTCTGAAGCCCGGGTAAAGCCTGTTGTGTCTACCTGCTGGTTGTGGTTGACTCTGGGGCTCCGGGGCCGGTGGTCCCTTGGTCTCTGCTGCCTCCTTGGTACTCTTCTCTTTAACTTTGGATAACGGCATGGGCGATGGCAGGAAGTGCTTGGGAAACCCTTTGAAGAACCAGGCACCAGATCTCTTCCACACCTGAGAAGATAAATGTGTCTGCTGACTTCCTGCCACACACCTGAGTCCTGATTGGTGCACCTGTGTGAGGAGGAGGAGCTTTCACTCACCTCCCTCTGCTCTCTGCAGATCTTGCAGAGCCACACGGCCCGGGGTTTACTGCTACACTGTGTCCCACACTTAGTGCACATGTTCTGCAGGACAGGAGAAAACACACACTGTAATGAGAACACACACACCTGGGACATCAGAAGAACCAGGTGACTCATCATTAGCTACCTTTTTGCAGTCCTCACACACCACTGAGCTGACCCCTGGTGACCCCAGCTGCTCCCCGCACAGCAAACAGCGAGACAGTCCGTCGCCGACCACTGTCTTCTTCATGTCGTCCAGACGGTTAATTAAGCGCCTAAAACAGAGTCTGGTTACAAACTGCACACCTGTCAGGTGACTCGGTGTAAAATCGCTCACCAGGACCAGACCAATGTCGGGTTTTCAACTCATGAACGTCCTGGTCATAAAATATACACAACATAAACTTAGAGGCATGGTTGACGACTGGAGAGACTGGTAGTTATTATGAACTTCGTTTCTATGGCGATCATGGTCCTATAGTGCGATCGCCACAAAGTGAAGAGAAAAAAGAATTCGGAAAAAATCCGATCACCCGAGCAGGTGCAGGGTTGCAAGAACATTGACCAATGGGAGCCATCCGTCCCGGACAGCTTCTATTGGTCAGTCTCCTTCTCCGCCTCTCCATCCAATCACTTCGCTGTATTCGACACACCCCTCTCCTGTAGTTCTGACTCGTCCCCTCCCACTCTCCCGGCCCTCCTCGGAGCTCTGAGTGGCTAAAAGTAGAGTAGCAGCTTAGCTACAGGAGCTGTGATGGAGAAGGACGCAAAAAAAACCCACTTCTGCTCGCCCCACCGCCAAAAGAGGGAAGAAAACGCAAGCCGACAGAAGAAAGGGCGGAGTCAAAGAGGAAATGTGACCAAGCGAGGAATCTAACGTGAATAACCATCGGGTCATCCTTGAAGTGGTGGAGAAAGCTCCGCCCTCAGGTCATTTTTATCTCCTTTTATCGTGGCTCATGTTACATAAATAACTCTGATTAGTCTCTGACATGTCAACACGGTAGCTGTCCAGGCAGATGCAGACGGCGCTCGCTAGCAGAGCTGGCGTTTACTGCCGCTAGTCACTAACAATCCGACATGGTGAATCCTATTTGAAGCTAGCATAGGATCTTCTGCCAGAGGGGGCGTGTCGTGAGGTTAATGGGGGGAGTTATCGTGGAGCACAGAGGGGAGGGGTTTGTGTTTGGAGATGGGACACTTTTTTCAAATCTGCCTCAACAGCTCAGTTTTTTTTCAACTGAATACCAGATCGTCAACCATGAATTTTAAGGAAAGAAAGAAAGCCCCGCCTCTCACCCAATCCTCTCCTGCTCCATGGCCTCCATCTTTTCAGCTCGGGCGATCACGCTGTTGATGATCTCTTTCTCCTCATCTGTCAGGTCTGGACCAGGACCAGGAGCCTGCTGCACAGACCAGGTCCCCCTGTCAGCCAAAGGCAGCGTCAGATTAAAGTGACTCTGATTCCTGATGACAGACTGAATGTTTGAACAGAAGAGACGTTTATCTACTCACTGCTCTTTGTCGCTGCGTCAGCAATCACACAGGAGGGAAGCAGAAAAATGAAAGAGGACATCATCATGAGGATCTGTTCATGAGGTTTACCTGTTTACATGGAAGATGGAGCTCACCTGGCGTGCATGCTTCTCTGTCTGTCATTGGAGCCCCAGCGATCGGAGCTGCTCATCACCGTGTCCGCCATGCTGTCACCTCAGTCTGCAGGAGGACAGACAGAGAAGAACCTGAACCATCTGAGACTAAAGTCCTAACTCAGCAGAAAGGACTCATCCGGAGCTCTTTTCAGTCTGGTTCTTATTAATCAGATTTATGACTTCATCCTGAGTCTGGGCCAAATTAAAAGTCTAGAGTCCACACTTTTCCAAAACCTCCATCCTCTCTGGTGCAAACTTGACTTACAGCCAGTCCCATCTCATCCTTAAGTACATTTTATAGGAATAAATGAGCCGAGACCCGAAAAAACAGCAGACAGTGAACGCTCATCACTTCCTAAAGGAGAGATCACATTTCTGACTTTTAAAGTCAGTCAGTCATAAACTCAAAATAAAACCAACACACACCCAAAGATTTACAGATCCAGACTGAGAGACTCAGAGTTTGATCATGGCAAATGGAGGCGGAGCTGGTGCCAAACCCACAGCCAATCAGAACCACCTCCTCCTTTTCGAGAAAATGTTCCCTGGACATATTCAAGCAAGAAAGGTACATGAGGAAAACTCCAACACAGAAACAATGACATGGTGAGGAAGGTGGTGAGGAGGAAGAGGAGAAGGTAGTGGTGGTGGTGAGGAGGTGAGTTCATGCTGACAGGAATGACTCAGACTCCTCCTCCTTCTCTCCAGTGTCTCCTGATGGTTCCTGCTGTGGTGGTTAAAGCTGAGAGTTGTTCCTCCGTCTCTCTTGGGGGATGTGGGTGGGAGTGGGAGCGTGGTCAGGTGTTACAGGGGCTGATGGGAAAGATCTGAAGGAAACAGTCATCACCAGGACTGTACTTTAATTTTATGGATGGTTGTGCTGTCACTGCGTCCAGAGCGTGCGATGACAGGAAGTGAGTGTTTGTGTTCACGGTGTAAAAGAGCGTCTGGGACCGGAGCCCAGAGTGAGCCCTGATGAAGGAAACACACCGACAACAATGTGATTAAATATCTGAGAGTGACATCTACAGATGTTACAGAGGAGTCCACAGAAACATCATCCATGGGCGAGTCTGAGGACCTCTGTGAGGACAGGCTGAACTTCAGGTCAGGTCAGATCGAGTCCTCTGTGTCCTGAGGGGATCACAGCGGTCAGAGGAGACCATCAACATCCCAAAAAAGGAAGACAAGAGTTCCTCAGAGAGCTCTGACTGTAGAGTACAAACTGCAGTCTCCTCAGAAGAGACACCTTTAGAACAGAGTCGGTTTAGGAGGACCCGTTCAGGTTCTTGGGGGGGCTGCAGCCTATCCTAGCTGTCAATGAGTGAAGGGCAGGGGGCGCTGTGGACACACACACAGAAAACCACCACCACTCTGCGACTCTCCTCCGCCCCAGCTCCTCTTTTCTGCAGAGGGTGACCACCCTGAAGTCCTGAAGTCCTGAAGTCCTGAGCTGATTGAGACTGGACCGTCCAGGACTGTGCTGGTGCAGGATGATGAGAGCGCAGGAGAGAGAGAGAGAGAGAGAGAGAGAGAGAGAGAGAGAGAGAGAGAGAGAGAGAGAGAGAGAGAGAGAGAGAGAGAGAGAGAGAGAGAGAGAGAGAGAGAGAGAGAGAGAGAGAGAGAGAGAGAGAGAGAGAGAGAGAGAGAGAGAGAGAGAGAGAGAGAGAGAGAGAGAGAGAGAGAGAGAGAGAGAGAGAGAGAGAGAGAGAGAGAGAGAGAGAGAGAGAGAGAGAGAGAGAGAGAGAGAGAGAGAGAGAGAGAGAGAGAGAGAGAGAGAGAGAGAGAGAGAGAGAGAGAGAGAGAGAGAGAGAGAGAGAGAGAGAGAGAGAGAGAGAGAGAGAGAGAGAGAGAGAGAGAGAGAGAGAGAGAGAACTTCACTGCTGCTGCTGCAGGTATTAGCCATGCTGTGTAACGTCAGTAAACACACACACACCTTTAGAGGTCTCTCATCTGTTGCTGCTCTGCCTGCAGGTCTCACAGAATAACAACAGATCCACTGAGCTAACAATAGACGCTCTGGGTGTGGACTCCTTCTGCATCCACTCAACAACAGGAACAACACACTCCTCCTCCGGGGACCGTTTGTCTTCTTCCACTTCTCAGTCTGACACTCCAGAGATCCCTCTGAACCCCGAACACTCAGGCCTCCCGTCTGAACGGACGGGCCGGCTTTTGTCTAACATGACTGTCCTGGAGAGAGGAGGACAGAGAGAGACAGATGGGAGGAGGTTTTCAGGAGACTGGGTCTGGGTAATCACTGACTCAGACAGTCAGAGCGCTGCTGTTACTGCATCACAGAAGTGGACTCTCTGCCGAGGTGACAATCCAATTAGCATTCAGGAGATGGTCTGAAGGATCCTGCACACACACACACACACACACACACACACACACAGAAACAGCAGAGCTCAGCTTCATCTGCTGTCAGAGGGGCCTCACATCTCCAAACTGGATCTGTGGCCAATTACAGAGGACTACTGTCTCCACTCAAATGTCATAGTGAGCCGGGATCCTCGGCAGCCATGACATCAGCCTGGTCCTCCTCAGACTCTCAGTCCTCAGACTCTCAGTCCTCATGTGGCAGAGGTTACAAATGAAACTCATCTGCGTCATCTGTGACTCGAGGACTCTGGCTCAGTCATCTTGTGCGTGTTTTCCTCCCATATAAGAATGACTCAGGCAGGTGGTGGATCCCAGCAGACACTTTCCAAAATGTCAGGGAGCACTGCTGACGACGGTGACGACGGTGACGATGCTCAAAGACGTGGTGGCCTGCAAACTGTTGCCCAGAACTGTGCAAACACCACCAAACACAACAAGCATGTGATATGACAACAGGGAGGCTCTGACTCAAAGTACAGTAGTCCTCTCCTCCAGTCATCCACCCAGCAGGAGCTGTACAGAGCTCCGAGTGGGGGTGGGAGAGGACAGGCTCCGAGGCCTGGATCTCCTCCTGGGGACAAATCTGCATCTGAACATCTTCAGGGATGTTTGCAGAGCTCACCCTACACACTCTCCATCCAGTTTCAGCAGCACAGAGAAGTCTTCTCCTCGGATACGTGGAGTGGGAGCTTTAAGTCTGATTCTCAGGTTGATGTTTTGTGACTCAGAATAGCAGGTCCATGAGTCATTACTGCAGAATATACGACTGGAGAGGAGTTGACCGTAATCAGAGCCTCTTGTTTTGCCGTCGACAGCCTGATGTATGTCTTTTTACGAAGACTCTGCTTCTCGCCCGAGGAAACAGGAGCTGAATAAAGCGTGGAGAGTGACAACAAGGCAATGGGGCATTGATGGATGGAGCCAACATGGATCATTATGGATACAGCACTCAGCTGGGGGGGTGGGGGGGCAGAGAGGACAGAGTCATCTGTTTGTACTGAGATCAGCAGAAAAGGAAGCGTGGTGGTTTTGTTTCTATGTTTTCTTTAAACAGGGACAGTAAAGGTTCAGTCCGTCTGATTTTCTCAGTGTCAGCCTATTTCTGATCGTTTTCAATATGAAGAAACTTTATTCCAGGACAACAATTCCCCCGCCGTCCTCCAAGAAGGGCATCGCTGAAATGGGTTAATGAGAATCGGAGATCGATGCAAAGTCCCACAATTGGTTTCACTTTAATTTATCATTAATCAGGTCTCCATTTATATTTGGTAGCCTGAGGCTCAAACTTACTTATGGAGGTGTAATGGAGGTCGGCTCGCAGCAAACCACCAAATCATTCACCAGCAAACCTTACCATGGGCTGCCACCGCCACCGCCGCTGCTGCTGCAGAGTCCCTGCAGGCTCCGATCAGCACTTTGCTCCAAAACCACTTTCCAAGGTGCTGATGCTAAGTAGATGACAAATTGATATTCATGTCAGCGCCGCAGAGCCATCCTAGCGGCGAGTTAATCATGCTGGTGAAAGCGTGCACGTTTCTCTTCAGGTGGCTGTAAGCATGAATGTTTCATCAGCTCTAACACTCGCTGCCTTTTCCTATTAAAAAAGCCCAATTACCTCCCGACTCGCACACACACATTCGTCACCGTGATGGGACTCACCAGCCCAGCCATAACATTTTTTAAACATCGCCATTACAAGGTTTGAAGTGCTTTGTGTGGCTGCATCCATAATTCATCATGCTGTTTACTCCAGGACAGGAAAAGGACTCATCTCTCTAATATGAGAAGCATGGAGGTTCACTGTAATTCTGCTGTATTTGTGATCCAATGTGGAGATAAGATGGTCTTCAGAGGAGTATTTATACTCCACAGCTGTTGGAGCAGAAACAAGAGGAAACAGAAGAAACAGAAGAAAGAAAGAGGACATTCATTTCTTTTCTCCTTTCACCATCTGCGGCGCTAACAACCCCGACTGTTCCTGCTCCATGGAGGAACACGGACAGTAATCTCTGCGTCCGCCATGACCACCACCAGTGAAGCTGGTTCTTCTTCATTGAAACCATAGACTGTATCTAGAATAGACGCCGCCACTCTGAGAACAGCGCCCTCTGGTGACGGTCTGCAGTATAGGTTATAAACCCCGCCTCCTTATGGAGCTGTGGACAAACTTTATAAATGAATGACACAGAATATAAATGTTTCTCCCCCCTGGTTGTGATGTTGACATGTAGTTACTGTCAGACTGGTTTGTGCTCAAGTCCTCTTTTTTCTGTACAGCTCCATTTTTAAAAGTTATTAGGGGGTTCATGTTTTCCATGATTGACACCTGATACAGCCAATGGGAGGACAGAGAAAGGGAGAAAAAAACAGAGAAATACCCAGAACTTTTTGGCTTCAAATCCGTTTACAGGCGGGAGGCGGAGCCAAGTTGTCCAGAGTTTATACAGTCTATGGTTTTGACCCAGTTGCTCACATGGATATGTTTGTTTCTCTCAGTAAGAACGAGTATGAAATGTTTTTCTGATCAGTTTCTTGTTGCAGAAATTCAACTCTTGGTAGTTCAAACCTCGCTCTTTGGTTGCAGACCCTGATCTGAGTTTTTAATGGTTCTGTGTAATCTCTGTTTTCATTCAACCAGAACGGCTGTAAGATGAGACCCGTGTGCATGACATCTAAACACCATGAAGTAATGTTTCGTGTTTTCCACCTGTCCGATAAATGAATTGATAAATAATATTTATCTTTATTGCACTCACAATTTCTACTGTTTCTCTAGTTGATATCCACTCACAGCACCAACAAATAGTTTGAGCTGTTCAGCAGCCTGCCTTAGCGACACTTTCAGTCCCCAGAATTGGACCCCTGCAGGGCTGAGATGAAGCTGGTCCAGGGGACATGAGGGTGTCTCCATTCTGGATCATGGTGTCTAGAGACAGGGGAGTCCCTCTGGAACCCTCAAAGTTTCTGACCTGACCCCATTTCAAAACCAGCACCCGACCACGACACAAAGGTGAGGAGGGCCTCAGGTGTTCCTGCTGTGAAGTTGGTCTCAGACTCGTCTCCAGGTCGTGTCGTCTCAAACAGAAACTCCTCGCTGCTTTCAGCCGCTGATGTCTCATGATCTCACACCAGGCGTGCAGAGCGAGTGGGGAGACGGCGTTGGAAGCAACCAAAAATCAAACAAGAGGTATCCGCCCACTCCTTACTGCATGGCCCAGCTCCACCATCATCCACCCTCCACAGAGGGACTGTGAGATACCAGCACAGCGAGGTCTGGACCTGAGCGAGACTGTAAAGCACTGCACCAAGAAAACCCTCCACTGCAGGAGGAAAACATCACTCAGCATTTCTTAATTATTTACAGCTCTGAGCCCCCCGGTGCTTTTCACTTCGTGTAGCTCCGTCCCCTCTTTAAGGCGTTAGTGCATGCTTGATGTGGAGGGATCTTTCTGAGGAGAACAGAGGACCTGTGCAGAAATAGATCACAGAGAAGAAACCAGGGTCTATTTTAGGAAAGCGTACGGATGTTTAGAGCTTCGTTCAGGTCTGAGCATCAACAAATGATCTGTTTTCAGTCAGACAACGCTGCTGACAAGGACCATCTGTGGAGCCATCTGTGAGGACTCTTCACCTCCAGTGTGAGAGAGCTGCACCCTCTCAAATACACATGACTACATCCTGTCGGCGGGCTCCGATCCAGGTCCCGCATGGCTGGAGAACAAACAGGAAAGACCATCCAGTGACCAACAAGATACCATGCTGATATCCTGCCACATTTCTGGCTGAATGTACCGGACCTAAACGGGCCGGGCTGTGTCTCTGTCATTCTGAAATTAAAGCTCCTCCACCCTCAGCTGTAGAAACAGTTCTGCTGATCGGCCGTCCTCAGTCCAAACATGGAGCCCTCAGTGAAGTGTACTCTAACAGGGGCCTGCAGTAAATCTGAGGTTCACCTGTCTGAAGGTGAGTCATCCCCATATGCCTATGAGGTAAGAGGTGGGACTTTGAGCGGTGGATGCTACTGCTGTATTGGACGGTCATGTTCCTCCCATCTGATCTCAGGGAAACAAGTCCGAGCAGACCGAGGCTTTAAATCAGCGCAGCAGTAAAGTCAGTCAGAAAAAAAGCACTGAGCAGATGTTCTCCACCACCCAGCGGTGGTCCTGCACCTGCAGCTGGTGGTCAGTTCGGAGAAACTCTGATCACATACAGAAAGCAGCCAGGTCTCACATCAATCTGTGGGTGTAATGACTCTGTCTCTGCTGTGAAGATCTGGCACGGTTCAGCAGCTGGATATCTGATGCTCCCTCTCATCTCATCAGCTAACAGACAGGTACAACACCCCGGGGTGTTTTTAGCGGATCTGTCCTGGACTGAGGAAGTCTGACAGACTGCAGCCCTGAAATCAAAAACTCACTTCTGCACTAAAATCACCTGCTGCTGCTGCTGCTGCTGTAAAATGTGTTTATCTGGATGTCACAGATCTGCTGCTGCAGCTGCTGATTAGATCCAGTTTTGGTCCCCCTCTTGGCTCTCTTGGGCGCCACATTGATCATATCTGTCTTCTTCAATATGCCAGAGTGTTTAGGCAAACCCAATCCTCTGTTTAAGAGAGGCCTGAGGATCGATTCACACTGATTTAGTCCGACGAAGACTCGAGGACAAAACCACTCCCCTCAGATTCTGCTTTTCTTCTCCAAATGCATCAAAACAGCCGACAGACACAGATGCCTGATCTGGGCTGTCAGCTCCATGTATGGTTGGTGAGGAGCATCGAGAAACATGGAGTCATGCACCTTTACAACCGTGACCATGGTAACAGCAAGATCAGAAGAAGCAGAATGATTAAAAGCTCTGCGTGTGTGCGTGTGTGTGTGTGTGTGTGTGTGTGTGTGTGTGTGTGTGTGTGTGTGTGTGTAGTCCATGATACCTGTGCCAAATTTCAAAGCCTGTGCAGAATGAGCTTTTGTTGCAGTGATAGTGGATCATCTGGTACATCAATAAACATGTCTGCAGATTTGGAGAGATGATGCATTTACGGTGAAAACACAGCAGAGCGCTTAGAGAAGAAGACGAGCTGAAGACAGGGGATTCTGGGTACAGTTGGCGTGGAGTCCTCAGCTTTAAATAATGCAGTTAGTGTGCAGAGCACTTCCTCCATCCTCACATCTTTTTAACCTTTTCCCCTAACACCCATGTTCCCTCGCTCTCCCTCCTCTTGTTTCATGAGATACGGCCTAAGAATCAATTTTCCTCTTTTGTCCCTCGACCAAATCCGGTCTTTCTCTGGACAGGAAACATGGGGCTGGCAGAGAGACAGAGAGGTATCAGCAGAAGGGTGTCGTCCAATCACTACAGTGATTGCTCATGTGAGAGGAGGCAGCTGCAGATATCTCTCACTGTTCATTCAGTCTTTTCCTCCCCTCCCCCATTTAATCCCCCGTGCTCCAGGTCTGTAGGAGGAGTTGGTTGGAGATGGAAGAACTGAGAAGCAGCTTCTGTCTTTCCTGACCTCCTTCCATATTAAAACCAGAAGAAATGGACCCAGAAGTCTGTTTACCACGCGCACCGTTCAGACTCACAAACCCTGATAACCGGTGGCTGCAGGATGAGGTAATATCACAACAAGTAGGTGGTTGTATCACCTGTCCTGTGGCACAGCTGGAGCTGAGAGCCGCCCTGCCCACATCAGCGTTTGAAGGCATCACTTTTGTTTTTCCTCCTGGTCTGCAGGCACATCAAACCCCAGCGTGCGCTCCAAAAAATCCTGCAGCAACGCCCAGGGACTGCATCCACACAGTCTCCCTCATGACTTACCGGCTCCGTTTTCTCCTATCAGATCTGCAATAAGGAAGCAGGAACACTGCCAGCTCCAATTCTGGTTTTAATTAAGGACTCGTCAGAGCCTGTGGAGCTGCACCCAGAGCTACATTTGTCAGCCACTCATGAATAAACCCTGGACATAATCACAACACCAGAGCATGCTGTAGTAAAATCAATGCAACAATTCAAAATAGGAGGCAGAACCAACGCCTCTGCATGAAAACACTCTGCAGCAGGGCAATGATTTCAGAGACATTTTCCCCTGAAACAAAGGAGTCCATCAAACCTTCCTCTGCATATCTCTGAAGCTCACAGAGGCTCATTAGCAGCTGCTCCATGAGTAACACTGTAAGCATTTACACATTTTCATTCAGGTGACTCAGGCAGTCAGAGACTCACACAGACAATCAAACGTGAGCAAATTAATAAACACAAGCAATAAAATGTGTTTCTCTCCTCCTGAAACATCAGCCCCACTCCCACCCTCTCTCTCTCTCTCTCTCTCTCTCTTGTGAATGAGATGCTGCATCCATTCATTCAACTTATGAGAGAGAAAAATAACTATAAAACACTTAGTCACTCTCTGAAAGCTAAAACCACACGAGGATTGGAGGTAAATGATGCAACGTTTGAAAATCCTCCGAGGGAGAAGATCCAGACTCCTACCTGAGAGTCCAGCCCTGCTCCTCCTCTCTCTCCTCCCTCCTCTGCTTCTCTCGGGGAGCTGTCAGGGAATGATGCGGACTAAATTTCTGTGCAGCTCTCGGTACCGACCACAGACTCACTCATTGCGCAGGGTGCCTGATACCAAACTCTCTCTCTCTCTCTCTCTCTCTCTCTCTCTCTCTCTCTCTCTCTCTCTCTCTCTCTCTCTCTCTCTCTTCTTTTTCGGTGCCTGGAGGAGCGGACTGATGCACAGCGGACCTCCACAATGCGTGGGAACTTGTCTTGTGTTCTGCGTGGAGGATGGAAAGCCCTTGGTACCCTGGGAAGGAAACCCCTGGATGTGAAGTGATGATAGTGATGCTGCTGCTGCTGCTGAAGTGGAGACTCATCACCTGATCCCCGAGACTCGAGAACAGCGAGTAGAGAGTCTAAATTTGGCTCCCCGTTCATGCAGCATTATTGACTGATCTGTCACTTTATCACGGTACACATTTGTGTCAGTGGGATTTTCACGGAGATAAATACACACATTTCCACTCAGTGTGCTGTTTGTGTTCAGATACAGTCATATCTATTTTTCTTACCAGGTTTGAATGTTTTCTGTTATTATTCTTATATCCTACTTAGATTGTTAATAATATGAGTGGATTACTCCGTCCAGTTTCACATTTTTGGTCAATACATTTTATCACAGCAAATTTTTCTTTTCTTATTTTCATTGATTTTATTTTTTGCAAACTTACAGGTGAATTTTTATCATCAGTGTGAACATTTTAGTGCATAACCTACGTCTGCTGTAATTATATCTGCGGAGACACTGCGCCATCTAAAGGGCTAAGTATTTATTACAATAAAGACCGGATGAAACCCACCCTTATATTATTATTTATATATTAAATATTATATCATAATAAAGTATTATTATTATTATTATGCTTAATGGCAAATGGACTGTGGTCGTGATGTAACAGAACTGAAATCGAGCCAAAAGAAAAAATAAAAGTGGAATTAACTGTAGGTGAGATTTGCTCCACTGTCAAAAGCAAAGGTATTTTTACGGATGAAGTGCAGAAATAAAGTAATTAGGATATCTTAAAGGATCCTCAGATTTAATGAATACTTAATCTAACACGTTTTAAACATAATCAATGTATAAAATGACCCTATAGGCGGAAACACGCATGTAGTTGTGCGCATTTTTCCCCGAACAGGCGAAAGTGAGGATTTTCACGCATATCATTCACGCATGCGCATTATGCATTAGCTGCCACTACAGCTAACATGAAGAATGAGAAAGCAGCGAGTGTTCTCGGACAGTAAAAGTCATATTTTAATGTGTGTGTTTTAGCTGCTCAGAGCTGACACTCTGAGAATATAGATAATGTTATAGTTTCCGCTGTATTATTCTGTCTATGTGTGTGTTTTTCGTGAACTATCTTGGTCTTGTATGGTCTTTGCTGAATCACGTGACTGAGTCTCTCCACTCGGTCACCTGACCTCAGAAAGATGGCGGCTCACCTCTCCTACGGAAGAGTGAATTTAAACATTTTAAGAGAAGCAGCGAGAAAAGAGCTTCGAGAGTTTTTGGACAAATGTGCAGGGAGTAAGGTAAAGAAGAGGAGAAATGGACAAGTTTAATGTTTTATTATTTTATAACAGTTTAGTTGGTATGGAGCTGTCTGTCTGCGCTGACACACAGATATACTGAATAAAAACATACAGTTTTAATGTCATTCTGTCTATAAAGATCACCGTATAAACCGTCAGCTCATGACTTAATCAGACTTATTTCTCCTTTTTCAGGCCATAGTCTGGGATGAGTATTTAACAGGACCTTTTGGACTGATCGCTCAGTATTCTTTATTAAAGGTAAGAACTTATTTAATATCAGAGATTATGTTTAATTTAAAGGCAGAAGTTTGATCTTATTTAATCATCATTACTTAGGAAAAATAATCAGTTAACGAGGTGATACAGCAGGATCACGGGAGAGCTAATCTTTGGAGAAAAATAAGTGATTTTTGTTTCTGAAACACAGATAAATATCTTATTCAGTCAGGAAAATTTAGCTTTTTTATTCACCTACAATGCTTTAATAATTCTAAGACTATTTTTACAGTAATGTATGAAAATATTGTAAGTCTAAGATAATTATCTCATTCATTAGTAATAACTATAATAACTTTATTTATGTAGCACCTTTAAAAAACAAGAGCTTACAGAGTTCTTTAACATGCAGGAAAACAAAGAAAATAAAAACAACAGAACAAGAGAACACTCAGAGGAAATGATGCGTTACTGGCATTAAAGAAATAAAATGTAAAAAATATATAATTTTTATCCATGCAGTTTTTAATGAGTCTGTGGTAATTACCTCATTAATTAAACAACACACAGCTGGTCATTTCCCTTTAAATTTTATACAACACTCCACCAAAGAGTTGTATTTAATGAAGAAAGAATTTTCTCAGTTTTTCCAAATTTATGAGGTAATTATTTTTAAAATTTTGGCTCCTAATAAAAAATCTAACCCTGTTTTCTGCAGTTATTAAATAATTACCATATTAATTCAGATTTTTATTTATTTATAATTTTTTCCTGTAATCCTGAAACAATCGTCTCCTTTATTCAGAAGAACAGAGCTGATAGTTTTTCTGGCGTTGATGATGTTTACTTCAGTATGTCACTAACACAAATATAAACCCTCCTCTTATAATGCATCAGAAGCACATTTATAAAACCTTATGACTGATAATAATCATTCCTAACAGCTTATAGCAAAGTTTATGAAGTGTTATAAACACTTTTTCATGATACTTTATAAACGTATGATTTATAATGTAACCAGGAACATGAAGTGGAGAAGATGTTCACCCTCAAGAACGGCCGGCTTCCCTCCGCCGACGTGAAAAATATCATCTTCTTTGTGCGTCCGAGACTGGAGCTCATGGACATCATCGCTGAGAACGTGTTCAGGTCAGTTTATGTTTTTACATCCCTCTGTCCTTTTTTCTAAGCTGCCCACAGTATCGAACTCCTCTTTTCTGGCTGTTTGTCTTCTAGTGAGGACAAGATGCACTCAGCGAGAGACTTCCACATCCTGTTTGTTCCTCGACGGAGCATGCTGTGTGAGCAGAGGCTGAAGGAGCAGGGCGTGTTAGCCTCCTTCATCAACATTGACGAGTACATCCTGGACCTGATCCCCTATGACGGGGACCTGCTCTCCATGGAGTATGAAAGTGCTTTTAGGGTACGTTTGATTTGTCCACCTCGTACTCTGATGCTTCAGTTATAAAGTTACAAACACCTCGGCCTGTCGTGTTTTTCTTTTTTAACCCCAGTCCAGTCGGTTCTTAAAAACAGATTTTAATGGTTGAAAAATCATTTATGATTCGCTCCAGGTTCATGATTCTCACTAACCCTCTGGAGACCTTAGTGAACCCAGCAGACCAGGTTCTGGAGTCTGACAGTCAAATATGGTCCCAGTCTTTGTCTTGTTCTGGTGTCATGATGCTCCAAGAGTTTTCAATATATTGTTCAGCATTAATGAAGCCTTCACAGATGTGGAAGATACCCAGGACATGGACTCTGGTGATCCCCAGACCATCAGGGATGCTGGACTAGCAGCTGAGAACAAGCCGGGTGGACCCTCTAACTCTTTAGAGAGGAGGATGCAGCATCTATGATTTCCAGTTCTTCGTTAACTCTGGAGTGACTCCCACTCCAGAGTCCTGTCTGTTTTTAAAGCCCTGAAGATCAGGACCATCACTCCTGGTTCTGGTCCTTGTCCCCCTTTAGTACGGAGATTTCTCCAGATCCTCTGTAGATGATAAAATCCACTTATTCTGAAACTGTTGGTCTGTTCGCTCACACAGTCTCTCACAGAATCCTGAACCTCTTCCATCTTCGCCTGGATAGCAGATATTTTTATATGAAACAATAAACTTTAATATTTGATATCTTTGTATTATTTCAGTGAAATGAGGTTTTGAATAATTGTCAGTCCATTGAACTCAGATCTTATTCACACTGCTGCAGCGTCTCTCACGCTGATGAAGATGTTTTCTGTTTTTCAGGAGTGCTACTTAGAAAACGACCAAACGAGTCTTTACCACACGGCCAAAGGCCTCATGACTCTCCAGGCTCTTTACGGCACCATCCCACAGATCTATGGGAAAGGAGACTGTGCTCGGGTGAGTCCGGCGGCAGGAGAACTGAGGATTATGAAGTAGAGAGAACCTGTTTCCATGCACAGATGATGGTGAGAGAGTGAATCAGTGTCTGAGGAGCGTCTGCTTGTTTCTGCAGCATGTGGCCAACATGATGTTGAGGATGAAGAGGGAGTTCGCAGGCATCCAGAACCAGATCCTCCCTGTGTTTGACACTCTGCTCCTCCTGGACCGTAACGTGGACCTTCTCACCCCGTTGGCCACACAGCTCACCTACGAGGGTCTGATTGATGAGATCTATGGAATCACTAACGGTCCGTAAACATTTAAAACCTCCGGACTGTAAATGTTAAACCAACGTTCCTGCTTTAGTTCTGGTGTTTGTGAGTGTCCCAGTTCTCCGTTCGACCCCTCTCTCACAGGTTACGTGAAGTTGCCTCCTGAGAAGTTTGCTCAGAAGAAACAAGGAGAGGCGAGCAAAGATTTACCCACAGAGCCCAAGAAGTTACAGCTGAACTCTGCAGAGGAGCTCTACGCAGAAATACGAGACAAGAATTTCAACGCTGTGGGCGCCGCGCTCAGCAAGAAGGCCAAAATCATCTCTGCCGCCTTCGAGGTGAGTTTGATTTCCACGTATGTTTGAACTGAGGAAGAGAAGGTCTGGGCTGGACTACAGCTGCAGGTTACGTTGATTTTCTGTTTCTCTAAAATGTTTCTGTCTAAGTTTCTGCGGCTGTTCTTGGATCATGATGTTGATGGATCATGACTCCACAGACGTTCAGGATCCTGTTTGTTTTTACCTGAATGTCTCAGATTTGATAAATACTAAAAAAACACACGTCTGTTTTATCGTCTCTGTTCAGCGTTTGACCAAGTTTACCGAGATTAAAACTGACTCAGGAGGAGGGTTGAGGTTTTCGAGGTTCACCAAAGTCACGGTCTGAGAACATCTTCCACAGAGCTTCACTTCATCGTTCTTGGTCACAATAAATGATGTGTGAAAATAAATCTGAGTGTTCCGTGGAAATGTGAGGTTTGTTGGTTTTACCAGAGGCTGAGACATGAATATTAATAATAACTGTATTTATGCAGCTTTAATGCAGAGAGCAGAAACACATCTGCTGTTCAGAGATCCAGGAGATCCAGGAGATCCAGGAGAAGGTGACTCCACACTTCAGGAGCACAAAAACTAAAAGCTGCTTCAGATGAATTCTCAGGGGAAGAGCTGAGAGCTGGAGCGGGTCAGAAAGTGACAGACAGTCAGTGATAGAAGAAGAGAGTTGATTTTGGGACGCCTCGTAAATTCACTTCAGATCAGTCCTGATAGAAACAGAGTCCAGACTATAGAGCAGTGAGTCAAACTGGGATTCAGTGAAACCAGGACTCAGAGCCGTCACACGGTCAGAACCTCAAACCTCGAACCCAGACCTGATACCAAATCTGTTTGTTTCCCTCGTCTTCCAGGAGCGCCATAACGCCAAAACGGTGGGAGAAATAAAGCAGTTTGTGTCTCAGCTGCCTCACATGCAGGCGGCTCGGAGCTCTCTGGCGAACCACACCTCCATCGCTGAGCTGATTAAAGACATCACCAGTGAGTCCGAACCCTCCGAACTGAGGGGCCGCACCTTCAGCTGATTTCACCCTCTTCTTCTTCACTAAAGTGACAGTTTCACAGAGTTTCCTCCTGGACTGTTGTGTTCTCGATCAGCCTGATGAAGCACATGTTTGATTGATTATAGATATTAAAAGGGTTTAATGAGAACCTTCACAGATATTAAATAGCGTGTAAATCTGTCTGATGAATCTAAGAGCCTCTCGTGTCTCCTCCTCCAGCGTCTGAGGCCTTCTTCGATAACCTGACGGTGGAGCAGGAGTTCATGACCGGAGTCGACACAGATAAGGTTTTTATTCATCTAAAGATCATGAAGAAAACCTGAACTCTGTGTTTGTTTCTGAGACAGTTTCTTCTGACCCCCCAGGTGAACACGTACATCGAGGACTGTATCGCCCAGAGGGATCCTCTGATTAAGATCCTGCGTCTGGTGTGTATGCAGTCCGTCTGCAACAACGGCCTCAAACAGAAAGTGTTCGACTACTACAAACGAGAGATTCTGCAGGTACGGTCTGAACTCCACAGTCTGAACAGGCCGGGTACGGAGCCTGGTGGGTCACCGTCAGCTCCACCCCTGCTCAGATAGAAACGTGGCGTTTGCACCTGAACCTAAACTCAGAGTCACTTTGCTCCTGTAGGAGGAGGCGGGGTTTAAAAGCTCCGTCCTTCAGGTGAGCAGCAGCTGTGGAGGTGAAGCTGCAGCTCCATCCTGCTCAGAGTCAAACCTCAGAGTCGTTTTTAAAGTGTCGGGGTCCTCTGGGGGTCAAAGTTCATCTGTCTTTGATTAAATGAAACGATGACGTTCAGTCTCTGTCTCCTTGTTCTGTTTAGACCTACGGTTATGAACACATGCTGACTCTGAACAACCTGGAGAAAGGGGGTCTTCTGAAGCCCCAGACCAGCTCCAGGAACAACTACCCCACCATCAGAAAAACCCTCAAACTGTGGATGGAGGACGCCAACGAGCAGGTGAGCAGGAAGACGATTGAGCTGAGAGGACGTCTGAGGAGGGAGCTGCTGCTTTTCTGACCTCTTTGACCTTCTGATTCCTGCAGAACCCCAACGACATCTCCTACGTGTACAGCGGCTACGCTCCTCTCAGCATCCGGCTGACCCAGGTCTTGGCCCGACCCGGGTGGCGCAGCATCGAGGAGGTGCTGAAGATGCTCCCGGGTCCTCACTTTGAGGAGAGACAGCAGCTTCCTGCAGGCCTTCATAAGAAACGTAAGGAGCGGCGTGCAGACGCCTGTTTGTCCTGCTGCTGCTGCTGCGTGGAGATAAGAGTCGGGCTTTGTTTCTGCCGTGTTTGTCGCTGAGCGGCGGCAGATTGATGATACTAAACTGACAGAAACACAGAGGCTGTGTGTGTGTGTGTGTGTGTGTGTGTGTGTGTGTGTGAGACAAAGCGTGATAAAAACACGCCGTCAGTGTTGGCAGTAATGAGTGTCAGACCGATCTGAACAATGAATCTGATCAAACGCTCCGTTTGAAACCTGCTAATTATTCTGGATCTGGACCTGTGTCTACATGTCTGCTTCAATTCAATCTAAAAGGTGATAATAGAGGACAGACCGCGGGGAGGAGCATGATGGGAAATGAATGTTTTCACATTTCAATCAGCTGATGGAGCAGATGGGACGCGGCCTCCTTTACGTTCAGACAAACTAAAGTCAGCAGTAAGAGAAGATCACATGACAGTGATTTAAGGGTCTCTGCGTCGGCTCCCCGTCTCTTTTAGAATCGATTTTAAGTTTGTTTTATTGGTTTTTAAAGCTCTTATTTATCATATGAGTCAGGCAGAGTCCTCAAGAAGTTCTCTGTTAACATTATTACCTAAAGTGAAAACTACAACATACGGTGAGACATCTTCTTATCACTATGGTCCCCGTCTGTGGAACAGCTGACCTGAAGATCTGAGTAAACTGAAAACATACTGAACCTGATTCAGTCTGACTTTTAACTCCATTTTATATCATTAACTTTGAGTGTTTTAATATTTATCTCTTTCTAGTTTTAATAACAGGATCGTCTTTTATTGATCTGTTTTGATCTTATTTTAGTGTCTTTTACTTTTGTTTTTATTTCATTTTATTGATTATTTCTTAAATTTCATTCTTTGTTTCTTTGTTTTTAGATTTTAAACCTCCAGTGTTTCTTTATCTTGAGTTTTAAAACGGTGTTTCCTCACATTAAAACCCTTTTTAAGTTCATGTATTTTAATCCTGTTTCTGTTCAGATGGTGGACTGAGCGGTCGGGTTTGGGGAACATTTGGGTTTTATTTGTTTCTTTTATTCCCTTTTCTGTGTAAAACACTTTGTGATACACGGTCATGTATGAAAAGTGCTATATAAGTAAAGACTGATTGATTGATTGATTAATTGATTGATTCTTTACTCTGACATGGTAATCAGTTTCAGCAGCTTCATCGTCTCCATCTTGGTTCTGTTCTTCAGGTCAGCAGGGGGAGAACCGGACCACGCTGGTGTTCTTCCTGGGTGGGGTGACGTACGCAGAAATCGCCGCTCTCCGCTTCCTCTCTCAGATGGAGGACAGCGGCATGGAGTACATCATCGCCACCACAAAGCTCATCAACGGCACCACCTGGGTCAAATCCCTCATGGACCGACTGGAGTCTCAGACGCCCTGAGGAGTCACCTGCGTGCACACCTGCAGGATCAAACGGGCCGTCCATCAGAACCTCTCAGCTGCTGCAGGTGTTTGATTGATGTTTGACTCTGAAGAGCTCACCTGTGGACTCCTCGCTGTGAACACATGAATGTTCACGCTCACTGTTACACCCTCTGACCATCCTGGAGAGGTTTCCTTTATTTGAAATCACACCTGTCATTGATCATTTGTAAGTTATTGATCAGATATTTGATGCTGAAGTTCACTTGATGATCTGCATGATGATATTTGAGCATTTCTGCAGATGTTTGAATCAGCCTTAAATTATATATGAAACAGTAGGTGTAAAAAAACATGATATAGGGGGCGCTGTGGCGGACAGGTCTGACATAAATCTTGTAATTTTTTTGCTTCGGGCTGAAATTGAATGTTAAACCTCGTTAAACGTCGCTCTCTGGCACCTCTAGTGGTCATAATCTCCACAGCAGGCCTGTCATTGGCCTCCAGATCTTCATGTTTCACACTGATCCTGTTCAAGAGTTCATTCCTTTTTTAATGCCTCATGTCTCTCCATGAGAAGGTGTTCATCTGTGTTTACATGAAAAATTTCTTTTTGTAAAAAAACTTAATTTTTGTAGGTTTTTCTCCAGTTTCTGTTTGGTTCTGCTTCGTCTGTTCTGGGCCTTAAATAAAGTCCTCTCTGCTGTGACAGAAACCAGCCTGGACTCTCTCTGACAGGCTGGGAGCCTTTTCTCTTTCTGTTTGGTGGATTATTTCCAGACAGAAGCTGATTGTGGACGTGGAGAGCGGATGAGAAGCAGATATGGGAGTGTATCCGTCAGCAGAGATCCAGCTCTCTGAAGGAGCAATTAGCAGAGTAACAGGCCCCCTGATCAGCCGGTAATGGCCCTGTACTGTCTGGAGAGCTCAGCCCGCAGCAGCCCAGATTTGACAGCACATGACACTGATTGAATTAGGAGGCCATTTGCTCCATGTTCCGGGAGAGGATGAGCGTGCTGCAGGAGGGTGTTTGATCGGTGTTTCGGTCAATATCAGCTCCGTGCCTTACACTCCGAACACAGGGAGACCTGCTGACTGATCTCTGAGGCTCCGAGAACCAGCCTGGGTAAATATAAGGACGCTGGTTTCCTCCATGCTGGTTTTCTGGAATTGAACAGATTTGATTCAGTTCATTAGAAATTATTTTAGATTGTGTTTCTAACATCAGAGTGTTTGAGGAGCAGGTGTGCTGCAGACTTAAACCCCCCATTAGGTGGACCTCAGGGGACTCAGATCCCTGTGATCAGTTCTTCCTCTTGGCTCCTCCTCTGCAATAAGAGCTTCAAAAGCTCAGGGCGGCTCACAGCTCCTCGGACTTCAGGGCTGGAGGCACAAGGGTCCACTTCCTGATCAGGTCCTGCCCCGCAGCAGCAAAACTAAGGTACGACTTTTCATTTATTCATGCATGTTTTATCCTCGTCTGTTTCACCTTCAACCTGATTCTTTCAGTCAACCTGTCACTGACTGTTTATTTCATGACTTATTCTGAGGATAGACGAACTTCTTTAAACAACTTCTTCACAGATACATTCAGCATGTCTCCAAATATCAACAGTTTCAAAAGTTCGATGTCCTGAAAGGTGAGTGAGGGACAGACTGGCTGTTGTTTGTACAAACAGATCAATACTGGATCCATTTAAAGCTATTTACAGATAAATTATTCACAGTGCTCTTTTATAACTGCAGCCGCTACCAGACAAAACAGCAAATCAATCTGCCGCACTTTTGCATCCAAACTTGTATGTTTTTAATAATGCATGAACCTCAGGACATAATCTTTATGACAGAGAGCAGATCCAGGACGCCTGAACTCCTTTTGTCTCTGCTGTCGTGTTTTTGCATCTCTGTGGTTTTACAGACTTTCAGGAGAACCTGGTCTGAGTCTGATGAAGTCTGTCTGTAGTATCTGACAGATGTTTGTGTTTGCAGAATGGGTCGAGGTGAGAACATGGGGTATTTGACTCAACCTGGCGGCAGGCAGAAGAAGCAGCAGTTTCATCTGGATGTGGACGTAGAGCCCTTGTTTATCCGCTTCCTCCGGACTTTCAAAGAAATCCTCAAATTTGTTCTCTTCAGCTACACAGTGCTGTTTGGGGCTTTGCTGCTCGCCAGATGGACCACTTACTTCATGGTGGGAAAATAAATCGACCGCTGAGGAAGAGGCTGGAGCTCATTAATGACAGAGATCAGGCAGACTTGTTGGGACTTGTGGTCTATGCAGCTCCTATGAATCATTAATGTCTCCAAACACAAATATAAAAGCTGGAGTATAAAAGCTTGCTCTGCAATTCAATCAAGTCCTGCCGCAGAAATAACAGCGTTTGTGTGTGTGTGTATTTTTTACAGTGTAGCACAAATATGGTGCAAAACTCCACAGTGAAACATATTTGCATCAGATCTTTGCAGAAAGTGCTTTAGTGTTCACAGAAGATGTTAAAAACCTGTTAGTGAATAAAACTGTAAACAGTTTTCTAAAGTGTTGGTCAGCTGTTTCTGTGGTACACTGACGATTACTCCTTAAATCAAAGTAAAACACAGATTTCCCATCATCAGGGAGAGATTGTGGATAAACTACTGAAGGATTAAGAGACCCTCAGAGAGCCTGGTGGTCCCAGATTCACTGTATCTAATGTTTCACTGTTGTTAGAACGATGACTCTAAGATAAAGGATGATCAAAGCTGTACTGACGGGTGTAATGTTGACGGGAATTTACAGCCAAAGCACAAATAAACAGAAATGGGATCACCTAAACTAAGGAGTCTTATGTGTCAGTCTATTATGTCAGTCTACATTTTTGTTTCAAGGGCTTTATTTTATTTTATTCTTGTATTTTGTGGTTCATGTGTACATTTCTGATAAAATCTGTGTTTGGTCAGCTGAGAAGAGAAGGGGGTGTTTCTGATAACAATGAGAGGTGTCTTAAATCTTCATGTCTTATGGTCATCATGTTGTTTATTCTGCATCAGGGTCACTGTGAATCTTGTAAGAAATAAAAACCAGTTTTTCTTAATAAGTGAAAATGTGGTAATAAGACCCACAATGCTCTGCTGCCTGAACCCGTCCTGACCATTTTAGGACGACGACCTCAAACAAAAACCAACAGGTGTGAAATCTGAAGCTCATTTCACCAAAGACACAGGTGTCACTGGAACACCGCAGAGTTTAATATAAATGAGATAGACGAAAACTCATACTGAGTTAGCCTACATATTTAAAAAAGGATATATTTGTATATTAACATACTTGTATATTATCTCCATTTTTTTACTTATTTTATCTATGTATCTCTTTATTTTTATTTATTTTTGATTATATTATCTTTGTATCTCTTTATTTTTATTTATTTTACTTATATCATTGATTATGTATCTCCTCTTCCTACTTTATTTGCACTGGAGTTTCTGTAACAATGGGGATTATTAAAGTATTTCTGATTCTGAAAATAAAATTTTAAAAAAAATCAGTGGGGGTAAAAAAACAAACAAACGAACAAACAAAAAGTTCATTTCATAATTAAAAAAGAGGAATATAAGATAAGGGAGCAGTGATATTTCATAAAACCACGACTTTAACTCAGGAAAGTAGATAAAATAATTCATATTTATTTTTCTGGCTGTTATTCTGCAGCAGCTGATTTTGTTCAGAGACTAAAAAAACATGAAACTTCTTTATAGAACAACAAAAAGAGGCAGAGGAGGAGTGAATGCTTCTCAAACATTTGCAATAATTACTAACTTAATTATTATAATTAATATACTATTTTGTTCGTTATCTTTTAAATTATTTTATTTCATTGATTTTTATTTTATTTTTATTTTACTTATTTTATTTTATAGTTTATTTATTTAATTATTTATTTATTTTATATTTTAATTTAAATTTTTTATATTATTATTTTTTAATTTTATATTTTGTTATTTATTTAATGACTTAGTCAGTTTTAATTTCAATTTAGTTTTTAATTTTAATTTTAACATTTTATTTATTTTCCTTTTTTTTTTTTCCTTTTTTTTAAATTTTATTTTTTCTTGGTGATTGACAGGAGGCGGAAAACTATCTCGACGTGTGCGGGTTGGTTTGATTATATTCACTTTAACGGTTTACACGGACGGGGTTAAGGTCACTATAAGGCTTTCTTTTAGGTCTTCATTACCTTCCATTGAAAATTCCCCGTCCTTTAAACTGATTAAATACATATTTTAGCGGTAAAAGTAAAAAAGGGTGAGGTCGCCGTTGTTTTGATGGTAAATATCCGGACGGACCCGCTCCTCTCTCCGCCCGGTATTCGCTGCCAAACGCCGCCCGCGCTGCGCCATTTTGAAAGTGAATCGCAGGGAGGAGGGAAATCTTAAAGAGCAAAGTCCGGATCCACTTCAGAGACTCAGGTCCACTTTCTCTGACCCCAGAACCCGTCTGTATTGGGTCAACAGGTCCAGAGGAACACTCTTACGGTCCTCAGAGATCCCGGCGGCACTTCTAGGTTTCTTCGGTCAGATCCTCCGGAGCCGAGCCGGGTCAGCACCGCTCCAGTCCGGGGCCTGATCCGTCCGTCCGAACCTCTCATCATGGCAGGTAAAAGTAAAACAAAGACTCGAACAGAGGATCCGAACCTTGTCCGGACCGTGTAGATCCTGGTTCAGACCCTCAAAGGTGGATTTGTCTCTGTTTGGATCAACAGTTCGAGCTAGCTAACAGGCTAACATGCTAACGTGTGACTGACTGACTGAGTGGGTTAGAGTGGGTTTATTCCACAGATACAAAGTTCTCCGTGTTTTTGTTTTTATCCCCTGAGAGAAACTAAAGCCTGTAGAATAATAAAGTTCAGATCCCGAGTTTGTGTCCTACAGGGTCTGTCTTTATTTCAAGGCTAACAGTTAGTTAGCTTCAGGCTAACATGAGTTTCAATGAAAACTAAAGTTTTTCTTTTTCATCAAACTTTAACATTTCTCAGACAAAACATCTCCAGTCTTTATTCTTCTGATGAGAGATGATAATACTCAGAAGTTCATGTCCACATCAGAGAGTTAATTTATCATTTTTAGGCTGAATTAAAACAGTTTAAGTTAATAATAACGAGGAGAGTTGGTCAGTTATCCGGTCAGACCAACATCACAGTGAAGTAAATTTATCTGTTTTAATTTAAAATACTCAGAAAAATATAAGATATAATAATAATAAGGAACTTCAGGATTTCTGTATTACCTCAGAGTCGTTGTTGTTCAGTAAATATATGTTCACAGTGAGAATAATAAATCTCTCTCATTACTTCAGCTTTATGAGATTATTATTGTTATCATTATTATTATTATTATCCTCAGAAGTTTTTCTCTCAGTGTGATAAATCCTAATATGACACATCACTGTGATTGTTTTGGGACTTTTACTGATTTATCAGTTCTAGTAAAGACTTTTTGGACTCTTAACTCCAGACTAGGGCTGGGCGATAAAACGATAACCATAATTAATTTCCCTTAATATAAATATAAAACATGATCAATATCCTTTTCAATAGTCGTCATTCTGCCATGTTTCAGTAGACCACGAACAGCCAATGAGAAGGGGAGTTGCTCCGGGTCTGAACCAATCATGTTCTGAATTAGAACCAAGTATCAAAGTATCACAGCAGCTCCACCCAACCATAGCACTGTAACAGGTGAAGCCGACAGCACTGTTGGTGAGAAACAAAGAAAATGAGTGCTACCCCCGACAGAAATGACCATGAAGGCTCAACGCAAAAGGTTACAAACCCCGAGAGGAGCGAGGAGCCCGTGGCGCCTGAAACAGACGACCATTCAGTCGTCTTTCTCTAGAGCGACGCCTTACGACAAAACGCCAAAGAGACACAAAGACCTCACAGATGCAGGAGATTATTGTGTTGGAAAAGACATGAGACCAAGAAACACTGTTAGATTTTTAGATCCTGATATTGATCGATATCAGCTGATATGAATAAAATATATCCTGATAAACTTTTTCACATATCGTCCAGCCGTACTCCTGACAGACACTGAGCTCTTTTTCTCTGACGTTTGTGTCTCCTGCAGGGACCGGCGATGGGAGCAGCGATGTTCAGTGGTGCTTTTCCCAAGTCAAAGGAGCGATAGACGATGAAGTCGCTGAAGGTGAGTCCATGTGCAGGTCCTTGAACACCGGCTCACGTGCACGCTCTGAAAGCACCTGTGCATGTTTCTTTTATAATGAGTTCTAATGCTGCTCACTGTTCCTCCCTCTGTCTGTGAGTGAAGCTGCTGTTAGTTAGTCATAGTTCAGTCAGAGGGTCCGTGTCACTCAGGTCAAACTCAAGGACAGGTACTCTTCATCTCTTTAGTCAGACATCAACTCTTTAGTCCAGTGTGTGAAGTTCCTGTTACACAGTCTTACCTCTCAGGACAATAAACAACATTAAAAGTAGGAAGTCATTCATGTGTGCGTGTTTTGTTGTGCAACAACCTGCTCAGTGGTTCGTTGTGTAATATCCAAGCTGACAGACAAACACTTTGTCTTTATTCCACTCGTATTCGTTTGTGCAGAGGGGGTCATGTTCTGAACTTTTTTCCTCCACCTCGACAGGAAAGTGTTTTTTTTTTTAGAAAGCAAAGATCCTCGCCTTCATGTCTGCTGTGACTGAACTGTTTCACCTGAAGTTTAGTTCATGTCTGTGATTGTTCAAAGAGTGGTCGTTTTTCCTCTCCTGCATATTTAAGTAGAACTGATGAGAGGAACAGAGAGAGAGAGACTCCTGCAGAAAGTTCAGGTGGTTCTTATGTCTCATTTTGACCCGTGCTGGTCATCTCTAACCTCTTATTGTCCGACGGTTACATCCACCTGCTTCTTTAGACGGGTATGTTGACAGTACATGCTGAACTTATTTATGTGTAAAGGCCCACACAGCTGTTTACTGTAAGCTCTGCCTGAGAACAAGCATAAATGTGAGCCTCTCCTTGTGTCAATACATAGCAGCACCCGGGCCGTAAACCCGGCGCTGCAGCAGAGGGGCGGTTTTCTCCACCAGAGTGTGTGTGTGGAGTCGGGTCGTATCAGGCGCTCAGTGTGCAGCGGCGTTAAAGGAGAAACAACAGCAGAGTCTATATTAAGGGTGGGAGCGGCTCAGAATAGTGTCAGCCTGTAAACAGGGATTGATTGTTCTTTGGTGGGATATGATGAGAATGAAAGTGCTGAAGAGCTGAACACAGTGTTGACTCGACTCTGAGTGCCACTGCATTAGCAGCAGCACACTGTGGTGTATTAAAACAGCAGGTGGACGTCACTGCGGGGTTATGTTGTCACTTTCACGGTTGGCGTGGACTCAGCCCCCCACGGGTGGATGATCAGGAGCATCAGAAAAACTCGACTTCCTGTGTGACATTTCAAAGATTCCTTCACTGAATAAACTCGTGACTAAGGCTGCACTTTATTGGAAAAAAATAATATTGCGATTTTTTTCAACCCTGCGTTATATATTGCGATATTAAAAATACAGGAATTTTCACCAGATGACCTGAATAGCATTTAATGTTATGCTGCACTGCTGAAATCTTGAGGACAGTTACCCTGCACTGATCTTACCTCTTTTTGTGAATGTTAGTAGAACGGCTTCTGTCTGTCTCAGAGATATTTTTAGCTTTTATTGTGCTGGGACGTTATTGTGGCAACAGATGAACACAGAACACGTGTTTTGGTCGACATCATCCATCTTTTAACCGAAATAATTTCAGATAACTGACTTTCCTTTTCTTTTGGGCAACAAATCTTCATTTTCGGTGGTTTTCGCTTGTTCGTTGTTCATTTTGCGATCGTTGTTGTTGTTAGCGGTGTTGTGCCGAGAAACGCATGTCCTCCGAGAATTGCATGCACCTCGCAAAACGCGCACCGCCTATAGTAGAGTGGTCCACGGAAATGTACAATTTAAAATCCATACAGTTCTTATTTGTTGGGCTTAATAGTCATGAGTAAAGTTCCGAAAGTAATTCTCAGCGGACACCGTCTCCCTCCATGTGCAGAACATGTGCAGGGGTGGGTTTCCTCCTCTCTGATTTTGATTGACAGCTGGCAGGGTAGTCTGATTGGCAACTGAGAAGTGAGTCTGATTGGCAACTGAGTTAAGGACGAATGTGATTGGTGGATCGCTGCAAAGCACATGCAGAGTCACATGGAGTGTATCTCAGTCGGTTTCCCTTGAAATTAAATGAGTTCATTCACCTCCAATATCGCAGGCTCTGCGATGTGACTATCGCGCACACACGTACATCGCGATGATGATAGTCAAACGATATATCGTGCAGGCCTACTCGTGACATTTCCTAAACAAATGTGAAGATATTATTCCAATAACACCCTCTCTCTGACAGCTGACGTCATATCCACGGTGGAGTTTAACCACTCTGGGGAGCTGCTCGCCACCGGAGACAAAGGAGGCCGTGTTGTGATCTTCCAGCAGGAACCCGAGGTAAAGTTTGGTTATTCCACCTGACTGAACTTCACCTGTCTCATTCATGAAACCCAAGAAGTCTGTGTGGAGATTTGCACAAGCCCCGCCCCCGAATAGTCCACAAACGCCAAATAAGGAGGAGAGGATATGAAGCAAGCGAGGAGAAGGAAGTGCTGAGTTCTCGCTCTGCTGTAGCTCTATAGTTCTGAACCCAAACAGTGTGAGTGATCAGAAGAAATCAGACGTACTGACTTATTGATGAAGGATCAATATCTTAAATTTCCTTTATTCATAGATTTGTTCTGATCAAGAGAAGAGCTCCTTCGGTCTGTTCTCTTCATTTCTTAAGTTAAACAGTTCGATCGCTATTGTTTACGTTTTAAAAAGTCTTAAAAGCACCAAAACAACCAGATTTATGACCCAACAGGCAAGTATCATCTTCATCTTCATCTTCATCATCTTTGGTTTCAGAGGTTCTATCTTTTTGTAGACTGAACAGAAGAACCTCTCCACGTTCTCACTGAAATAAACTCTGGTGTGTCTGTCTCTGCTCAGAGTAAGAATCAGCCGCAGTGTCGGGGAGAGTACAACGTCTACAGCACCTTCCAGAGCCACGAGCCCGAGTTCGACTACCTGAAGAGCTTGGAGATCGAGGAGAAGATCAACAAGATCCGTTGGCTGCCTCAGAAAAATGCGGCGCAGTTTCTTCTGTCGACAAACGGTAGGTAAACCGGTCTGTTCTCGCTGAGATGATTCTGCGACGAGGAAGAGGAGGAGGAGAATTTCTAAACCAGTCTGTCTGCTCAGACCTCCTGTGGAAGCAGACGCTCTACATTTACTGTTCCTCCCACCAGTGAAGAGTTTTCCACGACCTCTGCTCTCTCCCATCTCCAGACAAAACCATCAAGCTGTGGAAAATTAGTGAGCGTGACAAGAGACCCGAGGGCTACAACCTGAAGGAAGAAGATGGACGATACCGAGACTTCAACACCGTCACAACACTGAGGGTTAGTATGACCTCCGGATCACTGTGGGACCCACCCTGAGGTCTGAGAGGACCACACAGAGGGGTCTGCACCTGTGTGTAGATGTTCTTCAAGAGTCTGATGGTCAGACTAAAGGAGATGCTCCTCAGTCTGGAGGTCAGACTGAGGTCTCTTCAGGAAGAGGTTCCTGTCGTCTGTTTGCAGCAGAAAAGTTAAAAAATCAGCAAATATTCAAACATGAATTTTCTCCAGGGATGGACCAAATGGGAAAATCTTGGCCGAAACCGAATACCGAATAGCCGAATACGATTCATGAATATGTATATAAATTATGAATTTTTATCACCAAGCAATTTTTGTACAATTGCTGTCATTGCCGTACATTTGTTTTAAAGCTACCTGATTATGGCAAAACCTGGCAAACTTAAATATTAATCACTTTATGTTTGAACCATGAAGCATTTATTCAGCTTCAGCACATGACATAATGCTATAACAATAACATTCAATAAAATAAAATTAAGTAAATAACATCTTTGCAATAACAATACAAACAAAGTGCAATTTTCCCTGTAGGATAGCCTAAAGTAAATAAAATAAAATGCACATATGCAAAATAAATAAAATAAATGCAGGTACGTGCATGCATATACATGATTGTGCAACAGTAAACACAAATCCAGGCCTGAGGCCTTCAACAATACATGCACTTACATGCATGCACATACGATTGTGCAAACTTTTGTGCAGTGAGTTTCTTAAACTCGTCATGTTTGTCCTTACGTTTAGCGCTCAAGTGGTTGATTAGCCCCGATGTACTGAAAGTTTTTGCCGTCACACCACCTCGAGGCACTTCAGCAGAACAGCGTTTACAAATTGCCATCAGACCATCTTTCTCTGTTAAGTCGAAATATTTCCAAACCACAGACATGTCGGTTGAACGTCTTCGAGCCAAGACAGCTGCACGTATTGTGTGCGTCGTATCAGCATGCCGGCTTGCCTCTTGTCGCGTTCCGATTACGTCATCAACATGCTACTAAAACAGGGAAAACAGTGCCGTCTGCGTTTTCCGTTTTTGAGAGTTCATACTAGACCCATGTTTATCCACACTATTCAGTGATTTTTTTCGGCTATAACATCTATTCGTCCGAAAACCGAAAATTCATTTTTAAAGCTTTTCGGCCGAATATTTTCGGCGCCGAATATTCAGACCCATCCCTAATTTTCTCTGAAAACAACAAGAATATGATGACTCCTCTCTTCTCCTCTCCTCTCCTCTCTCTCCCCTCTCCTCCCCTCTCGTCTCCTCTTCTCTCCTCTCCTCTCCTCCCCTCCCCTCCCCTCTCCCTCCTCAGGTCCCAGTTTTCATGCCGATGGACCTGATGGTGGAGGCGAGCCCCAGACGAGTGTTTGCGAACGCTCACACTTACCATATCAACTCCATCTCAGTGAACAGTGACTGTGAGACGTACCTGTCTGCAGACGACCTGCGCATCAACCTGTGGAACCTGGAGATCAACGATCGCAGCTTTAGTATCCTTCAAGTCTTTGATTCCTCTCAGACCGATGTCTTTTTATAAAAACTTTATCTGTTTCTTCGGTTAAAGACAAAAGAGTCAAAACAGGGAGATCCTCCTGACCGGGCGGTCGGTGTCCTCCCCTGAAAACACGATTAAAGGGTTAAACTTTGGGAGGATCACAGCCTGACATGACAGCTGATGTGAAATAATAACAGTGTGGTCGGCCCTGACTCTGCAGGTTCATGACCCACCTGTCTGTATCCTGTCCACCTGTCCACTCTGACCATCAGTCAGACAGAGCAGTACTCACCCTCTCCTCTTACAGACCTTTTTACACTTCAGGTTCATTAACTTAAAGCTGCTTTTAATTCAACGGGGAAGAAGTCAGACTGACATCAGTTAGAGTTTGTCTGACCCAGAGTGTCATATCTGCTTTCACCACTAGATGTCCCCAAAGTCAAGAGAAACTGAATTATCTGAAAATGTCCTGAAACTCCCTGAATTTTAGGAGAAGTGTTTCTGGGTATTGAAAACACCTTCTCAGGCTCCACTCCTGTCTCTGTTTGTTTTTATCAGAGATAAAAGGAGGAGTGTGTCTGACCCTCTCTCCTCCATCGACTGATGTCTCTACCACATAACACTCCCACACCCTGTGAACATAGAAGTGCTGAAGTGCTTTCTTCTTCTTAGCATGTGTGTAAATCATGAGTTCATTTCAGAGTTCATGTCTTCATTTGTCAGAGCTGTGAAAAAGTGTGTTTTTGTTGCAGAAGTTGTTCTGGGACTGTAGGACGGTTCAAAAGTTCCTGTTTTCAGTCGTTGGACCTTAACCTGAGTGTGTAGATATTGTTGACATTAAACCAGCCAACATGGAGGAGTTAACAGAAGTCATCACAGCCGCCGAGTTCCACCCCAATCAGTGCAACACGTTTGTGTACAGCAGCAGCAAAGGAACCATCCGCCTGTGTGACATGAGAGCGGCGGCTCTGTGTGACCAACACACCAAACGTGAGACACCTGTCAGTCAGTCTGAGGGCGTCACATTTCACTGAGGGAGATAATGATAATGATAGTGATAATTATAATAATAATAAAAAATAATAATAATAAAAATAATAATAATCATAATAATATTAATCAAAATTAAAATAAATGATAAAAATAATGATAATGATAACAATAATAATAATAATAATAATAAAAATAATTATAATAACAAATAATTATAATAACAATAATAGTAATCAAAATGAAAATAAATTATAAAAATAATGATAATGATGATAAAAATAATAATAACAGTGATCAAAATTAAAATAAATGATAAAAATAATGATGATAATGATGATAATAACAATAATAATAATAATAGTAATCAAAATTAAAATAAATGATAAAAATAATGATAATGATAAAAAAAATAATATAATAATGATGGTGATGATAATAATAAAAAACAATATTAACAAAATAATAATAATAATCACTGTTATTAGTACCTTTTTAATAAACTGTGCATGTAGAGTAGAAGTGCCTTCATACGGTGTTCACAGGAGCGTTTCCTCCAGCAGCAGCAGCAGCTGTTCTTCTCTCACTGAACCCACACTCTCCTCAGAAATCATAATTGGTCAGGATGGTGCAGCGCCGTGAGCGTGGAGGTGTTGGAGGTGAGAGGTGGTGTCAGACATCCGTTATCGTCACCACACTTTGGTGAGAGAGGACGTTCGTCTTTAAAGAAGGAGTTGTCAGATGGGAGGCTCGTTACAGTCAGCTCGTCTGTTAGTTCAGTCAGAGGCGGCACGCTGACCTCTGACCCCAGCCCGGCTGAAGAGAAGTCTGATTAGTGTGACTCAGCGGGACCTGTGTGAGCTCCCAAAACAAAACAATGACAGTCCTCTTAAAAAAAACAGTTTTCCTTCAGCTCACAGAGAAACCAGCAGGATGAGGAGGAATATAAGAAGGGGCGGAGTTAGGCGGGTTAATGTGGCGAGGAGGAGACGAGGTTTCAGACACACATCAGTCGGAGTCATTTCTCATGAACTTATTTTCTGTGTGTGTGTGTGTGTCTCTCTCTCTCCTTTTGAAAAGTGTTCGAGGAGCCCGAGGATCCGAACAATCGCTCGTTCTTCTCTGAAATCATCTCCTCCATCTCTGACGTGAAGTTCAGCCACAGCGGTCGATACATGATGACCCGCGACTACCTGTCCGTCAAAGTCTGGGACCTGAACATGGAGACACGCCCAGTAGAGACTTACCAGGTGAGCAGCTTCACTGTGCAGAGACTGAAGAGATGTTAGTCAGACTGTATTTTACTCTCTCTCCACTGGAGGGCGCTGGTTCACAGAGTCCAGAACAATGAGCTCCTAAAACTAAGCGTGTGTTTGTGTCGGCAGGTTCATGATTACCTGAGGAGTAAGCTGTGCTCTCTGTATGAGAACGACTGCATCTTTGACAAGTTTGAGTGCTGCTGGAACGGGAACGACAGGTGAGCTGGTCTCAGGGTCCCACATCTGCTGCTCCTGTGGGCCTGTAAAAACCACTCTCTGGTTTTGTGGTCGTGTCTCAGGAATCCCCCAAATATTCAGTTTTCATGACACGTTGTTGTGTTTGGGGCTGACTCTTGTCTGAGGAGAAACCGTGTCCGGTCTTATCTGTGGTTATCTGCTCAGAGCAGACATGCCTGCTGTGATGTTTGGAGGTAGAGGGGGATTCCTGGTTTTATCTGGTTTCTTATTCAGACTGGGCTCAGGTACATGAAGTCTGATGGTCCCCTCTCCTCACACACCGCTGCTGCAGACTCAAACAGGCCAGAAAATTTACCTAAGTTACATACCAACACTACCAGGACTGGACAGTGTAACCGTTACACTCACATTTATGACTGAAAATAGATGTGTGCGAATTCTAAAATGTATTGAGGGTCACACGTGCTCATAAAAAAAATCAACAAATGTTTTTTTCCTGTAAATACGGCGGTGAAGTTAGTTTTAGGTTGGATATATTTTCCTGTAAATACGGCGGTGAAGTTAGTTTCAGGTTGGATATATTTTCCTGTAAATACGGCGGTGAAGTTAGTTTTAGGTTGGATATATTTTCCTGTAAATACGGCGGTGAAGTTAGTTTTAGGTTGGATATATTTTCCTGTAAATACGGCGGTGAAGTTAGTTTCAGGTTGGATATATTTTCCTGTAAATACGGCGGTGAAGTTAGTCTCAGGTTGGATATATTTTCCTGTAAATACGGCGGTGAAGTTAGTTTTAGGTTGGATATATTTTCCTGTAAATACGGCGGTGAAGTTAGTTTCAGGTTGGATATATTCTCCTGTAAATACAGCGGTGAAGTTAGTCTCAGGTTGGATATATTTTCCTGTAAATACAGCGGTGAAGTTAGTTTCAGGTTGGATATCTGACGGACATTCTCTGAGGATCTACCGGTGTCTTCTCTCTCTCCATAACCGGGAATAACAACAGCAGCGTGGTTAAATCTACTCGACACCCTCACTGTCAACGTCGGTGTTGAATAAGGGACCGTCAATAAATTACCGGTTGATGTTCTCAGAAAAGGCTGTTTTCCTTCAATAGCTTCACTGTCATGTGACCAAAAGACCTAAAATTGATTTCTAATAATAGTTCTAAGGTCGATCAATAAGACAAACACTATTGATCAGTTTTCATTGATCCCCTAAAGTTCTTTGTGCTCCTTACTTTTTTAACTCAGGAGAACAAAGTTAGAGTCAAACCCTGACGACTGCCCTTCACCACATAATAACCCTTTAATTCATAAGAAGAAAGGCTGAAGGTTGGACAACAACAACAACAACAACACAGAGATCAATAACAGGAAGTGTGACTGTGGTGGAGTTCAGGAGTTTAGGACCATCTGTCATATTGAAGAAGTAAAGATCAGTGTCTATAGTAACGTGTGTGTGAGAGTGACCGCAGTATTATGAGGACATCACCCGTCATTAGAGGACTTAACGAGGACGGATTATCCCCGATCATGGACCAGCGTTCATACTGTCCAATCTCCTCCATCACAGGCTGTAGTTTTCAGTCTTTCTACAGCGTTTATCTCCATCATCAGTCCCGCTCCCCTGCGTTTGGGTCAAGTCTTAAAAAACCATCTGCTGCGTGAGGAACCCGACCAAACCAAAGTCCACGTCTTTCGGGGTCACTACACCTGAAACCCACAATATGTGTAACGGCTCCACTCAGCTCTGTTTTTGCCTGACGAGCAGCAGAGGAAGTTTTATGCGGCTACAGAGTAAAATATTAAACGGTTAAATTTCAAACTAAAATAAAGTCAACACGCTGAACTGTTCTTCACTTGATAATAGGGGAGGTCAGGGTTGTGGGATGTGGGCGTTTATTTACACCGATCAGCGGATCTCATTCAACGTCTCACGGGGAAACGCGCGAGATCTCGTCCGGTCTCGTTAGAAATATCGGCGATCTCGCAAGTGCTTCTCCTCTGATGGCGGAGCCGTTCCTGATCCGGTGGGATCCGCGGGTTCGAGGTCAAACGTGTCTGAGTTCAGAGTGAACCTCATTGTTCTCATGTGGTTGTCATTAACTGACTGGTCCCGTCTCTCTGCAGCGTGGTGATGACCGGCTCCTACAACAACTTCTTCAGGATGTTTGACCGAGGTTATCGGCAGGACGTGACCCTGGAGGCGTCGCGGGAGAACAGTAAGCCTCGATCCGTCCTCAAACCTCGCAAAGTGAGCACAGGGGGGAAGCGCAAAAAGGATGAGATCAGCGTAGACTGTCTGGACTTTAACAAGAAGATCCTCCACACCGCCTGGCATCCTCTGGACAACATCATCGCCGTCGCCACCACCAACAATTTGTACATTTTCCAGGAAAAACTGAACTAGTTTTCTTGAGTCCCGGTTTCTACGCGCTCTTCTTCATACAAACCAACAGTCTCTGTCTCAGGCTGAATCCCAGGTTTTCAGATGATCTGCCGGCTGTGAATCTTTCATGTCCAGGGAGAATACACAAGCACAATTTCCAGGTGTATTAAAAAGTCATTCAGGGTTTGTAGATCAAAGTTAAGACTTTGGGATTTCTGGCCTTAAACGAACTCTCCGTTCACTGAACTGTCTGCTCCTCCACTACATCCCAAACCAAAGGGAAACCGTCTCCATCTTCTGCTCTCCCTCCTTTTTGCTCTTTTTGTTTGAACAGGATTTATTTGTACTTCACAGCTTCCATTTGTTTCAGGTATTCGTTTGTTTGTAGCGACCATGTTGAATAGGAAATCTTTCTGCTCGCTCTCCTTTTTGTTATTGGTCTGAAACACTGCACTGCTAATGCAAGCTGTCAGCACTCCATAGTCGCCCCCTAAGTGTTTATCGAGGTGCCAAACTCTCGCAGAACTTCAGCACTGATCCGTACAGTTAGACGCAGCTAAAGGACGACTCCTGAGATTGGAGATTTCAGGTTCACTCTTCACAAACCAGAAGATTAGAGTTTCTGCTGACATTTCAGACGTCAGATTTGACAACGACAGTCATGTTTGTCATTTTTAGGTGAGAGTTTAACCATCTTTCTAAAAACACCAGAGTCGTCCTCTCTCACCTCCACATCAGCAGGTTTTTCTATCAGGTTTGGAGTCGAACGGAGGCCGACGATGCCAAAGTTAACTGTCCTGCACTAAGTCGAATGAAACTGTCCGTCTGTCGCGCTCCTGCGTTTTCCCGGGTGTGGGGCGGCGTCTAAAGCTCAGGACACAGGCTGGTACACGTGGACGGGCACAGAGCTGTGGAGCAGCCTGGTTCTGACCCAGTGGGTGGAGGATGGGCGGCTTCACCCTCTGAACGGAGTTTTCTGAGTTTTTTTAAAATGATGTTTTGTACTGTACCTGATGGAATAATCTCTATAGATTTATTTTTGTATGAATTAAGGCGATAGGATTACAGTCTGATCACTGTAGTTTCTGCAGCTGTCTGTCCGTCTCGGGTTCTGGATCAGGTCTCCTCTCTTCTGGACCTGTTCTTCTTCTTCTTCTTCAGGATAGTTTTTCTTTTTTCTGGTGTTGAGGGAGTTTGTTTGTTTGTTTTTAGGATGTCCAAAGAAAGAGTCCCTCTGTCGTCTCTATAACAGTTGTATTTTTTTATTTGGCTGACTGTATCTGATGTTTTCTCGTGCAGGACTTCTTTTCAGACTTTGATTCTAACACGGTTTGGATCGGTCCGGTTTTCTGTGCCATACTTTTGTCTCTTTTTGTTTAGCTGGCTGTGAAGTGTTAGACTCATGTGGGTCTAAAAGAGTCTCTTTGGTCAACAGTTTGTGTTGATTTAGTCATTTTTGGATCAAGTCCTCTCCTAATCTAGTCAAACCCGTTGACTAAGACGCTCCTGAGGAAACAGACTCGTTTATTTAAAAGGAGAATTTTTGAAGCACTTGATTTTCTGAGTGAAAGTTAACTTCAGATGTTAACTCTGTTTTTCTGCTTCTCTGCTCTTCAGACACACGCCGCCGTTTCTCCTCTAGAGCGACTGATAAAACCGTATTTTTTACTTCATTTAGACTCAGTTTGGTGACAGTGAAATATCAGTTAAAGCCACTCAAACAGGGGGGTGTCAGGATAGAGTTAGTGTCTCTCTCAGGACTCTCGGTAATCTCTGCGTTAACCGACACACTTTGCAGATGTTTATTGAGAAATCCTTCATAATCCGACGCACATTTATATTTGGGATTTTCAGATTATTTTCCTCATGTCATGCGTACACAAACCTTTACAGTGAAGCACATTTATTCCATGTCAAAACTGGGGATAAAACAATCAGCACCGATCAACATGAGGAGTTCCTGGATAAGAAATGTTTCAAGATTCAAGAAGTTTCAGTAAAATTAAAAATCTTCTCTTTTCAAACTCCGACTGAAGGAGTTAAACAGCTCAAGTGAAGGTCAGATGTTCCACCAAACACAACAGATCCATAATCTTTTTACTGACTGCCTACTGTTTGTCATGACAGTAGACAACCCGAACCCTCGAGCACAAAGACACACAGCAGAAATGCCTTTTTCTAGCGTTTAGTAAAAAAAAGATAATCAGGTGTTTTTCTTGAACTTTCTACTCAGGGGAATCTGCTGCTGCTGCTTCTGCTGCTCTGTGATCGAACCTCCGAACTCTGAAATCAAACAGCTTTTCAGGACTTCAGTAAAAAAACAAAAACAGCCTTAAAAGAAATCCTTCTGGGTCTGACGTTCAGGTCGCCCCGACGGTTTTTGAACAAACACTTTGAGTCTCAGATCTTTTCCCTCCAAAGTCATTCTAAAAATGTCCAACATGCAGTTAAAAGGTTTTCACTCGAAGCAGCGTTACACACACACACAAACACACACACACACACACACACACACACACAGATCTGATGTGTCACAGGAGCTCAAATTGAAAAGCACTTTTTACTGTTGTGACTTTTTTTTCTGTTTCCTTGAAGGGGCTCTAAAGTAAAGTCGGAGAGTTTCAGTGATCTGTTCGGGATGAAATCAATTATACAGTTTTGTTTGTCTTTGTTAAGTGGAATAAGATGTAAAGAAATAAAGAATTTCAACTGTAAAAAAAACAGATTTATTCTGTTTGTATGAGGAATCATTTACAAACGATCGTTGTTGAGGAAAAAAAGACCAAAGGCTGATAAAAATGTGATATAATAAATTACACACACATATTTAATGTCACAAAAACATCGAACTTAAAACTGATAAACTGAAATATTTCATGAAACACAAAGATTTTATAAGCACAAAAACACTGAACCAATAAAAAAGTCTTTAAACAAATTTATTTTTCAACAAAGTGAAAGGTTTTAATGTAACAACAAAATATATCCTATAAAACAAAAACATGTTTCACGGTGAAGAGATGTTATTAAAGCCTCTCAAACTCTAAAACGTCTCATGAATAATCATTTTTGAAAATTCCTCATCCCAAAAATGTCTGTTAAATACAAAAATAACAATTTGCAGACACAATTAAATCAATAATCAAGAGACAAAGAAATGTTTGAACTTCCAGTACATCAGAAAACTCAAAAATAACTCATGAACCATGAAACTTTTTAGAAAAGCCAAAATATGAACGGAAACACAAAAACATTTCACAAAACTCTGAAAAACATTTTTTAAATAAAATCAAGAAAACCACCTAAAACCAGAAAAAACCCTTACAATCACAAAACAGCCCATCCACAAATCCACAAAATGAAATAAAATTGCAAAAGAAAAGTTTAAAAAACATACAATATTTTACAAAATTCAAAAATGTTTCAAAGCAATGACAAAATTAATATGTTGTCATATCAATATTATGTCTGTCTGTGAAATGTTTTAGGCGTTCAGTAAATGTTGTTGTGGTTATGAAACGTCTGTGTAGGTGCCCTCCAGGGCCACCGTAACCCTCCTCCACAAGTGTACAGGAAACACTGTTAATGGACCCTCATGACCAACAGATCAATAACTGATCGATAAACCCAGCAGAGCACTGAGATGAGGAGGAAATGAAAGAGGCCCACCCTTCCTACTATCATCAGCTCCCAAACTCTGCACATGCTCAGATATGGACTCTGCCACGAGATTAAGACTCGGAAAATCAGCTGATCAGGACGAACTTTAAACACAAATATACAAATATACAAATATGACCTCATCAAACTTCTGGAAATCTAACTTTGTGTTCCTGGGAGTTTTAACAGTGAAAATATGATTTTAAAAAGATCATCACTGATCTGGAGTCTGTGCTGCTCTCCTCTTATCTGTCTGTCTGTAGTCTGGGCTCTGGACAGACTCCGCGCATGCGCTCATAGGGGTTGGTCTGCGCATAGATATCTATAAGAAAGGCTAGATGACTCTCTGAGGCGGAGTCAACGGCGGCCATCTTACTCCAGTATACCATTCTGGTCCGCTCTATGTTAGCTGACGGGAGGTGAGTAATCTACATGATCAAAAATACTCTTAACTCGCTGAAATCTTGACAGATTTATAAATTTAGTTTATTACAGACCTTAATAACGAGGCTATGAGTCTGGATGTTTGGACATATTAAAATGACAGATTTACTTTGAGAAAAAAAAAAGACTTAATCATGAAGAACAGCTGTCTCAAGGCTGAGACCACAGAGTATATTTTTGACTAAGTGTCAGTCTTTGTGGATGGTCTTGTGTTTTTCAGCTGTCTAACTTGTCTAACTGACTCGCTCTGACTGAGACCAAGTACATATTACAAAGTTGACCCAGTAATTTTACATCAGTTAAAGAGGCAGAAATGCTCTTTAGATTCAACAAAACTGAAGTTACACATGATTTCCAAACTGTTTGGTTTGTCAGAAACATCTAAAATGGAAACATGAGGCAGAAATTTACACTGAAGATAAATATTTATATATGATATTGTTATATGTTATTATAATTATCCCTATAATAGAAATATTACTGATATAACATTCATGGAATGATTAAATGTTTTATATATAAATGATTTAATATAACTTGTGTGTGTAGGTCTATAGTTATTGCTCTGTCTACCTGTTTAATGTTAATTTATGTAAATCCATGGTTAAAATTATTCTTGAGTATGCAGGAACATAACTAAAACTCTGAGGTTTGTTACAAAACAAACTGTTTAAAAAGATTAAGATTAGTCAATCTATGGTTATTTATTTTATATTTTAAACTTTAACAACAACAACAACAACAAAAAAGAACTAGAAAAAAACACAGAACAAAATAATCCATCTGTACACTAAATAACTGTACATGTCAAAGATAAATTTACACAAACATGTTTGTCAAAAATAAACTATGAAGAAACAGAATTAAGAAAAAAACGTGATCTAGTCCTGGCCCTTCCTTTGATTTAGAGATTTAAAAAAGAAAAAATCTATTTTTGTATCAATTAATTAAACGAAGATCTGTGAAAATACATTTTATACACAAAGATACCTGCTCACACTCAATAAAAGCTCCATGCACCGTGGACTGGAACGTTAGGAGTGGGCGAGCTGACCGTAGTAAGATGGCGGACGTCTGTCTCCATTGGCTAACAGCGTGTGTGAGTGATCTAGTGTTCGTGTGTCTGTGGTCGTTCGTGTCATGTTGATGAATGCTCACACTGGAGAGTCAACATGTCCACCGCCGCTGCTGCTCAACGGAACAACAACGAGGAGCCCGGCCTCCACGGTACGTACTGACGTCGGTTCTTCACCGTTCAGAGAGTTAACTGACGGGAATCTGACGAAGCGTCTGTGTTTTTTTCCGAGTCTGCTCGGGTTCGATGATAAAAGTTACATCGGTTTAGGTATTTCCTCTTCTTTTGGGAGGGGTGGAGATGATATTGTTTGACGTCACAACAATCCAACCAATGGTTTTGTAATAAAGGTTTGATTGACGGAACGGCAGCCAATCATGTACGCGACTCGGCGAAGGGCGGGGACGAGCCGAAATGAAAACAAGTTTAGGACAAAGACGAAAAAAACGTCTTTTTGTTTTAATTTAGAAAAGTTCACGATGATATTTTATATCAGGATGTTCTTCTGAGCTGACGGACTGTTTATTAACCAGTCAGACAAAGAAACAGGAACTTAATCTGAGATGTAGAAGAAGAAGAAGACAATGGTTGGAGGCTAACAGACCAAACAGAAACACAGAGTCAGACCTTCAGAGCTTCAGCTCCGTGTTCTCAGATTTACTTCATTTAGAGGTTAAAAAACCGAAGCTCGGTCATAAAAACATCAGATTTATATATTTATGTGAGGATCACAGCTGGAATCACAGCGACATGTCTGGACTAACACAGCAGCTTCAGTTATGCAACCGGGAGAGGAGGAGCACACACACACACACACACACACACACACACACACACACACACACACACACACACACACACGCTGATCACTTCTTTAATAAAATCGAGTATAAATCAAAAAGGTTTCCTGTCCCACTTTCACATTCTGTTCTCATTCACGCTACATTACATAAACCCCCCCCCCCCCCCCCCTTCTGCGTGGCTGTTTGCGGGGCAGTGGCACAAAGACACGCGCACGCTGCTGCTGCTGCTGCTGCTGCTGTCATGGATGCAGAGCACAGCGTGTTCATGTGAATGGAGGCTGTCAGGGGGCAGGAAATGTGGGTCAGCTGTTTTCCTCTGAAAGGAAGCAGGGGTGTGTTTGTGTGTGTGTGTGTGTGTGAGTGTGTGTGTGTGTGTGTGTGTGTGTGTACTTGAACACACCAACCTTCATCTCTTTTCTTCCTCTTGACCTTCTGCGGTGTTACAGGCTCTTGGGTCGAGCTGGAGCTGAACGGGAACACAGGAGCCCAGGGATCTGCGCAGACCAACCCGCAGACGGCTCCGGCTGCAGACCAAGAGAATGCAAACGCAGATGAGAGTCAGACCATGCAGACCTTAGAGGTGGTACCTGAGGGGGATGAGACCCTCATCGGAGGATTAGAGCATGTGCCGTCGTCTTCCTCCATCCATAACGGAGATATGGAGAAGATCCTGCTGGATGCTCAGCATGAATCCAGCCCCAGTAACTCGGCCTGTGACAGGTACGAATCCAGGTCAGAGTCTGTCACACAAATGTTTGGGGTTTACAGTTTTTTTCATCCCGGTCTCTGATTCAGTCCTCACAGGCCACCAAGTCCAGACCAGGATGAAGAAGGTCAGATCACTTTTGATGTGGACATGTCGAGCCCAAGAGGAAGTCAGGTGAAACAACGTCTAATTAAACTGGAGCTGCTGTGTTTATATATTTATTTATGAATGTGGTCTGAAGACTAACTCCTCATCTCCACACCTGCAGTCAGAGGAGGAGGGTCTGGACAAAGACGAGGACATCTTAATGAATAAAGAAGTCGACTGGGTCGCTCATTGGTCCAGCAGACCCGAAAACGTTCCACCAAAGTGAGTCCTCGGTCACGTCCAGGTTTCTTCACTCTCAGCTCTTCGTGACAGTCAGATCAGATGTTGATTGGTTGTTTCTTCTCAGGGAGTTTCACTTCAGGCACCCCAGACGTTCGGTCTCTCTCAGTATGAGGAAGAGCGGCGTCATGAAGAAAGGAGGGATCTTCTCGGCCGAATTCCTCAAAGTCTTCATCCCCTCCTTACTCATCTCACACATCCTCGCTCTGGGTCTTGGGTACGTCTGAATTCGGGCTGTTTTATTGGTTATTTATTTGTCCGTTAGTTTATTCGGTCTGTCGTCATGAACATCAGCTGACCGTCTACTGGGAAAAAAAACACGTTCTCCTCTGGCCTGCAGCGTTTATTCAGGGAGGAGGGCTTTTCTAAGTTCGGTGTTTTAGTGCTCAGTCTGTGCTGTGAGAGAAGGTCGCTGCAGGTCAGAGGACTGTCTGTGTGTCTGTGCACAGACAGTCTCAGGCTGTTTTTATTTCTGTAAATGATGCCAGTCTGTCCAGGGTAAGTTCGGTTTTATTCAGAAACATGGATTTGTATTTAATAAATGTACCAGAGTGTCTCCTCCTCCTTTTAATCAGTTTAAACAAACATGTAAAGTCAGAAGAGACTCAGACGGCACAAGTTATTCACTAAAATAGGATCAGATTAAAACATTAATCACATATCAGCTTCTGAGACTGACCCCACACTGTTGTTTCTCTGCTCTTCCCTTTGTCCGTCACTGAGTTCCCAGTGTGTGTGTGTGTGTGTGTGTGTGTGTTTTTATTCTTTATTTTCCACCGTCTTGTTTCTCGTGATGCAGCGATATGATCTTTCTCACAGAATTTTAGCCTGAGCTGAAAGTTGATAACCATGTTTTTTTCTTGACTTTGTTGTTTTTTGTGTCTTGTTTTTAATAAGGTGAGTTTTTTTTAATCTTATTTTTAACACTAAATGTTTCTTTCCCTCTTTAAATTTCTATAAATAATGAAATCCTCACAGACTGATATTCCCAATCATTGAAAAATATCCATCAGGAAACTCTGACTGCACTGAAAACTTCTCTGAATTATCAGTAAAAGCTTCAGATGTCCATCAGTAGACGGGGACAGGACGCTGCAGAGTCCAGATAAACATCAGCTGCTGACAGCAGTAACAGAGCAGATATTTGTCCAAACTGATGTCGAACCTAAAACATGAGAGCATCCCCTGGATTAGATTGTTACCTTGTTGGACTTCATTATCCATGAAAATATTAATAATAATAGTTTTAGTTGTGTTCCTCTGGGCCTTTCTTTACTCCTCACACAGACGTCTGTACTGATCTGATCTCACATGTCTGGACATGCCCGACGTTGTTTTTGTGCAGGAAAAACATGAAAAATGAGAATTTCATAAATCTCACATGAAGAGGATCTGACTGTCAGTGAACTTGTGATTTCAGTTTTTGTCCTAATTATTAGATATCGATCTAACCAGGTCAACAGCGACTCTAACACAAAAAGAAGTTCCTGACAAAGTCAAAAAGTTGATGCAAAAAAGTGTGTCGGTGCGACACTAACACAGGAGGAGGGTTCAATTATGTATAAAGCAGTCCTTACATCCATGTTGTGTTGGTGGTTTTATTTCATTGATAAGTGTCAGGATCATGTGTCTGTATCGTCCTTTTTCCAGCTGCTCCAAACTCAAACTGCCACGCTCTCTGTTTTCGTTTTTCAGTGTGTATATTGGCAAGAGGATTGCCACAGCCCCCACCAGCTCCTACTGAACAGAAGTTGAAACAGTGCCTGGATGTTCTTCTGTCTCTCCAAGTCTCCCCTCCATCCTCCTGTAGTTGCGACGTCTCCCTGCATCTCTTGTAAAACCAGTTCTCCTCCAAGCAGCATTAAATCCTGTCACATTGTAGTTATAGAGTGGTACACATGACGTAACGTTGCCGCACTCCATCACATTTCAACACAGGGCGACTTTGTTCTAAGTCATCAACTTGAATCCAGTAGATAACAGACCCTGGTCCAGATTAGTCATCCTCTCTAACTCCAAAACAGGACAAGGATTTGATGTCCGGTGGCTTCAGGGTTGAAGTTTTTCTACTTTTTTTGATGTTTTGTCAAAAAGAAATTTGGCCTTTCTCCCGAGCTGCATCTCTCTGCTGCAGAGAGTAGGAACCAAAAACATGCGCCATACCTGAAACACCAACACACCGAATTGGCTCTTGCAACAGCGGGGACTTATTTCGCCTTAATTTTTTTTAGTCACGATTCAGGGTGCAGTGATTTGGGGTGGGGGAGGGTTGGAGGGGCTTCATGTTTCTGCACAAGTGGGATTTGTTTTTGAAATTCCACACGTTTCTGAGAGAGGACGTCTCATCACGTCGACTCCTGAGGGTTTCCTATAAAAGCTTTGTTTTTTTGAAGGTTGGAAAGCTTAAACACTGATTTAGTATGTAGCTGCGAAATTTTACTATGAGGTTGTTTGAATACTTATGCTAGAGGAAACTAGGCTGAACGGCTTTTTACCAGGCTATATGCTATGATATTATATTTCCTTTTTGCCAACATATCGTTTTCTTTAACATAGCAGCAAACGGCTCAGTGCCAAATTTGTATCTCTCACCGCTGCACATTGGTGATTTATCTTAGACTGTTTTTATTGTTTTCAGATATGTTTAGATATTTAAAGATGTAGATGTGAAAATTAATCGAAGCTGTGATCTGCCCCCTGTACACCTTTTGACATTGTATAACTTGTTTATACTTTATATTAATGCATATTATATCATCGTTATGATATAGCATTGTGGCAGTGTACGTCATGTGTTTTTGCTGTTGTTTAATTGCTGACGCTAAACGATAAAAGACGTTTTTTTTTTTTTGGGCCTCGTTTCAAGAGTGTCATCGGACTTTTATCTAGATCACACTGTGCAATCATTTCACATGATACAATAAAAAGTGTACAGAGCGTGCATAACTACCAGGAAACAGAGGAGATGTGGTGTGTTTTGGTGTGTGAATAACGTTTGTATCGTATACAGTGGCTGAGATATAAATACAGAGAGAGTGGACAGAGCTGCGTAGAGCCTGATGCATAATTTAAGACATAATAACCAATAAAATCACATGTAATCATAATGGGACTGTTCATGATGATAAGTGACCATTTTAAAGGAGAAGCCGAGACTTAAATACAGCTGATCTCACAAGTTTCTGAGCTGATGTGTTAAAAAATAAATATTACTGACAAACAAAAACAATATTATTGAACTTATTGAATATTTTAGTCGTAAATGGAAAATTATCAGGCCCAGTAAAATACTGCAGTAAGGAACTTCTGGATTTCCAGCTTTCTGAGATTTTTATGTAAGACTGAATATAAAGCCATTTTTCCAATCAATCAGTCAATCAATCAATCAAACCTTATTTTTAAAGCACTTTTCATACACAGAATGTAGCACAAAGAGCTGTCCATTCGCGTAGGATATTAAAAAACAATGAAATAAAATAAATACCAATACCAAACCCCACCCACCCACCCACCCTCCCAACCCCTGTTCAACACATACAGCACTCACACACACGCACACACACACACACTAAAGACCAGGTTAGGACTCAACTTTCCACAGATGACTGAGGAAACGCTGGTTCTAGGACTCAAACGATAAAACCATGATAAAATATAATAAAGGTGATGAAGCATTAAAAGTTAATTAATCAAAACAGTCTGAAAATCAAACAAGAACAGAAAGTGAATAAATATAGAGGTTATAAAACACAAAATAGTTACTCTAAGACTAAAATAGGGTAAAATCATGTAATGCAGATTAAAAGATTAAAACAAAATTCAACTAAAGCCAGACTAAAAAGGTTGGTCTTTAGTTTACTTTAAAAATATGAATAAATATTTCAGACACATTTAAATGTAATATAAATGGTTATCTTGTATAGTAACATGTTTTGGATACATTTTTAATGAATTGAGAAAAATGGTAAATATTTGGATGATGCTGCAGAGAAAATGACCGATAATTACAAAATAAAACAGTATAATTTTGGGCAACAGTCTAGAGGGGATGTATAAATTCAGGATAGATGTACAGCAGTAGCTGTTTCACTGTTTGAATTTCCCTCTGGGATTAATAAAGTATTTATCATCTATCTGTCTGTTCAGAGTTATACATTTGATAAACAGGAGATGTTTTATTCTGGGGAAGATATCGGTGATATCGGCTCTGTCTCGGTCATGACGCCGATCATGTCAAAATGCCGATCTTCCGGTTAATCGGCCGGTCTGTTATCTTTATATGACAGACCTCCTGCTGACAAAAAACCCATCAAAGAAACATGGAGCTGCAACTGAGCAGGGCGGGGCAGTGCGCATGCGCGGTCCTCCTTCGTGGCCCATCTCTTCTTGGTGGTTGTCTGGTCTTCAGGGACCTTCTCCTGCGTTAAATCTGAGAACAGGACAGTTAGTGAAAACAAACAGCTGTTCGTTTATAACAAGAAGAGAGTCTGCTCGGTGTAAAGTGTCTCTCTCTCGGCTGAAACAGTCAGACAGGAGCGGAGATTTTCCCGGGGCGTCGTCTGGACTCCAGGCTGAGCATCCATTCATCCTTTCAGACGAGCTAACGTTAGCACACACACAGACAGACACACACAGACACACACAGACAGGCAGCATCAACAAAATGTCGGGCTACCAAGGAAAGAAGAATATCCCACGGATCACAGTGAGTTTTCTCTCTTTATTCAGATTATTGTTGTTTTATTTGCTTCATTAAACAGGCGGAGAGTCTCAGGATTAGACGGAAGGCTAACTAACGGTTAGCTCTTCATTTACAGACTGATCCTTAAACTGGGAGTGTGAGGAAAACCAGTGAGTTTAACTGGATCCTGAGCCTGTCTGTGTGTTTATATTAAACCTGTAAATGAAGCTGAAGTCTCTCCTCTCCTGTAGCTGTCAGTACAGACCTCCTCCCTCTTTAGGGTGTAGTTCTCAGGTCTACACACTTCCTCCTCCATCCTCCTCCATCATCCAACCATCACCTCTTCTACTGCACCCTCAGTCTGTTTATTCTGATTTAATGATTGAAATATAATAATATGTGAGGAAACTGAACTCTGACTCTGACACACACACACACACACACACACACACACACACAGCTGCAGATGTTAAGTGTGTAAACCTCAGTTTTAATGTTCGCTGCTGCTGTTATAGATCAGAGTGAACAGAGTCGTCCTGCTGTGTTCGTGTGAATAAGTCAAACCTGTTTCTATAAAGTAGGTCATCCATCCAAACCCACTGATCTGTCATCATGCAGCAGTTTAACATGTTATAGCTGTAACTGTTTGATGACTTCATTAAAATAAATAAATAAATAAATAAGGTTTATGTTGGAGTGAATTCATGCTGTCATCTTGGCTGTGTGAGATAAGGTCATAACAACGAAGTCCTGACATATCGGACATGAGTGGGTCTGCAGCAGACCCCCCAGGCCCTCAGACACACACCAGCAGACAGCCTGACTCTGCAGACCCTAAAAAGGTTTTTGGTACTTTACTGAGTCTAATAGACCGATGTAGTAACGTACGGTGGCCGAGAACCGCCACTGCTGCGAAAAAAAAGAGGTCACAACGGAAGTTACCGACGCAAACGAAAGGAAACCGAAGCCTGCTGCAAATAAATAATAATAATAATAATAATTCATTCAAAAAAAGTTACTGCGAAAATAAAAGGATGCAAATAAAAAAAACCACGACAGAAGTGAGCTGTCGGGGACCAATCATGATGATGCAGCACAGTCTCTGAAGAAGATTAGCACCCTGTAGTGTGTAGGAGACGTTCCTTTGACATTTTCAGACGGACCCTAAAAAAACAAACAGAAATCCAGCAGGTCACACCAGTATTGGTTAAACTGATATCTTCACATCAGTATCAGTGGTGATTTTCACAGTGGGTGTGTCTCTATAAGCCAAACTCAGGTGCCCACATCTCGTCGATCTAATCAATAAAATACAGAGTTTGATTAATCTCAGATTTACAGTGTTTGTGCACAAAAAGGAGAATAATTTAAATTAAAGCACTTTAATTAAATCAAATATACAAAATAGAAATAAATCAAAAGTGTCATGGCTGCCTGAGCCACAGCTCTCCATTTTCAAGTCTTTCTCTCTATTTTTTTCTTTGTCTCAGTTTCTCATTTTCATTTGATTGAAGTTTAGAAAAATCCTCATCAGAGCTGATATCAGACTCTGAACCTTATATAACGTTAAAGTATCCTGATCCATTCATGAGTCAGTCTGAGTGTTTGTGCTGCTGACCACACAGGTGAGGAGAGGACACAGGTGAGAGGGTGCGAGCCTATCAGAGCAGTCACCTGACCTGTATACCTGGAGCTCTCTGCCCGTCCTTTTCACCCGCTCCTCTGTATAAACAGAGCCCCCTGCTGTGAGGTTGGCTGTAAACCACTTCTGTCTTCATTATCTCTCAGTATTGTCCTCAGAGACCCCAGTAAGCCTGCAGGAGAAGTAGGACAGCTTCTACGCTCTCTTTTCAGCTCAAACAGGCCGAGTTCATCCAGACTCTCAGAGCCTCTCCGCTCCTGGAAATGATCGCCTCCTTTAAATCAGCGTTACTGTGGGGGAATCATGAGAACGTTCAGGTTCAGGTGTTTCTCAGACTTTGGATGGATGGACCTGTGGTTGGTAACTCCATCCACACCCGTCGTTCTTTAGTGCAGCGTTAAGGATTCACTTCTCCATCCTCATCCTTTCAAAGTCCTTCAGTATCACAGACATGTAGATTCATTAATGTTCATCTTCATCGTGACAAACTAATAATACATGAATCCAACCTGAAGATCCAGAAAGAAGGAAGAAATGAAATCATCTTAAATCCTCAGAGCCGAGAAAACCAGTTCAAGATAAACCGATGAACTGGGTTAGTCCGTCTGAAACTGGACTTAGAGGTGAACTGGTCTGAGTCAAAGTCACTTTGGTTTGACATTTGAAACTACCTGGATGATGTGGCTGGTGATCAATTTTCTCTACATGTTTACGCCCTCTTAACCCGGCCTCAGCGTTCTGAGCGTGCTCCACAGTTTGGCGTGTTTTGACCCTGAAGCTGAACGCCATAAATCTGAGTAGTAAAGAAAACCACCACAGAAGAAGAGAGGCCCTAAAAACATGGAGCGGCTGTATCCTGAAGAGACGGAGCAGGAGAGCTGCTGGAGTTTCCATCCTTCATGTACAGTTTAGGTTTACGGTGTTTGTCGATTGTTTTGGTGTGTGACGGTACGACCCGCGGAGACGAGCTGAAAGGAAACAAATGTTCACCTCCTGTAGAGGAGACGTGCGACATTTAAAGACGTGATGATAAATGATCCTGGAGACGGGGATGTGAACATCTGTCCAGGTGTAGTTTTCATGATGTGAGTTCAGTATGAAGCAGCGTTTATGGAGATGAAGAGGAGGATGATGATGATGATGATGATGATGATGATGATGATGATGATGGTGATGGTGATGAAGAGGATGATGATGGTGATGGTGGTGTAAAATATAAATTAAAGCTCCAGTGAGGAACTTTTACCATAAAGAGAAAACTCTTCCCTCATCAGTTGACGGAGGATTATTCTGGATTATTCTGGATTATTCTGAGGATAACTCTCAGGAACTCTAAAATGTTTATTTTCTCTCCTCCTTTCAGAGCGACCGCCTCCTCATCAAAGGAGCAAAGATCGTCAACGATGATCAGTCGTTCTTGGCCGATATCTACATGGAGGATGGAGTCATCAAGTAAGAATCCACCTGAAGGTCTTCAGAGCAACAATCCACAAACACTCGACCTTCAACTTTGAAAACGTCTCCTCCTGTTTTAACTCTCCATCTTTCTTTTGTCTCCTTCAGGCAGATAGGAGACAACCTGATCGTTCCCGGAGGAGTCAAGATCATAGAGGCTCATGGGAGGATGGTGATGCCGGGGGGGATTGACGTGCACACCCGTTTCCAGATGCCTGACCGAGGGATGGTGGCGGCTGATGACTTCTACCAGGGCACCAGAGCGGCGCTGGCCGGGGGGACGACGATGATCAGTAAGAGTCCAGCTGAGTAACCCTGCTGCAGGGAGAGTGACTGTGTGTGTGTGTGTGTGTGTGTGTGTGTGTGTGAACTCTGACCTGTTTGTTTGTTACAGTCGACCACGTGGTCCCGGAGCCCGGCGTGGGCCTGGTGGCGGCGTTCAAACAGTGGAGGGAGTGGGCCGACAGCAAGTCCTGCTGCGACTACTCTCTTCACGTGGACCTGACCGAGTGGAACAAAGGGACCCAGGAGGAGATGGAGGTCTTAGTGAAGGATCACGGTATGAAGCCGACATCAAACACATCAAGTCAAAGTCATAGTGGGGGGGGGGTTTGTTTCTGCTCAGCTCCAACGTCTGTGTTTGAAGAGTGTTTAAGAAAAGAGGTGATCGGAGGTGAACGAGAGGACGAGGAGAAGGTCTCTGACTGAAGAGAGCACTCTGACATCCTTCAGGGCTTCAGGATCACAGAGTCTGAACTTTCCAGAAGAACAGACTCAGAACCTTTTACCCCCAAATTTAGGACGCTGTGAGAATATTGATGAACTTTACAATCATTTAAAGACCATTATTATAAAAAAACACACAAAAACATCAGAAACTAAACTTTAGATGTTACACTTTTTAAAGTTGTTTTATGAAAAATGCGGAGGAACAACCAAACAGGTCAAAAGTTCTAATGCTAAAACAAACATCTGCAGGAACATCTACAGCTAATGAGGTGAATCTCCAACAGGTTAGTCACATGACCGGGTCTGACCCCTAATCTCCACCTTCATCCTGATCGTCTCCTAAAAGGTCGTATCCTCCGATCGTAGCTGATCGTAACCATTCAAGTTAACGTGTCGATTTACACCGACTTCTTTCACAACGGGCGGAGACGAACAAGTGAAAGGTTTTTAGACGTCATTTCACCCCGATGACACCATGGATGAGGAGATGCTGATTCTAGAAGTCTAGAAGTAGATTTCCTCCTCTGGAAGGACACAATCTACTGCTTATATGTCTATGTGTCTGTCTTTAGAGAGACAACTCGTGATCTCAACTAAGTCCAGTTGTCCTATCAACAAAGAACTGGAAATCATAGATGCTGCATCCTCAGTTTTAGAGAGTTAGAGGGTCCACCTTCATATTTCAGTAAGACCATGACAAACCACATCCTGACAACAGTATGGCTCTGTAGGAGAAGAGTCCTGCTGCTGAGAACCTGGACTGATGCGGTCCATTTGGACCATCATGACCCCTGATGTCCAGGTCTTCAGTTTCAGACTTTGATTTGTGGTCTTTGCTCCTCCTCAGTGACCCGCCTCCTGCTCAAACCTTTGAGATGTTTCCCCCTTTTGAAAAGTTCCTCAGCTGGCCTGTAGGGGGAGCACTTTTTCAGACAGTTCCTTAATTTTCTTCTCTGCTCTTCTTTCCTCTTCTGCTCTCCTTGTTCCACCTGTTCTCTGTCTTCAGGTGTCAACTCTTTCCTGGTCTATTTGGCTTATAAGGATGTTTTCCAACTTTCTGACTCTCAGGTACGCTCCCCTGCTCCTCAGCTCCTCAGCTCCTCAGCTCCTCTTCTCCCCCGCTCCTCAGCTCCTCTGCTCCTCAGCTCCTCTCCATGCTAACGCTCAGCTCTTTACCTCTGCACATATTCTGTCTTCTGTTGGATGTCTGTGGGTCGTGAATCGTCCCTGTCAGCTGATCAGAGTGTTGTGTTTCAGATCTATGAGGTCTTCAGCGTCATCAGAGACCTCGGCGGGATCGCGCAGGTGCACGCCGAGAACGGTGACATCATCTTGGAGGTGAAGGAGCCGCAGAGAAAGCAGGTCGAGCTTCAGCTGGAGGCGCTTTCTGCCATTTTGGACTCAAATCTGTCTGTTTGTTTTAGGAGCAGCGGCGTATTCTGGAGCTGGGGATCACCGGTCCTGAAGGTCACGTGCTCAGCCGCCCAGAGGAGGTAAGATGGAGGACGGGTTTGTCAGGGCGCTGCAGCGACGAGAGAGAAACGGAGAATAAATAAAAGAGCGAGACACGGTGACGTTTTAAAAGCTGACGTAGAAACCAGACGACAGGTGACTGTGTGTGTTTCTGCAGGTGGAGGCTGAGGCCGTCAATCGCTCCGTCACCATCGCCAACCAGACCAACTGCCCCCTCTACATCACCAAGGTGATGAGCAAGAGTGCGGCTGATGTCATCGCCCTCGCCAGGAAAAAGGGTACAGAGTTTTTTTTTTAGTAAATATACCGATAATGATTCCGTTAGTTTCCAAACTCACCTGTACCTGTCGGACTCTCTGCTCTGACATCATGTCCTGTTCTCTCGTAGGCGCCGTGGTTTATGGCGAGCCCATATCTGCCAGCTTGGGCACAGACGGTACTCATTACTGGAGCAAGAACTGGGCGAAGGCTGCAGCTTTTGTCACTTCCCCGCCGCTCAGTCCTGATCCCACCACCCCCGACTACCTCAACTCTCTGCTGTCATGGTACGAGCTCAACGCTAACGATGGCGGGAACATCGTCTGACATGTGTGCTGTGTGTTTAAGTCTGTCTGTGAGCTCGTCATGGTGAATGATTAACGATGGTTTTCACCTCTGTGTCGTTGACTCCTCCTCCTGCTTCAGCGGGGATCTGCAGGTTACTGGGAGCGCTCACTGCACCTTCCACACCTCCCAGCGAGCCGTCGGCAAAGACGACTTCACCCTGATCCCAGAGGGCACCAACGGCACCGAGGAGAGGATGTCAGTAATCTGGGACAAGTGTGTGGTGAGCTCCTCCGCCTGACCCGCTTTCATTTCCTGAAGTACAGAGAGCCTCGGTCTGCGCTCTCAGACCTGAATCTAAACTCCGGTCTGTCTCTGAAGGTGACCGGGAAGATGGACGAGAACCAGTTTGTGGCCGTGACCAGCACCAACGCCGCCAAGATCTTCAACCTGTTCCCCCGCAAGGGCCGCATCGCTGTGGGCTCCGACGCCGACCTGGTGCTGTGGGACCCCGACGTGACCAAGATCATCTCAGCCAAGAGTCACAACCTGGTCAGACCCCTGAGAGCGAGTGTTTACTGTTTATGATGAATCTTCTCAGACATACCTGAGACTCTGAGCGCTGCAGGGACTACGATCTTTAAAGAGTTTAATTAACAAAAAACACTCATGAATGTTTGCTTCGGCGTTAGTTTAATGTCTCGTTTATTTCGACAGTCAGAGTTTCTTTCTAGTGTTTAAAACCTCAAAAATAAAACCAGGAAAGAAAAATCTGCTGATGGATGAAGAAGAAAATGTTCTGATGAAGTTCTTCAAATTAAAGGATCTGAACTCTGAGGTCCAAAAACTGGAAAAGTTAAAATCTGATTCTTTTTGATTGGCTGATGATCAGAAACAGAAACACTCATGTTTGCTGATAACTGCTGTTTCCCGCTCCTCTCCGTGTCTCCAGGCCGTGGAGTATAACATCTTTGAGGGCACAGAGGTGCGCGGCGGTCCGGTGGTGGTCATCAGTCAGGGGAAGATCGTGTTGGAGGAGGGCAGCCTTCACACCACCGAGGGCTGCGGGCGCTACATCAGCCGTAAAGCTTTCCCCGACCACGTCTACAAGAGGATAAAGGCTCGCAGCAGGGTAAGTTCACACCAGAACCTCCGGACTGGACTCACACAGACAGGTATCAGAACCAGAATCAGAACCAGGCACTGATTCCAGAGTAGATGGTAGATAATATTTGTTCTCCTTTTTCCCATCTTTGATCAAATTTAAAGGATTCCTGATTCTTGATCAGTCCGGGGCCGTCTCTCTTGGTTTGGGTCGTCCTCAGACCTCTGCAGGAGGAGACGGGCCCGTCAGAATAATTCTGAAAAATTAATCAAACAAACGCAGCTGTCAATCATCGGTTTAGATATCGATTTAGCTGATTGAAATATTGGTTAATCCTTCGCTGAGGCAGCGTTGGCGTGCAGGAGGCTGAACGTGAGGCTGAACCAGGCGCTCGTTACCTCACATGACCACGGATCATCGGTTTGGCTCTGGTTCTGGTCTCTGTCTGTGCGCCCTGAAAGAAGCTGCCGTATGTGATCCAGGTCCTGGTTCCACACAGTTTTATGAACCGGACCCCCGTTTGTGTGTTCAGCTCACAGAGTTGCGAGGAGTCCCCCGGGGTCAGTACGACGGCCCGGTGTGTGATGTGGCGGTGACCCCGAAGGTGATCTCCACGGTCTCCTCGGTGAAGACCTCTCCCGCCAAACAGCAGCAGCAGCAGCAGCAGATGACCCACCAGCCGGTCCGAAACCTCCACCAGTCCGGCTTCAGTCTGTCCGGTGAGTGAGACCACATCCTGAATCTCCCCGCCCCCCCTTAACTCCAAATTTAACTTCCTGTTCTCTCTGGATTTCTCAGGAGCCCAAATCGATGACAACGTTCCTCGCCGCACCACTCAGCGCATCGTGGCGCCCCCTGGTGGAAAGGCCAACATCACCAGCCTGGGTTAGACTCTCCTCTGCTAAGTGATCCGGGGGATGCAGAACCACACGGGACCAGAGTCCACTTTTCCTGCTGTCACATCACATCTGGTCACCTCTGCCTCCCCCCCTCACCCTCACCCACCCTCCTTCGTTCTCTCACCCCTTCACCACCTCATGTAAAAAAAAAAACAAACTCATTTCTCCATCATGGTGTCTCATCTCTCCTGCCGAGGTCCAGGGTTGAAGGAGGATCCTGTGAATTGAAGCTTTTGTGTTTTTTTTGAAGCTGGTTTGATGATCGATGACGTGAATCTGTTTACATGTTTTTGTACTTTTGTTGTCGCTGCTGCACATCTTTGAGCTCTTAGTGGAGAGAAAAACCTCTTCTTCTTTTTTTTATTTCTGAAACGTTTTTTCATTTTCTTGATCTAAGTTTGAATGTGCAGGTGGTCGTATCACAGCGCCACCCTCAGTAATCCATGTACACTCAAAGATTGTTGTTTTTAATATGTGCTCTAAACGCTCGTCATGAAATAATATCAGACTCTTGGTTTTTATCGGCATATTTGACCTGAATTTTGCAGTATTTTTGTGTAGGTAGTTTGTGCAGCTGAAATATTCACCAGGTCTTCCTTTGTGAACATTTTTTAAACTGTTTTATGTTGTAACAGGATAAAAAGAGCAGACTGTACTGAAAGGGGGGAAAAAAGGTGTTTCTCATTTTTTCCGCTGACATCCATCATTCTGTCCATGAAACACACGAATCTTTCCCTTCATTTCATCCTTTTGTTTTTCCCTCCTGTCATTTAAGAGGTTGTCATGGAAACCATCCTCCTGTCATCCATGCGGTGTATATTGTTCAGAAAACAGATGAAGAAAAGCTGGATGGGAGATTTGCAGACAGCCTCTCTGCAGCTGGTGCTATCGGAGCGTCTCTGAGTTCGCAGAGCCTCATCTCTCCACATCTAAGTTTGTTCGATCCAAATGTTCAAATGTACGTAAGCTTGCCTCTTTTCCTTGGTGATGGATATATCTGTATGTTTTTGCCTGCCTGTTCTGTAAGATAATGATAGCACACTGTATCTATGAAGGCTCTGAACGAAGTGATCCAGAATCTTCGAGACCTGATGAAAAACCTGTGGGGATGTACACGAACCCGTCACAGCGTGCTGACGAAGACGACGACGATGATGATGATGTGTCTACTGTACTCGGTGTTAGTGTTGTGAATGAATTACCAGATATCCACTTCTTCTTCTTCTTCTAATCTTTTGACCCTCCTCCACCTCTGAGCCTTTACCTGCCCTGATACACCTGAGGTACTAAGTGTTTCCGTTCGACAGTAAGACACGGGCTTCTTTCTTCCTCATTAACTCGTCACGTGTAGGTTTTGTATGCCGAGCTATAATGTGAAGTGATTTCCGTCGGGGGCGTTTCCTGGTGATGGTTGTTGAGTTGTGATGTTGAGCACTGTTGTTGCCCCTCTCCCAGCAGGTGTGATACTCTCTCACTCATCTCTGGTTTGTAGGATATCAGGGTTTAGGGGGAAATCATCAGTCCTGTCAGCATTTGACCCTTTCTGTGTTGACTTCAGTGGATTAAAAGAATTCAAATTAAACCGGTTGTTTTGACTTAATTCATCCATGAGTGACTAAATGTTTTGAATTAAAATGGTTTTTGTGATTGTCACAGCCTCCAAACATCACAATAAGAAAACTTGATGAGAGGATCAATACATTATTACCTTATAAACTTTAAAGAACAATATGCGTCATTGATAATGTCAGTTATCTGGATCACACTCACTCTTCTTACAGTAAAAATTATTTAAACTTACAGACATTGTGACATTCTTAACAGCACAAATTATGTATAAAGCTAAAAATAACCTTTTATCACAAAATATACAGAAATTGGGGATAGAGAGGGGAGGTTATCAATTAAGAGGGAAATATAACTTGAAAATTCATCAAATCGCACTAGCAGAAAATAATTTTGCATTTCATTCTGTTGGGTGAGACTGTGGAGTGGTTTGGGTGAGGAGTTAAAATAATGTCCAAATATAAAACAATTTAAAACTAAATATGAAGAACATGTTTTCACAGGATACAGGGATGTTTAATCATAGTTATTTTCACTGGTGATTAGTTTTATTGCTATAATCATGATGATGATTAATATTTTCATATAATATAATATTATATATTTAAACCATTAGTGTAGGAGAGGAGGTGGGACTAGATAAGTCTTGACTTCTTCCCATGAATAACTTTTTGTAATTTGTTGTTGTATTCTTTACTTTACTTTATTATTATTATTATTGATGTTATTATTATTATTATTATTATTTTTTAAATAAACTTCAATCAATCAATCAAACTTGACTAATAATCTCACACTCATCCTTATTTCGGAGTTCAGATTTATGATTTATCCACATCAGCAGCCCTGACACTAGAGCACTAAACCCCAGAAAAGCTTTTATTTTGATAGTCTCATGTCCTGCTTAGGTTGTTTAGTAAAACTGCTTTTATTTTGAAATAATTCAAGTTTAGTTCATGTGAACATCTCAGTTTTTGTTCTGCTTGAACTGTCCTGAGAGTATTTCAGATTTTGAGGCTCCGGGTCATCCTTCTGACACCTGAGGAGAACCTGAGAACCAGGAGAACCAGGAGAACCAGGCCCTCTTCTGCCCTCTTCTGTCCTCGGACTAAAGTTTCTTCTCCACCTGAAGGTGAGGTTTCCTGCACACCTGAGGTTTCTTCTTCTTCCTCTCCAGAGTCCTCCTCCTCTCTGAAATCTCTGCTCTCTCTAAACTCGGGCTGTCCTGATAAACCGACTATAACTGCTGTTTTAGAAAAAATAACGATATTTGGTTAAAATAAACACAGTAACACTGAGAGTTTATAGTGAAAATCCTTTAGGCTTTTTATCTGAAGAGAAACGAAGAAGAAGGAGCTGTTAGCGAGCTAGCTTTAGCATCCTTTAGCTGTTAGCGAGCTAGCTTTAGCATCGCTCTGAGAGATGACTCAGCACTTTTAAAAACCGACATTCAAGTTTTTTATTATGAATCAGAAACAAAGTTCGAGTCTCTTCATGTTATTGATCAATTAAACTTTTATAACTTTTATAACATGAACTGATATTTCAAAATAAATATAAATAAGTTAATTTAATTATTCATTAAATTATTATTGAATTACCCATTCAGATCGACCGGACCAGCAGCACATTTCTTTATAAATACGACACGATTGAGAGACAAATTTTAGACAATGAGTTAAAAACAACAATTAAAAAAGTCCAAATTATTTAGCAGATAAAGTGCAGAAACAGGAGAGATGGATAATTGAAAATACAGATTTATCCAGATCAGTGCGGACATGAGGAACAAACAGACAGAGGTAACAGGACTGTGAGGCAGAGAGACCTTCTGTTATTTAAGGAGGATAAGATCAGAACGAACCTTAATGATGGAGAAAATATCAGAATAAAAACATTAATGAGGTAAAACAGAGTTTCAGTCTCAGAGCCGCTGATGAGGATTAATCATAAATCTAAAAAAACATCATGAGAGTGTTTAGCTGTGTCTGTGTTTTAATGTGCTGATCCTGTCTCCTCTGTTGTTTGACATTCAGGTTTTCCATTAAAGTTGTAATTTAGTGATCCTGTTATATTTAACGGTCTTAATAATCAGATTTGTTGACTCCTCGCTCTGATGAAGCTTTTATGAACAAAGACAGCTGCAGTTTGATTTTGGGGACTAGAGGTTTTTCTAAGAGTCATTTATAAGCAGTGCTGTAATTCTTCGTCTTTATTCAGTGAATGAATGAAGTTTGATGGATTTTAACATGAGGAGAACATCGATCATGATGAACATTGTGGCTGCAGAGGGAATCAGAGACACTAGGTGGCGTCCCAGAGTCATGACTCGGAGCTTCAGCTGCAGATCATCATGTTGTTGTGCCATCTTCATGGACTCCTCACTCTCAGGGACGCTCCGGGGACAATGAACTGAACAATGAACGACACACACACATCAACACACCCGCCCTCAAGTGTTTGACAGTCGTCCAATTAGAGCGGAGCTTGAGGAGCGCTCTGATTGAACAGCAGAGGGGGAATCCTATAATGTCTTCAGCGGCTGATGAGACTCTGAGAAAAACCCTGAAACAGCATCAGGAGGACTTAACGGATCCGAGGCCTGGTGGGGAAAGTGTGCAAACATGAGTCACCAGATGTGGGTCCACTCACACCGGGACACCGACGGCGCTAAAATAAGATAAGAACATAATCCTTCCTCGAATTGATTTTTCTGCACCAGAAAATCATCATCAACATAAATTTAGCAGTGTAAGATTTTCAGCCTGTAATCCTCTTTTGTTGGAATATTGAAAATTCACATATTGATGTTTTTATTACAGGAACTTCACATAAACCTGTTGATGAAGAATAAAACAGGGGTGGTTCTGGCTCTGCTCCAGTCGACATCTGGATTCTGCTGCAGATCTAATGATGGTATTCATAACAGCGTATAGGCAGTGATCTATCTCCCTGCAGAGGTTTCTTTATAGTGGAGATAATAGAAAAGGAGGCTGAATTAGCTCGTCTGTACCATCTGTACTTTATTGCTGCTGCTGCTGCTCCTCCTCTAATGGCATCTGTGCAGAGATGGGCTGATTTACAGGTTCGCAGACGTGCAAACCAATGACAACGCAGGCACAGATGAGCACTCACCTCGCCGCCAGGTCCCTCCCCCCCGTAGGCGAGCTGTCCTCTTCACTTCCACGACCGAACTGAACACGCAGAGATTGGCTTGAGGAGTCGGGCAGCGTCTCCTCCCTCCCACTCAGTGACTGAGGAGTCCATCTCAGTGCTTCAGGAGGGCTATCAGGGGGAAATAAATCAATAGACTTGGCTGAGGTTTGTCCTCTTGCCCTTTGATGCTTCTGCGTAAACAGACTGAAACACTTTGCAGTCTTGAGCTCCCACTCAACACGCTCCTTTTTCCACCTTGTGCACTAGTAAACAGCACTCTTACACACAGCGGTGGCGGCGGCGACGGTGATAAGAGCACAGCAGCTAAAAACCAGCCAAGAAAGCGTGCAGCTGAGAGAAGAATGTCTGCGTATGACTCGGCCTGAGATCTCTAAATCTGGTGGATTTTTTAAGAGGCTTGGGGGCCGAGCAGGATTGAGGTCAGCAACCACAAGGTCAGCGAAAATTCCACGGAAGTATATTAAGACGTCCATCTGGCACAGCTCGGAGGTACATGATATTGTGGGAATGAGGAGAGATGAAATACATGTTTGTGGGGGTTTGATATTCGAGTGATTCAACCAAGAGAAACAACAACTGGAGTCCAAAAATGTCACCATGAATCCCTCATTAGGAATAAGTCATAGAAATTTATTATAACGTGACATGGGAGTAGACAGGGTCCCTGTGTACGAAAGAGGAGGAGGAGGAGGAGGAGGAGGAGGAGAGCACAAACAGTATCCACAGGAACAGTAAACAGGGCCGATTCTGGAGACAAGAGGAGCACCACTCAGCAGCAGCAAACAGCAGAGATACGTTCTCAAGTCATGCATTAGAAACACCCCCATCTGAACATTTTCACATGTTTGACCCATGATAGAAAATCTGTAAACATGAAAGAGTTCAGGTCTTTTTAGGTCTTTTCTCCTGGTCCACTTCACAGGTTACAGGATACAGGGTCTGTCATCTGTAACAGGATGTAAACCCATTTAAACAAGCTTGAATAATCTGTATGTAAGAGGTCATGTGTAAGAATCTAGAAAGTTCTCTGTCTGTTTCTCTCGACCAGGTTAAAGGGATATTCTGGTGTAAAATTAGGGTCAAACCCACCGTAACACCGAGTCAGACCCCTCCTCCAGAGATGAATGTTGTCGACCGCTTGCTTCTCTAGTTATACCAACTTTAGTAACGACCGCAGGATAGTAATACAGAGAGCCACGCCCTCAACCAAAACGCCACTCTATAGCCACAGATAATGCTCAGAACAGCACCTAACTTCATCAACAGGACATATAGGGTCACAGACATAGTACTATATTCAGAGTTGTTCTAACTCCTAAGAAAACAATCTTAAGCGGGGGCGTTTCTCCACTTCTGTTGTCTATAAGCTGGGCCAATAAACTTCTACTGTAGTAAAATAAAAAGGTAAAGGTGTTTTTATTGAGCCGAATTATCAATAAAATCATGATTTTGTTAACAGGTATGGATTTATGTGCTGTCGAGTTAATATATTTGAACAAGAGCACAGTAAATTTAAATCAGCTAATTTTCCAATGAGGTTCTGTGACTGAACGGAACTACAACATGATCTACTGAGGTTAGCAAATATAGGGTCCCAGCCATAGTACTAGACACCAAACATCTTTTTAACTTTGACTCATTTCTTTAGCAAAGAGACTAAACACAACTCACCTACTCTCTTCCAGCAGACGCCTGTTTGTAGAGAGACCTCAGGCCAGTCCATTACAGACTACAGCGGGGTGTCGCAGCTCAAGGAAGAACATTTATGATCATTTCTTCATGGAAATACAATCAGACTGAGAGGCTGTGTTTGACCCTAAATTAATTTTACACCAGAATATCCCTTTAACAGTCTGTATCTCAGAGATCGTGTTTCAGAGTTTTGAAAGTTCTCCGTCTGTCCGCAGGTTTCTGACCGGGTTTAGTCCAGCACACACACATATATATTCACCCCTAACCTTGAAGTGGGACTCAGGACTCATGCATGGGGGGTCACAGCAGCTATACGGGCTCTCCTTTCTCGGACAGGGACAGTTGGTGGATTTTAATGGTGGGAACAGGAGGGGGCTGGGCGCAGTCAGACTCCTCTGGGGGGGTCCCGTCACTGAGGATGCAGCAGCAGGTCCGTGTAAAACTTTTACTGCAGAGTTTGGCCATTTTGTCTCTGCTGGTCTCAGACGGTCCAGATCCTCCTGTGTGGCCTCCGGTGAAGACCCTCCACTCCCTGCTGTCCCTGGAGGACGGGGATCTCGACAGGACCATGGAAGAAGAGGGGCTGAGCCGGCACGGGGCCCCCCTGCTGTCCAGGCCCAGAGAGAGGGACTGGCTGTGAGCGTGTTTGTGACCCGGACCCACGCTCAGATGGTGGTGGTGTGATCTGGGAGGGATCCTCAGGCAGTGGACCCCCAGTAAACTCTGGAAGGCCTTCTTGAACTCCTGGTTGGAGCAGGGGTAGATGATGGGGTTGATGCAGCTGTTGAAGTAACCCAGCCAGAAGGTGATCTTGAAGACGGTGTCTGAGGGTCTGTACGCCGGAAACATGGAGCCTGTCAGGACAGAGAAAAAAACATGAGGCGGATTTACAGACCGGCGATGAAACCACAGAAACTCTGCTGGTCTGAGAGGTTCAGGTGAGGGGGGCCAGACCCTGAACTCAGACCAGACCAGAAGAACAGCAGCGAAGACACAGTTCAACCCACCTCCTGTGCTTATGGTGTGGACGGAAAATTCACCTCCAATCACTGTGTACTGAAAACAATCACCTCACTTTGCAAAGCATTCTGGGACTTTCAGGGGACACAAAGATGCTGGTCTACTCCTACTCAAGAAAAACTGAAGACGTCAGAAAATGAGCGTGAAACTTATCAAAGTCAAGTACAGCTAACGAGGAAAATAGAAATGAAAATGTAGATGACTCATGGATTTAAGCCCCGCCCCCTCAGACCTCAGCTGACTGCTGTGACGCCCGTTTAACCCTTGAATTACAGAGAGAGAACTTTGATAGGTCACTGGAAATCATGCCGTTTGAGAGGAGGTCTTTGCAGGAGAAGCTGAGAGTTCATGAGTTTGGGCCTTTTGGAGTTAAACATGAGAAATCCATTTTTAAAGGAGCTGGTTCATGAAGAAGACTTGGTGTAGGGTCTGTGGGGATGTGAACAGGATCAGACCAGTTCTGACGGGTTTCACAGCTCTAAAGCACTTCAACGATAAAAACCTTTATCTCACTGGAGTCAAAGCTCGTATCTTCAGCATGTATTTTCAGCCTACCCTGAAAAAGAAATGGGACATCAGGAAATTAAGCTGATGCAGAGGTGCAAAAAACTGCAGTTCATCTCATGTCCACTAGAGGCAGGCTCCACAGGCCATAAAATCCCCATCCTGCTAAAACGGCCTCTTTTTGCTGCAGGAATATTTGGCTTTTGTGAGACATCAGCTCGTCCAATCGATGTCTGAGCCGAGCCTCCACCTCGTTTGTGTGTTTCAGATGATTGTGCGGTTTAGGGGATTGTTTACATCCATAAATCTGACAAGTCTGCTCGTCTGTGTGGTTTATGGCTCTAACAGGCCATCTGAAGTCTGTGCACAAACATTTGGGAGAATGGAACGGAGACATTATGATAGTGGGCAGCACTGAGGCAGGCGGAGTCTGTGTCCTCCACCTTCCTCTCTGTACTCAGAGATTTAAAGGAGAGGTGAGTTGGACACATTTACCGACTCCTTCGGTTTATTTCTCCTGATGAATGAGACGCTCCGTCAGACACCGTCGTAAACAGACTCTCATCCTGAGGGAAACATGACAGCGAACAAGCTGATCAATCCTCCGTGGGTGTTAAGTTTGATCACTTTGAACCTTCACCACCCTCTCCTTTAAACACCGTCAGCCGCAGACATCTGCCAAAAGCTTCAGACTTGAACCTGGAGGAGATATCACCGTGGTAACAGCCGACACAGATACTGATGCTCGACACATGACAGCGCTGAAAAACAGATCAGCAACGCCCCGTAAGAAAACACCTGCTGTCATCAAAACATGATATGAATACAGATATTATTATTATTGTTATTGTTATTATTATTATTATTGTCATTATTAGTATTATTATTGTTATTATAATTATTATTGTTATTGTTATTATTATTATTGTTGTTGTTGTTGTTGTTATTATTATTATTATTATTGTCATTATTAGTATTATTGTTGTTATTATTATTATTGTTATTATTATTGTTATTGTTGTTATTATTATTATTATTTTTTTTTTATTATTATTGTTGTTCCTGATTTTATCAAGTAGGATCAGATTTCAGGTGTCAGAACAGCTTGAGAACCAAAATGAGACCTTTTTGATATAATTGTCTCCAGCTCGATTTTCTGCTTTATCAGGTTTGAAGTTTGAGTGAAATGATGAACAGAACCAACAGACATGTTTTGGTTTCAGAGTGTCCTCCTTCTGTTTCCTCTTTTATTTTGAAGTATTTCCTGCTGTGACTGAGAGCCCCGCCCTGATGACTCTCACCTGTGTCAGTTTCTCATGGATGAACTCGTCACTGTTCTCCTCAGATGTCCTTGTTTTGGTCAGAGTACATTTTGTCTCCCCTTCCTCTCCATTAACCCCTGATCTGTCAGCTCTTTGTTTCCTGGTTAAATTGATCGGTGAAGGATTGATTGACAGCTCTCTCTCTCTCTCTCTCTCTCTCTCTCTCTCTCTCTCTCTCCCACCTGTGTGATCTCCTTGACCTTTCACCTGTGTGTTAAAGGTGTGTGTTTTGGTCAGTGGGTTTACAGTCAGGTCGACATGTCCGGGTCTGAGGACGGAGGCTCAGCGTCCACATCAACACTAAAGTTTCTGTGTCTGATGTTTGAGGTGGTTATCCCTCAGTGAAGTCGACCTGCTAATCCAGAGACACTCATTCAGCCTGAGTCTTAATCAAACCTTCAGCTGCTCAGACACTAACCATCACTCTCATCTACATCCACTTTAGATCATTTACTTTGTTTCTTCCAATTTCCGCTGAAAAAACCTCCTCCTGCCGTTGGGGTTAAGGATTTATTAAATTTGCAGACATAAATGAGACTGCTGTTGATTAGAGGAGAGCGTGATCCGATCTTTAATGAAGACACGGCTTTAACGGACCGTTTACACCCGGGCCTGTTGGTCATGAAGACTGCAGCAGCGAGCAGAGATGACCTACTGTGTGACTGCGGCTAATCCATCTATCTCAGCTAACATCTCCATCTGAGGGAGACAGGAGGAGATGAGATGTTTTATTGGGCGAGCTGTCGCCTTCAGCTAAATGATGGAAAGAGGAGGAAGGAAATCCAGGAGCGCTTCATCGTGAGCCGGGCCCCGCCGCAGAATTTAATGGACCTAAATGAGCGGTTCTGATGGTGAAGGTGTGGTCTGAGCCCCCTGCAGCTCCAGCAGTTAAAACTCTAACTGACAGGGACGTGACGTGGTTTCAGGTCAGCAGTGAAAAAATTAAAGTTTGTGTTTTAAAAAGGAGCAAAATTAACCAAAACGGACATCAGAACGACAGCTCAGAGTGAAGAAGAAGAAGAGGAGGAGGGGACTGTTTCTCTCTCTCTCTCTCTCCCTCTCTCTCTCCCTCTCTCTCTCTCTCTTTGTTTGTGTTTTCATAAATGTAAATGAACCCTCAGCTCCGGGTTTCAGGGATTTCAGTCTTCTCTCTTCTAATCTCCAGGTGAGCTGCTGCTGAGCGCTGACCTTCTGATGATGACAGAGAAGTGAAGACAGAGAAGATAAATGCTCCTCCAAATGTTGCAGAGGTAATAATCCAGACTTCCTGTGGCGTCCCCTGGCAGACAGGAAGTTCCTCTTGATTCTTATTTATTCTGACGTTTGCCGCTGACCTCTTAGCAGGTCATCCTTGTAACAGAGATCCGGGTCTCAGCGGGTCTTCTCTGGTCAAATAAAGGTTAGATTATTCTGTGGACCCTGGCCCTCCAACAGCCTCAGGACACCCCGGGGTCAGATCAGGGTCTGGTCAGGGTCTGGTCAGGGTCTGGTCAGGGTCTGGTCAGGGTCTGGTCAGGGGTCTCTCTGTACCCCCTGAGTGTGTCGGTGCAACACAACTCCATCGATCAGTTGAAGTTGAAGGAGCGACACAGCGTTTCTGACCACGCCGTATCATGTGAATACTATTTAACTATTTAATATATATTATTTTGGGGAGTTTTGTTTTGTTAGTCACACAATCACCACAGGGGGGCGCTTCAGGTGAATGGACAGGTGAAGCAGTGATCTGGGGAACGAGAAGAGCTCACGGCTCTTACCGCTAATCTGACACCACTCTCACCTTCATCACAAACATCACCATCGTCATAAGTTTGACATATCTGTGTTTTTTTTTTTGTTTTTCAATGAATCAATAAAAAGCAAAATTATAACTGAACAACAACCTTGGGTTGTACGAGAAACACATTAAAAACTCTTCACTCCTGCACACAGGCAGGGACTAAAATTCAGGTCAGCTTCGTCTCTCCAAACAGCTGTGAGTTTCTCAGTTCTCTATATCAGATCTAAAACCTCTGCCTGGTGGGTCATTATGAACCCATCGTTCTGTTTGTCGACTGTTGCCAGGATTTGGAGGCATCGTTTTGTTTCCAGCCAAATGGTCACAGCAGCAGCAGCTAAATTTACGAGCATGAGAGCGTGGAATAATAAAAGCCCGGAGGGAGATGGTGGGCACGCCGTGGGCTGTGCCACAGCTCAGATTATCTGCTCAGCTCTCCTCCTCAGCCTGTGAGGGGTTTTATACGAGGTCTGACTCTGATGTGACGGGCTCCTCTTCATCACCGAGTCGCTGAGATCCCACACATTCAGAGAGAAGGCTGTCCTCTTCATCCTCTTCATCCTCCTCATCCTCCGCTCTGTCAGACGTCTGAATCGCAGACCGCTGTGGAAGATTTAAAGATGCTATTTTTGGAGCGTCTACCTGACTGGATGAGTCAAAGCGTTTACTACGCCACTCAGGAGACCACCCGGTTCCTCTGAATGAGTCTGACCTCAGCGCTCCCCTCAGAGAGGCAATTCAATTAACGGGATCAAACCGTTAAGTCCCCCCTCACCTCAAAACCCAGCCATCTATGAATAGATCAGTAAATCAAATTAATGCAGGGCCTCCATGGTTCCTGGAGGGGCTGATCTACATGTCTGAGTGCTGCTGAAGGTGTGAGATACGTCCAATCCTCTCCATAGATCAGGATGATTCCACAGCAGATCTATTAAATTACTCGATCCACCTTCAGGTCCAGGTTTTAATCCAAAGATCTACACCCTCAGCATGAAACCCTTCAATCAGGAGCAAGGACGAGAGGTTTATCATCGACGTGAATCTGATCATCAGGAATCAGAACATAAGTGACCGATCAGGTTTGATATCAGGGTGTTCACCACAGGACAGATCAGCAGAGACGGAGACCTTCAGAGTCCTGACCTCCTCATCAGCTGATCGTCCACATTGATCAATAAAAGTCTGAAGACGTCATTAAAGTCTGTCCTGTTCTGTCTGAATCAGTCGTTTCTAAAATGATCTGCGGTTACAAACATGATCTTTTTATCTGAAGAGGTTCAGAGATTTCCGTCTCAAAGATTCTTGGCCAACATTTTTTAATCGCTCTGAGTTCTGGTTTAGTGTCGGCTCTTTGAGAACTGGGTCAGTGAAGTCATGATTTATTTTATTTGTCCAGCTGCTCCGTCCAAAATATTTAAAAAAACTCAGTTTGATAATCGAAACGTCCTTTTTTCAATCCGGGGGTACAAAACTTTAAAAGAAGGATGGGCTGAATGATGCTGTTTCATTTTAATGTTACAGTCGTTCAGAGGAGGACGGACCGAGTTCAACTGTGAGGGTCATTTCTTCTTCTTTGGTTTTAGACGTTGTCGGAGGTTTGGCAGAGAGGAGCAGAGCAGTCAGCGTCTGTTCAAAGGAATTACACACGTGTTCATCAGGTTGAGAGTTTACACCTGCCTGCTGCTGCTTAGCTGGGCGTCCAGGTCTCTTGACACATTATTTCCTGTAAAGGGCGAAGGAACAGCTGTTTGGTCAGTGTCTGTCGTCTATCCCAAGAGGTCTACGATAGCCAGGTGTACGGTCGACGCAGCTTCCCTGCCTATTGTTTCCTACGTGTGGATGAGACAGTTCGTCTGAGCTGCATTTTCTTTGTTTATTCTTGTTTTGTAAAAGAATCCAGATGCAAAATAAAGACAAAGCAAATTCCAACGTAGATGCAGATGATGGTGAAAAAAAACCTGATTGCTCCTCCAGCTACCAACACACCTGCCACTGATTACGTCTTCTTCTATTTATAACAAACCAGACTCAGGACTTCACGCCACCTGGTGTGGCACCAAGACAATTACAACTGAAATAAAAACACAAAAGGAAAAACAACAAGTGGCTCGAACAGAATCAACACAGAGGGGATACCTGAAGTGTCTGCAGGTCTGTCTCGCCACTTAAATACTTCAATCCTGATCGGACATGGACATGACGGTACTCACCGATGGGAAGCACCAGGAAGAAGGGCAGCCAGCACAGGATGAAGCAGCCGACCACGATGCCCAGAGTCTTGGCGGCCTTCTTCTCCCGTGAAAACTTGAGCAGTCTCAGAGCGAAGTGAGTCCTGGAGCGAAGAGCCTCGTCCTCTGACACCGTGGTGTTTCCTCGGTGGATTCTCAGCGTCACACGCTCCGAGTCCGACTTCTCGGTCTTCTGGCCCTCCCTCAGGCCCTGGCTCTCTCTGTGAGCCACCACGTAAACCCGACAGTACATGACCAGGATGATGGCCAGGGGGAGGTAGAAGGAGCCCACGGCGGAGAAGATGGCGTAGCCCGGCTCCTCTGTGATCTTACAGATGGACTCGTCCTCGGGGACCGGTTCCTTCCAGCCGAACAGCGGTCCGATAGAGATGATGATGGACAGAACCCACAGCAGCAGCACCGCCAGCAGGGCCCTGCGCTTCGTCATGATGGTGGGGTATCTCAGAGGGTAGCTGACCCCGATGTAGCGGTCCACAGAGATCACGCACAGGCTCATGATGGAGGCGGTGCAGCAGCAGACGTCCACGGCGGCCCAGACGTTACAGAAGGCCCGTCCAAACATCCAGCGGTCCACGATCTCCAAGATGGCCGAGAACGGCAGCACGGTGGAGCTGATGAGCAGGTCCGCCACCGCCAGGTTCACGATGAAATAATGTGTGACTGTCCTCAGGTGTCGATGACAAACCACCGAGAGGATCACCAGGATGTTCCCCACGACTCCAAAAACGATCAGGATGCCGAGAACGGGGCCCAGAACCACGGCTTTGACCACATTCAGCTCTGGCACTAGAACCGGGCTGCTGCAGTTGGAGCAGTTCTGTGTCGGAGGTGACGGGGTCATAGTGTCCAGAACAGGAAGCATCTGTTCAAATACTTAACTGAAGCTCAACACTGTCCTGTGCCGTCTGAAACACACACACACACACACACACACACACACTGACACACACACACACACACACACAGACCCCGGCTCTGGAAGTTCACGACAGGAGAACCAGGACAACATCAGGGCATTCCCGTAATGATCGCATCAAGTCAGCCTGTCACAACGTAATTTGAATGATGACGCCGCGAGTAAATGAGGCGTGACATCGACCACGCTTCAGGAAAAATCAAACCGCAGGACGTCTGCAGACTCAGGGGGAGAGTTCTGTGTGTGTGTGTCGTTTATGGAAACGGATCCTCCTGGTCATCCATCTGAACGACGTCATGAAGAAGCTCCAACAGAAACAGGCTCAGGTGGACATGATGGTACATCCTCCAAAGATCTGCAGTCAGGGAACCAAAGGTCCATAAACTCCTCCTCAGATCCTCCTCAGAGTGAGACGGCGTTCAGGGTCAGAGAGCAGTCATGGAGGACACCTGAGGAGAGACAGAAACCTGGACTTAGAGAGAGCCGGAACATCAACAAACTTCATCCTGGACCGTCTACTCTGTCAGTCCTGCTCTTTTTCTGCTGCCTCACCATCTGAGCTGACACTGCTGTGGACGGCGCCTGAGTCTCAGCTGATGTCAGATCAGATGGTGAGCGAAGCTTCGTCTTATCGACTGAACACTTCAGAACCAGAGAGTCTGATACCGGACCTCTTTACAGGATCAGCTGGGACACACCGTTCGGTCAGAGCACGGACGTTTGATCACTACAGGCTGAACATGAGACGGACCGCGCTCCTGATCCTGATCCCTCTGTGTCACCCTGTGACACCCCCCCACACACACACACACACACACAGGTGGAGGTGAATCCACACAGTCTCTGGTGTCTCTAGTTTGATCCTGAGTGGTTTCAGATTTCAGCTCTGTGACTTTGATAAGAAATAAAAATCTGAAGAATCTGTTCAGTAGAGAGGAGGGGGGACAGTGTAACTGTGGAACAGCAGAGCCACACCTCCACAGAGACACAGCAGAGGGTCCAAACAAGTTCAGGATGACACCGCAGGGGTCCGGTTTCACTTTCAGTACAACAGGGACCAGATACCGGAGAGAGGGAGGGAGGCAGAACCAGCAACCTCTACATCAAGAATCATGTGTGGGCTGCTTAGACCATCAACACCCCCGAGATTCAATAATATTCAACAGAAAATAACTCAAATGAACTCATGAAATAAAACAAGATCAGAGGATGTTTTAAAGTTTTCAGGATCTGGACTCTGAACTCAATGTTTTTAACCACAGAGTGCAGAAGAAAGGTCACGACCTCCTGATAGAAGAGTAAACTTATCAGGGGGACGTCCTTCAGAACGGTTCTTTCCTAACCTCTTACTGGGCAGTTACAGGTCAGCTGATCACAGATACAGCCTCTGATTGGTCGACAGTAGCATCGTCGGCTAACAACAGACATCACTATGACATTGCAACATAAATTATTAGAGATGAGGTAGATGAGACATGAGACTCGTCAAACACAGAGTCGTCTCATTTCTCATGTCTCATAGACAGTGATGACAGCCTTCTCCTGGTTCCCTGATCTCTACAGTTATAGTCTGTTGTAAAGAAGTGTGTGTGCTACAAAATAAAAGCCTCTGTTTATACATTTCACCTATGATATTTATCTCTCAGTTCTCATTTCCACAGTCTCTATGTTGTTGTACGTTCTGATACAAACAGAGCAGACGACTTTGATTGGAGCTTTAATCAGATTTTATGGACCAGACTTTCCAAACCCTCCTCTAGAATAAATCTGAAGTTTCTGCTCTGACACTTTAAACCGGAGCGGAGCGGTTCGTTGACGTTATTTAAGTGTCGGAGCTTTAGTATCACACCCCCGTCCCTCTGTGTTTGAGGGACTGTCCCAGACCCATTCAGAGTTTATCACCAGGCAGCTGCTGGTCCCATAAAGTGAGCGGATTTTACAGTAAATTACTGTTGTTGTATTTTTAGAGCTGAAATCATAAACACCGCAGTATTCTACCGTAAACTACAGGACTGACCCCATAAATGACTCAACCTTAAATACGTCCGGGTCAGAACGGTTCAGTGTTTAAAGACCAACCTGAGACAAACAACAGGAAGTTAACAAGCCGCCAGGACTGCATCTACCCAGAATGCACCAGGGTTTTAACACAAGCTCTAAGAAGTGAGGAGTTTTCTGCTTTCACTGTCGCTGTCTGTGTAACTGCAAACGTACTTTTTCAGTCTTGCTTTTATATCATTAACTTTAAGTATTTTAACATTTATCTTTTCTAGTTTTAATAACAGGATTGTCTTTTATTTTGGCGCTCTTATTTTAGTGTCTTTTACTTTTGTTTTTATTTCATTTTATTGATTATTTCTTAAATTTCTTATTATATTACTTTGTTTTCAGATTTTAAACCTCCAGCGTTTCCTTATCTTGAGTTTTAAAATGACATGTCCTCAGTGTGAACACTCCTGTTTGAGCCCTTTTTAAATTAATGCTTTTTAATCCTGTTTCTGTTTAGATCGTTGGAATAATGTGTTGGCGTAGATCAGGGTATTATTTGTTTCTTTTATTCCTTTTTCTGTGTAAAACACTTTGTGATACATGTTGTGTATGAAAGTGATATATATAAGTAAAGACTGATTGATTGATTGATTTGGACAGGAGAGGATCAGGAATATTAGACAACTATTAGATTATTAGATTATGTTATAATCTATATAATTTATATTACAGATCACTGTAAATCATCGTCGTTTTCTTCCGCTTATCTGGGTCGCGGGGGCAGCAGCTTCAGGAGGGAAGCCCAGACGGCCCTCACCCCGGCCACCTCCACCAGCTCCTCCTCCGGGGGATTCCCAGGCGCTCCCAGGCCAGGCAAGAGATATAATCCCTCCACCTGGTCCTGGGCCGGCCACGAGGAGGAAACCCATTTCAGCCGCTTGTATCTGCGATCTTGTTCTTTCGGTCATTACCCAAAGTTCATGACCATAGGTGAGGATCGGCACGTAGATCGACCGGTAAATCGATAATCGAGAAAACGTGCTGTATAGATATCTGTTTGTAAAAGTATATTTTCTGTCTGAGACGACAGACTGCAGCTGTTTGGTTCTACAGAGGAGCCTGTCAGTGTTTCTGCTGGACTCTGTGGTCCCTCATGTGAGCAGCCTCTGTGTTTCAGCTCCACAGTTAATGAAGTTGTTCTGATCCGCTCCTCTCTCCCCTCCACATTTGTGCAGGTTCCCCCCTGCAGTGGAGAGAGTCTGGCCAATACCTCCAACATGTGTTTTATTAATGTCTGACATTTGAATGTCACTCCTCTCTTAACAGAATCAGAGACCCGCTCCGTTTGTCGATGATGCTGCTGTGTGCAGGGATGGATCCTGCAGAAGTTCGCCTGTCCCTCTCTCCTGATGCAGTTTTCAGTCTTTAACGGTGAAACAATGTCTCGGGTCGGGGACGCTCCTCCTCTTTGACAGATGTGAAATTAATCTTGTCTTTTGGGATTACTGACATTTGTAATGTCAGTGATGTTCCTTAACCAAGCGTAGATTAGACAGGACTATAAAAAGTAGTGTGAGCATGTTGACGTATTTAGGATTTAGTTAAGCTGCTTTATTTGAGGCTAAATTAAAAGTGAGACTGAGTTGTCCTCTTTTCCACTCCGTTTCTTATCGGCCTATAAATATCTATCCATCTATCTACCTCCAGGGCAGACCCCCACCCACCCCACCCCCATCGCTGCTCCCCCCACACCATTAACCAGCGGCTGACCTTTTCCTCTGCGCCCCACAAACCCGGCAGCACGCCGACTCTACAGCTGTTAACATGTTTGACAGACTTTTATGTCTCTGGTTTCTACCTTTATCCGCCATCATAACACGGCACCTGAGAGCCCCTCATTCCCCTCATAGAGGTGTGTGTGTGTGTGTGTTTGGACGGGGGGGCCATACGAGGTAATTTTGAAACGAAGAGTCACATGTTAATCCACAGGAGACTTAGACGAGCTCATGGAGAGACATGATTTTGTATCATAGAGGAGATTAAGTTAGTGCAGCTTAAATATGAAATGTCCTGCAGAGTTAAAGTTGTTTGTTAGTTTAATAGTGAAGATGCTGCTGCATTACAATGAAGAGCAGACAGTAAGTGTGATGGATGTAGTGTGAGAGAAGCTCAGGGTTATTGATCGATTTGCTCCTTTTCCTCCTGCAGCTCTCAGTAGTTCAAGTATCTACAGTGAAGGCCGCGTTTGTCATTAACTTTAATCTTGCTTTAACTACCTGCTTCATTTCAGAGCAAAGACAGAGTAATTGAGCTGAACTGGTAACTTATCTGATTATTCATTAAAGCAGATTTTGTCAGAGACAGGAGAAAGCTTTCTCCGTAACGAAACGAGTCTGAGATCATGACAAAGATTTAGAAGATCTGAGATTTACGATCATCAGTGTTTCATTCAGCTCTCACTTTTTCATCTGTAGACTTCACATCTCTCTGAAAACAAAGAACAGATTCACCTTCTCAGAATATCACATGTGGGGTTCCCCAGGGTTCAGTCTTAGCTCCACTACTCTTCAGTCTCTTATTAAGAAGAATCATCTAGACTCACAACATCTCCTTCCACCACTGCGCTGATGAGACTCAGATTTACGTTTCCAGGTCAGTTTAGCTGATCTGGAAACAGTCATTCCTGCACTGATATCGTGTAGCACCTCTTAAAGGTACAACGTGTCGTATTTAGTGGCTTTAATCAGAACAGGCTTGATCTACATGGAGGCCGCCATCTTACACCGCCATGTTTCTACAGAGGCACAGACTGGACAAACGAGTAACTGACATGTTTGTGTATTTTTTTAAAAAGCTGCTTAAAGACACTGTATGGACGTTAGCTATTATGTTAGCTCCTCTAGCTCAGAGGAGAATCCTTGTTTCCTTACGTTAGTTCCTAGCATCCTTGTTTCCTT